ATGTAGGTAGGGATTACACCGGCATTGTAACACCACATTCGGGGTGGATCGGTGAATAGTGGACGATGGACGGTCATCTTTAGCCGTGGTCTAGACCAAGGCCGATATTCGCGGCAGAGATTCTAGCACTGCCCATCATTATCTGCGGGAGAGACTGAGCCGCGAGCGAGCCTCGAGGTAGTATTAGCCAGCAGCCGTGGGGGGAAGGGGAGGGGCGGCAGACATGATTGATCGCCGCCGTTTGATGGCACTGACATTTGTGGAAAAACAGAGACAGAGAGATATGTGAGGGCAGATGGGGGGTGGAAAAAAGGGGTCCTTCGAAATCGTGGTGTCATCGAACAGACAGTTTTCTCTCGCCTATCGGCCCTCTCTCTGCGGACTGCGGGAGACATCAGGCTTGAGATTTGCTTTTCGAAATCGTGCTGCAAGTTGACTATTGCGGTATCTGGACTGAAGTTTTGAATTTTCATCTCGCAGGTGTTTGGACAATGGGCAAGTTGAAGGTTAGAAAGGGAGATTGTCGCCTGTGCGGGTGCATGTGCATGTTATCAATGTACGTGAGGTTATCTCTCACTCTCGTCTGTCTGTCTGCCTGTCTGGCTGCATGTGAAATGTCTTTGCGAGCCTCAAGTCTGTGCTGCGCCGTGTGCTCTGTCCTCCTCTCCGTCTCTGCCTTATCTCTCTCTTTTCTGTCATGATCTGGCAATGATAGGATTCTGTTTAGGTGTCGGCACGTAAGCTTTTCAAACGGTTCATCCGGAAAATCAAAAACTATGATGCTTGCGATCTGCACAATCGACGCGTGCGGAAGGACGAGCGAGTCGAGAGTTCTGCGCGGCGGGAAATATCTCCGACACCACGCCAAGATAGCTGCCAGACGATTTGACAAAAAAGTTCTTTTCACGGGCGAGACAGGCAAAGAGTTTAATTTTGCTTGAATGCAAATCCCATGCGAGACATTGCATCGAACAGGGACGTGTTTGCATGGACAGTCGCCTGTTCACCTTGGTTCACGACCTTCTGCTTACTTATTTACCTATGCACCACGTACGAAGTCCCAGTCAATGTCTGACTGATGTTAATTAGCGAGAGCGAGAGGTGTAAGTAAGGTTAAGGTTGGTGTGGGAACAGAGAGACGTGATGAACTGACATGCCGTGCAGGGGAGGACGAGGGATGCGCAAAGAAACTGCGCTTCTCCCCCGCATTGGTCGAGTCTCCGACTTTCATGTCTGTCAGAAGCCGATTCGTTCATGACCTTTGAAAGATGTACCGGTATCCGTAGGTGGGCATGGAGTGTGGTGTCACTCACTGTTCCGTACGGACATTGTCATCCCACCGGCCGGCCGTAACAGGCGCTCAGTGATGGATGGGCGGCGGCCTAACCGAATGAACGTTCTCCGTAAACAACGGATGATAAAAAGAGGCGCACGAGCACGAGGTTCTCAGGCTGGTGTACCCGAGTCAACCTCTGAAAAGTTTGTTAACGGACACTGAACAGCGTCTTCGATTCAGAAAAAGATCAAGGGTCTAGGCCGTTCGAGCCCAGCGAGCGGAAGAGGGAAAACGGGCTCTTTGAGCAGAATGGCGTGCGGATGCCCATGCTCCCGTGTCCGCGTGTGCTGGTTGTTCTGTGGAAGGTGGATTGTCGGACTGTGTTCCCTCCTCGAACCGTCTGCCTTATCTGGCCTTGCATGTGCCGATCCAAGGTTGCAATGCAGGATGACTTTTGGGGGTCATGAAGGGGGAGAAAGGATGGGGCCAGCATTTTAGCATTGTGGCATTGTGGCATCGTGGCATCGTGGCATGAGGCTGTGTTGATGTAACAGCATTTCGAAACTATCATGATAACCATCTTCGACCACAACGCTGGATGAGTGAGGGGTTTGGTCCCGGGAAGAATAGACTGACTGGCCGATAACTGTTGATTCTCGAGGAGAGACACACTCAGAGACAGAGGCAGAGGAATGCGGGACTCGGGAGGGGACAACTTGAGGTCTGCCGTTTGCAAGGGAGCTTGATCCTGGAGCTATCCTGAAAGGGGCACGTTGCATTGCTCGCTTCGCGATCCATGCTCTGCTTCTCTCGCCCGGCCCTAAGACAATCCCATCTCAAAGCTTGTTTTTGCGCCGCGTGTCTCTCGTGCCTCCCGCGCATCTTTCTCTCTGTCTGACTCTCGACCTTTGACTCTCGAGTGTCATGGATCGATCATGGACGGTGAGCAGGATTTCTCTTCTCCTAGATCTACGTACGAGTCTATATTGGCGAATGTCGTTCTACGTACGCATAGCCGAAAGGAAAAGGCTCGGCGAAGTGTCTCAAAGCGCCGTTGGAGTTCAAATCACCTCATCTCCACAGAGAAGAAAAGCTACACACACTGACAGATTTCGAGTGCCTGGAATGTCAATGCAAGAAATGTCTCGGGGCAAGATGCCCTCTTCCTCCGTCTCTCGCCTAGCCTCACTCTACCCCCGTCCCGTTCCACCCCTCCATTTCGTGATCCTATGAAAAGTGTCGAGGGTGGTCTACGTTGACCTTCTTCTTACCTACATCAACTCCACAGCCATCGTTTCTCACGACGGGAAGGCCTGTCTGTGTTCCCCGGCAGAGTCCCGCGGGCCGCGGGCCGCGAGTGGATGCGCTGGGGTGTGCAAAAGTTGGAGCACTCTCACACGGATGGACGGGGAGGGGCATGGCGACATGGGCATGGCGTGGCATAGACAGGACAGACATGACAGAGAGAGAGACAAGCAGCACTTGAACAGCCAACAGCAAATGCAGCTCGCTTCTCATTTTCTTTCTCGTCTCGCGTCTTGATGTGCAGCTGGGCGGCGGCGCAAGGGCGAGGCTAAGCCGCATCCTGCATATAGTCTACTGCAAGACGGTTGGCTGTTGGCGAGCTGCATGGAGGATGGCAGGCTGGCAGCATTGAGTAGAGACTAGAGAGAGAGAGAGAGAGAGAGGGCGCTTCCTGCTCATCTATGATTGTTGCTTTTTTTTTCCCTCTCTCTTCGTCGTCTTACTCCTTGAATTTTATTTCTTCTTCGCAACTTCACTTCCGAGAGAGGGCTTGAGCTGCATGAGCTCTTCTCGCTTCCTCTCTGACACTCTATCCTTTCCCTTACCCGTCGGCCCCTCACACCCCTCCATGCACACCCCTCCCCCCCCTTTATGATTCTGTCCTGTGTATCCGTACCTGTCAGTGTGTCATCACAACCCGTCAAGCTCCAAGTCGCGTTTTTTCTATCGAGATGTGCTAGGGCCCCCCGTGTCGATCCTTTGAAAGCTTGTGGCTGCCCATCCGTCGACGATTGATTTTAGTTCATCCTTCTTCTGCCGTTCAACATTCTTCCTCTCCTCGACGTGTCGACTAATTCTTATTCTCTTACTCTCGAAAGACCTTGTTTACCTCTTCGAAGGACATTGCGGATTCGTTTCTAAACGGTCGATAAACAAGCATAAATCCTTCTTTGTCTTTTCCCTTGTCCTACCTACCTAGGTAATCAATTGATCACTCGTGGAACAAACTCGTTCGCCCAGAGATCACTTTGGGGGTTTGGAGGAGCTCGAAAAACACACCGTCACCTCTTCCACTCTCGACCTCGTGGTCCTCCTAATACCTCCTTCCAACAACGCCTCAATCACCTCCCGCCACAAGAGACAATAATAATACACACACAATGTGCCGCCTCGTGCTCTTCGCGGGCACCTGCACCCGCTGCAACGAATCCCTCACCTGGGCCGACCTCTCCCAGCAGCTCTCGTGCCTCGAGGCCAAGAACGCCGACAAGTTCGGCTCGTGTCGGCGTGGCGTCGACGTCGAGACACACGCCTTTGATCAGGAATGCGACGCCTGCGCCGGCGAGGACGAAGGCGTTGCCGGTATGGACTTTGGTGAGCAGGATTTTCAGCAGTATCATCATCAATATCAACAGTATCAGCAATACCAACACCCGTCTTCAACAGCAGCAGTAGCAGGATCATCGTCGTCAGCGTCAATACCACAACCCGGCTCGAGCAAGAGGGGCCGGGACGAAGGGGAGGGAAGGAAGAAGAAGAAGGCGAGGACGTGAGGCCGAGGTTACTTCCGATAATGATGGAGTTATGACACGGTTCGAACTTTGGGGAAGGGTGTTTATCCATCCTTCCTCTGCTGTCTCTCTCTCTCTCTCTCTCTACTCCTGGCGAGGCGTTTGGTGTTCGACAAGGACTACATGTAATGGCATTGGGGCTTCGGGACTCGGGATACCACGGCGATGGCGTTGCACATGTGTGGGATTGGAATTGAGATCGGTCGATTGGAACCACATCAGCAACACCACAGGCACATGACGAATATGATGATCAGGACAAACGGGCAGGCAATAATGTTACTTTTGGGGCAGCACTGGCTTCAAGGCCAAAGGTGTGGCAGGACCGCAGCGGACTCTCCGCCGCATTCCTGAAGGGAGAGGGGAGATACCCTAGTCTATCTTTACCTACGTTAGTGGCGTGGCGATCGGGAGGGGCTCCTAGCGAGGGGATCCGCGCCTCTTGGCATGCGGGTGATGTACGACACGTCTCTCATGTTCCCTCGCGGGCGTCGAGTGGTCACGATGGAATCCTCTCTGACAAGAGATGACTTACAATTAATACAAAAGCGTAATTGACTTCGCAGCATGATCCCTTTTATTGATGCCATACTCATTGTCCTGTTGCTCAGATTCTCATGGGTGAGCGAGGGCTCTTTCCAGTTCCGCGTGACCAAACGAGGTAGATAACATGCGTGGAGTGTCCTAATTCCGTCTTGGCGATTAGTTGACCGTGGAACGAAGCCATGTTTCGTGATCAACCTGAGCGAATTTGACGACACCATGTAGTCTTTGGCACCTTCACCCTCCCAAGACATAATTCATCATCTTGAAAATCACCTGCGAGAAGCTCACTCGATAAGTTTGAGTCGTCTTGGAGTAAAGTGTGATTCTACATCAATTGGGACCTATTCACTTTGCCAGTTCACTCAGAGTGTGACATTGCCTCCGACATCATCGAGAAAGTCAGTGTCAAAGTTAGCATCCAGTGAAAGGTCCCATGCCCAATCTCCCTCCTCTATTTCCTGGTTCTGTGTGACCGTGCCACTTGCTTCCGGCCAGGCAAAGAGTATTTCCTGCTGCGGATCGTCGAGAAGAAAGTTACCCGTATCCCTATTGACGGGGCTTCTTAGGACCACGGCTATCTGTTCCTCGTCGTTACCAGGTGTCTGAGCTGTATTCGTCGAAGATTCGTCGAGGTCTGCTGGCGGCGGCGGCGGTGGCGGTGGCGGCATTGCTGGGCTCTCTTCTCGATCTAGGTTTCGAGCTTCCTCTTGTCTCCTTCCAAAGGCTTGCCTCATTGTGAGGCCCACATCTTGGATAATATCTCGCAGCCCTGCCATAAGCTCCGGCTCTACGTTCGCGAATCTTCGCTCTACCTCAGCTTCGACACGCTGTCGAAAGCGAATCGCGATTTCGCGGCGCTGATATTCCATCCAAGTCTCTTCTCGATCAAGCACCGAGGTATCATAATCGTAGTCTGAACAGGTTTCATGTTAGTTCCGTTAACCGTGCACTTTCATTGAATTGCTCCTCACAAGGTGTCGGCACTCCATCTTCTCTGGCGTCGAAGAGAATTATGTACGCTTGCTTCCACCTCTCTGCTTCGGTTCGATTTGGTGAGGACCTAACCCTAAGGCGACGTTCGATATCAGGCCCAAATTTGAACTCTCCGATTAGGTCCTTAATCTCGCAAAGCTGGGCTACTCTGAGGTGCGAGTCCAACCCAGTTCCCGACACAAGATCTTTTTGACATCTGCTGCATTGGAATGGCAATCGTCTATGTCGGCGGTAGAGATGTTCTCTTAAATTCATGTGTTAGTAAAGTAGGCCATTTGAATATCAAGTCGACGGTAACGAACTCACTTTAGACGATGCATTGTAGGCCACCCTGGACCTGCACAGTCCTTCTTCCTCTGGTATTCAAGAGGGTTCCACTTGTAAAAGGGGCATGCGAATTGCATGTTCGTGGGACCGCCGTGCCTGTCTGGCACTTTGCGGGGCCTCTCATCGCCGCCCTCGCCTTCGTCGCTTTCGTTGCCTTCATGTTTGTCGCCAGCAGGATATTTTCTGTTCCATCTACCGCCATCTTTCCCCTTCCCAGAAGTCTTTTGTCGCTTTGGGGGCTTTTTGCTCTGTTCTAGTTCAGTTGACCCCTCGGCCTGCGACGGAGTCTGTGTGGGTTCGCTTGTATTCTCTTTTTTGAAAGAAAGTGAGTTGCCTGTGGTGTCCTCTAAATGACTGTCCAAGTCATGGAGAAACGATTCCATGATTCTCTGGACTATCTGGCCCCTTTCTGCCTCCCATGCCCGCACGCATTGCTGTTCGTCCGCAGTCGAGCTGCTCCAAATATCCGACTCCTCATCGTGGGAGACCAAGCCTTCGTCCATATCCATCCGCATATCACCATTGGCAGGCGTCAGTATACTAGGAGTCCTTGGAAGGGAAGAAGTACTGGCGTCTAGCACTTCTCGAGTCTTTCCTGGGCGATTTTCCTGAGGTCGTCCTGTCTGCTCTGAAAGAGACGCAGAGGACCCTTCAGGTTTCCCCATAGGCCAAGTATCGTCCGTCCTGAATACGCGAAGACTTCCCATGGATGACTGTCTGCCTCTATCAACGTCAAATGGATGGCTATTGATGCCAACTGGCCGGATCGCGAAGTTCGTGGGGGATCGAGGATCGGTTAAGTTGGTTGTGAAAGACTCTTCAGGGTCTACTAAAGCCTGAGTAATTGATGGTGAGGTTTCCCAGGGATATGTTGGAGGTGCTGGCCTCGAGCTCTCTCTGTATCGTTCTTTACTGTATTGTCGAAGAGTCAAAGCACGCGAACTAACTGCTTCGCTGCTCATCAACTCCAGACCTTGGGCGCCGGCTAAACTCCCTTCTGAGGCCGCGTACAGAGAGGACATGGTCTGATAGTCGCTTGTCCCGTATTTATCGAAACTTGGTTCAAGAGCTTGATCTTTTGGGGCAAAAAGTTCCGATGGAAGCACTTCAAGCCGTTCGAGGCAAGCAGCTGGATCAAAATACCCAGTGCTCAGACAGGCAAAAATCTTCCCAATTAGGTGCTGGCTTCCGAGAAGCCTTTGGCATAGCTTGTTGACTATGTTGATGAAGTATCTCCCAGAAGTGTTATCGTCGTCTATCAGCGAAGTGTTTTTCCAGATGACAAAGAGTGTGCCCAACAAATGGGGATGCTCGTCCATAATGAGTTCGTCAAGAGCTTCCAGCTGTTTCCTAAATGGTAAGGGCATCAGACTGCCATAGCTGTGATTGATCCGAATGGCACAGATGGCTTTATCGGTCTCAGTGGCCCACTCGAACAGACGGTGTCCTCGGTTGATATGGTCTGCAAGATCTACAAAAACGGATCCTGAGACCACCGACTCATAGATGTGTTGAACAAGAAGTTGGGTGAAGTCGCGGTAATAAGATGCGTCCCTTGAGCTATCCGTCATTGGTGCCAACCAACCACTGGCAGACTGAGGCGTCTCGAAGTCTAGATGATCAGTGTGGTGGTCATTTTTTTGCTCAAATCCACCTTGGATTGTGTTGTTCAATTTGTTAGACTCGATCTCGCGTAATTCTTCGGAGTAGTTCTCTTTCTCTTCGTTCTCGTCGAGGTCATACCCGCCGTATTTGGAGCATTTCCAAATGCCAAGTCTGTAAACCAGCTGTCTCTTGCTGCAATCGTTTGTAGCATCAGTATGTTATGTTTCTTCGCATGGTGGTGTATCTTACGTTGGGACAAAATCGTGTTCAACCTTGAGAAATTGGATCAATTCTTCCAAGGTCCTGTTACGGTACTCCGTACAGATCACTACCTTCAAACTCTCCCATATATCCTCAGAACGCTTGCGTGCTCGCGAATTCGGCTTCTCGATAGGTTCGACGTGGTCCATCTTGGTCAACTGGGTCGATGTGTCAGGCTGTCTTTGGATCGGTTTATTACAATCTCGCAGCAAAGCAAAAGCACTGCCGCAGTACTTCAGTGTAGCATATCGCAGATTTCTGGGTAGTAAATAACAGGTGCCTTCCTGCTTTTATGGTCGTGAAGACGCTGAATATGCTCAACTGCGCAGCTGCGCACAGGGGCCGGTGGTCGCCACCCAACCTGTCAACCTGCCTCGTCAGCTGAAAGTGAGGGGCTTCGCCCAGTGCAAGCTTGAGAAAGTGTCCGTTTGCAAAGGCCATGATTGGAGAGTACCATATTGGCCCTTTGCCTGACGTGAGGCGGATCCACTGGACACCGAGATGAGGGGCAGGTGGCCGACAAAGGAGGGTGCCGGTCAACGTATAGAGATCCCCTCCCTCATAATCACTATCTTTTATACTGTCCCCTTTTCGTGTTCCTTGATTTACATTCTTCAGGCTATATATTTTGAGTGAATCATCTCAGCTGAAGAAAGAGAGAGTAATGATAGATATGCACAGAAGAGGGGGTAAAGGTAGAGGTGCGGTTTCAAGCGGTGAACTGTGTTGTCGCCCACTTGAGAGAGTCACATTTCAAAAGTCAGGTACACGATTAGAGCTATGCATCAGATTCATAGTTAGGCCGGGCTACTTCTTAGCACTTCAGATGCTTCTTCGCCAGCTTCCTGGGGTCAAATAGACTACCCAGAAACCAAGCCTAAGAATGTGTGATCCAGTACATCACTGTATCACGCCTCCCTCTTTGCAATGGGTTTCCTTGTCTCTCCCCATCCGTCTGCGGTCTTCCAACTTTCAAGGCAACATGATGTCGTAGGATCGACAGCAGCCAGCGCCTGGGCGAAAGCAAGTCTGAACAACACCGGAAGTTGATGCAGAACTACTACATCAATCTACAAGCTGGGTAAACTCTTGAAGATGACCTTACCTTGGGCTCAGGTCCTCAAACTTGACGGTATTCTCCTCAGACTATGGAACAGCCAAGTTCCTGACCAGCCTGTCTTGCGAGCTAAAACTGAGGTGATATACCCAGCACCTGGTTGGGGTATTCAGCAGAGGGTGAAGCTATGATTGGTGAAGCATCCTCAGCTGTCTGCTTGGTTTCAGGCTAACCACACGGCCCCGGTACGGCAAGGTCTTCTCAGGTCTCTTGCGAGCTGTGAAGAATTAGAGTGTAAAAGCGCGCACTTCACATAATATAGTCAGGAAACACATGACCAGCTCCTGACCGATACTCAAACATACATCTGAAGCAGCGCACGATCGCGGCTGGTACGATTGCCTTACTTCAACTGCCTAATGGCGACACAGCCAGCTTCTAGGAAGACCATGATGTCCTAAATGAGCACTTGGGAATACAGTCAAGACCTACGTTACTTGAAATTTCCTCATATCTCTCGATTCGTCCTCCAACTTCCAAGGCCTTTTGAAATCGTTAGGAAGACGGCGTTCGAGGCACAGGGGGAAACAAACTTGACAGACACTGGGCTTTGCAAAACACAATGACTTCAAGGAACCCAGAGACTGAGGACCCGAGTTGACAACGATCCGTGGTATTACAAGTCATCGTCTACCCATCCTCCCGGAATACGTAAAGGTGGATTTTCGATCAGGTCCCAGAACTCCCCGGCGTATTCCTCGGCCTCTGGACTCCAGACAAGCTTCCAGTCTTCAGGCTCGGGCCCGTACGTGAAAGATGTCAGTCGCATTCCGGGATAGGACTCATAATAGCCATCGTCGCGAGTAGACCTGATCCTTAAACGTCGCTCTTGCAGCAATGCATCGCGCTTGAAAACCTCCATCTCTCGTCGCCCATATTCATCAAGGTCTATGCTTGAGGTCTGCATATCCTCCAGCCACATTCGTAAAAGCTTATGAATACAACGGCCGATGTTGACATAGTTCCATGGCATATCAAAAATGCCAATAAAGAGTGGTGTGTATTGACCCTCCCCCGCATACGAAGACTCTTGCATGCTTAGCCTTTCCAGAGACGTTCCCTTGAAGATCCACCGTGCAAGTCCCCTCCAGTAATAGTTTTCATTGTCCACAATGTAAAATCTGTAGTTTCTCGCGAAGCGCCCTAGAGAGCCATTCTGTGACTTTTCTATGGTGGCACAGAAGTCTTCAGGCTGGAGGTCTTTGTCGTGTTGAATGTCTTCTAGCAGAATCTGTGGATTGATTTGGGACCAGTCCAAATGAGCAAAGCGTGCCGTTAATGGGAGCTGAGTCGCCGTGACCACTAGGCTTCTCTTCATATATTGGAGAGCTTCAGGGGCGTTCCAAACAAAGCTAGAGATGGCACTTAGGTTCATGGTCGTTTCTCCTGGGGCACAATATTCCTCCAGGCTGTCATCGAGGGCGACGTAGATCCATATCTTGAAAAGTTCCAAAACGTCACTCGGGCCATCGATGAAGCCTTCAAATTGAAGAAGCTTAACGTGGTCACGTAGATCGCTGAGGTTTAAGCCCATGCTGAGTAGATGGTGAACGATGCTCAATCTTTCCCAGTCGACTGCTATCTAGGTCAAGCGTCAGCTTCAATCTCATTAAGAGCATGGACGAAGTCCGTACATGTAGCAATGTTCTTCCATCCTCATCACGGTCAAATAAAGACGCCCGGCCCTCCTTGATGTCACAGAGAGCGTTTTCCCATTCATTTTCTTTAATATATCTAAAGATGGGAGTATCATCAGGTCGAACTGTCCATGCTCGCAGAGAGTGCTTCCACCCAGCATACGCATTGTAAACTTGTATGTTCCAAATCGTTGCTGATATCCAACATGGCAGCTGCAACTGTGCCTGGTATACTGGAAAGTGTTAGTAGCATTCTTGGACTTTAATACCAACTAATGCTTGGACCTACTTTGAACTTCAGGAAACTCAGGGTGTGGGACGCTCTGGCTGACAAAACTACCGAAAATTGAAGCCCGTGTTTGCAGAACTGAACTTTTCCTAGACTTTCTCGCAACATTGATAGCAGCATTGCTTCCAATAATTGGACCCTGTGTGAATCCAACGTGTTGGCAGGGGGAAGTCTCAATCAGCGGAAGATTCGATCCCGCTATATTAGCTTGGACTGAGTATGGCTGGGGCTTGGCATTTATATCGATACTGTAGACTTCCCTTAGCGACTTCAAATTGCAGAACACACTGTTGCACTTACTAGATTCTTGTACTCAGTGATAGGCTCAGTATCTGCAAAGCGGTCTGTACCTTTTGCTCGCAACTCCGAATCAGGTCCTTCTTAAAAGTGACTTTCAGCTTTGTAATCCTCCTTCTAAACCTTTTGGCCGTGGCAATCTGTTGCTGCAAGTCTGTCGCCAGAGTGTCCAAATCGGTCGCGGCTTGTTGACACCAGTTTAGACTGACATCAAGTGTGCCAAAATTCGGGTCGCCAGCCTTGTCGAATGCTCTATCCAGCTCAGTCAGCGTCGCGTTGAGGATGTCAACCATTCCAACAAGCTGATTCATCTCGCTAGGTACTTCCTGGACTTCGTCCCAAAGCTTCTTGAGCTTGATCGTGCTGGAGCCCAGTTTTCCCGCGATCTCGACGACCGTGAAAGCGCTGACTACGACACCGAAGACTTCTGCCATTGTAGCTACTGCTCTTCTTCTGGATTCCTCGTGGTCTCGTTTGGTCTCAAAGTTACAGGATAGGGTCGAACGGTAGATGGTCGTTGAGGGGTATTCTACTATGGATGGTCAGAGAACCAAGAAGCCAGGCGCCAGGTGCGGTCAGCAGAATACATATACAAGAGGATGGGCAGACCGAAGGGGGCTTTATGCGCCTTTGGACGCCCGAATAGAGCAGGCTGCGTGGCAGATAAGCCCCAGCAATGCCTCCCAAGCGCCAGGGTTTCCTGCAGGCTGTGGGTGTTGCATCAGAAAGAACCAATTAAGAGTAACCCACACGTCACTCAAAGCGTCAGACGAACGAGGGCGTCTGCCAATGGTAGGTAAGGCGAGGCGGGAGTTGGCTACTTGTTGATGGCTTCGCGCTGGCTTGCGCCTTGAGTTTTCGTCCACCTACGCTCCGGTTCACCTCTTCTCCGAGACCCCGCTAATGCTTCGAGAAGATCAATCAGTGCATGCTGAATCTTAATAGACAAGACCTACTCGGCGCTGGTTTGATTTCCAGGGTAATATTCTCTTTCCAGCCTCATAATGACATGCACATCTCACACCATGTCAGCAAGGCCATCAAAGGACAAGCTTCCCCATTGAGTTGTAACGTAATTTGATTATCCAGGAAAGTCTACAGTAAGCCCACGCATATCTCAATCTATACATGCCAAGACAAAAGAAAGGTATCATCTATGAAAGTGATAAATGCTCAACTAGAAGAAGTGCGCACATCAACGGCTCACTGGATGGTCGGAGGCGGCGTTGGTTGCCGTTTCGGCCTGGCAGGCGCAATCTCTGGTGGTGGCGGTGCGGGCTTGGGTGGCTCAGGGCTCACTTTGGTTGGCTCTGGTGTCGGAGAAGCCTTTGGCGATTCTGTCTTGGCTTTTTGGGGCTCCGGCGCAGCCTGCGGTGATTCCGGTGCCGTCTTCACAGATTCTGGAGTCTTGTCGGCAGCTTCCGACCCGTTCTCGGGCGTTGGTTCTGACGGGGCATCAGCAGACTTCGTCGTCGGCGTAGGCGGCTCAACCTTCTTCTTAACCAAGTCCCCATCCCACACATCCCTCACAAGCCCCCAATACCTCGACGAATCCAACTTGGCATGCGCAACATGCTGACTGCCATCAAACCTCTCCTTGCGGACCTTGAACCCAGCCTCAGCCGACTCCTCCGCATGCCTCTCCACATCACCCCAGTAAATCATCTCATCCTCCTTGCTGTACAAATACGCCCTTCGCCTCTCACTACCCAACAGCGCCTTTTGCCTGAGCGCCGCCCACATCTTGCCGAAGAACCCGACCCGCCCGAGCGGGACGTGGAAGAGCCAGAACCAGCCGATGAAGACGTGAGCCAGCGGCGCCAGAATCCGCGGCATCGAAGCCGAGAGGGCGCGGTAGCTGCGCATCCAGTGGAATCCACCCGGGCAGGAATCGTAAAGAGTCACGTGCAGCGGGAGTTCCAGACGGCCCGCGCGGTCCGCGTCGGCGTAGAGCTCGAGGAATTTGGCGAGGTTGGTGGCGCCGCCGTTGGAGAAGACGTGGAAGAGGAGCTGCGGGGCCCGCTGCCCCGTGCCCGTCCCGGAGGAGGCCGGCGGCGGAGTGGAGTCGGCTAGGGAGCGGATTACGGGGACCGCCGGCTTGATTTGCCGCTTGGAGATGCGGGTGGAGAGGGTGTGGATGAAGGGGCATTTTACGAGGAGGATGCTGGCGGAGGGGTACATGGCCATGTACCGCGAGGTGTACTTTGCAATATGGACATCTTGAGCCGACATCCAGCTGAAGATGGCGACAAGCTTGGGTGAGTTTGGGTCCGGAACGGATGAGGGCGGGTCGTAGAGGAACGTCGTCGGTGAGAGCTCTTGCATGGCTGGCAGGGGTCCGGCAGCGCCGGCGGGCTGGTTTGACGCCATCTTGAGAGGTGGGAATAAGGGTGTGCAAGAGAAACTCTCGACAGCGACCGTTGCTTTTGGCGACGAACTATCCGATGAAGAATCCTGGGAGAGGGTTACAGTCAACGTCCAATGTCAAGACAAGGGAGGAAGGTGTGGTGAGGTTAAGATATAAGGTAGACGGACCTCCAATGGGATGGACGGGTCACTTAAGGAACGTTAGGCAGTGCATTCATCAGCCCTAGCCTCGGGTCTTGTCGTCATCATGTTAAGGTTGGCTAAATTTCCCTTTCTGGTAAGTGCCTCGGCTTTTCATCCCTGCCGCACGGGGCTCAGGTTGTCTCAACCAAATCCTGAGGGATTCACGTTGAGATCTTGGCTACAATTCTGCATCAATGTCAAAATATTGATGGGAAAATAGGAGATTCTGGTCAGACCGGAGCGGCACGATGGGATTGGACCAGCGGCCCGCCGGCGGGACATGGACCCCGAATCTTGGTAGCTGATCGGTCCCAAGGTCCGGAGCTGAGACCGGGGCTGTCAGCACCTTATCCTCGCAGCATATGTTGTTGGATGGGACACGTCGTGCTGATGATCATGTCATGAGCTTGCTGCGGTTTCTCGTCAGACCTTTCCATCTATCGTCGACGTTGCTCAACACGATCTGAACGTCAGACCGTGTTTGTCAACCGTAGGAATCGGCAATACCCAAATTTCAGGGGTTCAGCAAGGACCGTCACTCGTCGTGTCAGTCTACTCGGTTGAGGTCAGGTCCAATTGGTAGCGACGTAATCAGGTCGGGTATGTCGCAAAGCGGCAGTGGTGTCATACCATGCACAACACATGCGGATGGTGCGCCATCTCGCATTTGACGTGAGGGAACAAACAGATTCGCTAGGCAGGGGACAAGAGCGTCGAAAGCGAACAGCGAGGAATATGTTTCTGATCATCTTCCACAACACGTTGAGAGTACATGGCGTGGACGCGATTGACAAGCTCAAACAAACATGGTAGTATTATCTCGTGTTACTAGGCTTGATCCAACGGTAACGGGACAGGCTTTTCAAGCTCCAACAACCTCTGTAGCCGGGGGTAACCGATGCACCGTAGATCATTTGCGTTTGCTCCGTGGGCGAGCCGACTTCCGATCACATGTGCCTGGTCTTACCAGAACATGAGATGGCATGATGGAGAAGTGCTGCAGGTATCCGTTGTGTGTAACTAAAACAATTTAAGTAAGATAGAGCTTTTGGTCCTCGAATGGCGAGGACCCGATGTCTTTCGAGAACTCGATGGTCAGTATCGTGAATGAAACAGCCTAAAGGCAATGGACGAAGCTTGGCTGAATGAAGGAGGCTCAAGTAATTGCAAAAGGTCACTGTAAATGTGCCCAATACTCGTTCGAAGTAATGTGACATCCGTAAACACCGGCCCTGATACGGGGTTAAGACCGTTTGCTTCGACATGTGAGGAAGGGTGAGCCGCAGAAGAAATTTACCTTAAAGGACCGAATAGCTTTCCAAAGCCAAGCATGACTGGATGAGACTGCGGACTCGTTGCGGGCCCCAGCCATGAGCCATGATCATTTTCGTACCGTCGTTGTTTGTGAGATTTCAGAGTTAGGCATCGATGATAACTTTGCAAGTGCCTTCCGAACTGGTGTCAAACTGTAACTTCCTCAACGGGAGGCCAGGATATCAAAGGCAGGTACGCTGTTTCCGTGTGGATCTGGTCCTTCCGAGATGGAAGTGGCATCCCGAGCAAACGACTCAAGGCGAGCGCTACTTGCCCCTCCTGCCATCCACGATGGCAACCACCTTCGGTATCTCCTTCCACCTCCTGGCAGTCACCACCATACACACACTCTCCTGATGTTACAATTCCTCCGAAAGGAAGTAACGCAACCGGGACCAGCCAAGAAGGAAGGCACCTTTGCATCTGCTGCGCCTTCCTGTCGTCACCGCCTGTCCCAAACACATATCCGTGGATTGTCCCCCTTTTCCTGACACTTCATCTTCCTCGCCTTGACCAACCTTTCTTAGCCTTCGTTCCCCAACATCTCGCCGCTGTCCTCGTCAATCTTTCAAAAGGAGATGCAAGCTGTGGCTCGACTGTCTCGTCCCTTCTCTTGTCCCATCCATCATTCGTTTCAACCACCCTCTTTTCCTCACTCTCTCCGTGATCCAAATACGTTATGAAGGTCACCAACGTCATCTCCCCCTTGTTGGGAGTCGGCCTTTTTTCCGCCGATGTTGTCTTGGCCAAGGATAGACGCCATGTTGGTGTCGAGATCAAGAGCCCTCTCAAGGGCGTCAACTTCCAGCGCATCAAGGCCTTTCGCGAGGCTGCCCCTGATGAAGTTTCTGGCCGCGTCCAGAAACTGAAGCCATTCCATGGTAGAATCACCGGCCACAACGCCGCCACTGCCTTGGGCGCGGCCCAGCCTCAAGACCTCTCATCTAGCTACCAGAACATCACAGCCTTGTCTCCCTGGGGTACTCAGTATGCCGTCGAGGTCACCTGGGATGGCAAGCTCATCAACATGATCTTCGACACCGGCAGCAGCGACACTTGGACCACCAGTTCTAAACTGACCTGTACCAACCTGTCAGGCACTGCTGTCTATTCCCCTGAATCTTGCGGCTTTGGACCGGACAAGATTGACGAGTTCAAATATGGCCCCGTCGAGGATGTCCACTTCGCCTTGAGCTATGGCTCTGGCGAGCGAGTGTCTGGCCCCATGGGTTACAGTGACATCGAGGTTGCCGGCATTATCGTCAAACAACAGCAGGTCGGCCTGGCCAACAAGACATACTGGATGGGCAACAACTACACCAACGGTGTTCTCGGTCTTGCCTATCCCTCCATCACCAGTGCTTTCACCGGCGACATGAATGAGGATCGCCCTGCCTTCCAGGTTCCATACTCGCCCTTCTTCACCAGCATGGTTCAGCAAGGACTCTCCTCAGACGCCTTCAGTGTTTCTCTAGTTCGCAATTCGTCTGGCGTAATTGGATGGGGTGGCCGCACTGGTCTGCCAATTACTGGTCCTACAGCCTACACCGACCTCATCATTGTAAGTTTTGGCTAAAATAAAATCGCATCTCAGTTGACTCACAATATTGAAGACTAGCATCAACTCTCAGCGTCCCGACGGGAGTTGGCAATACTCATACTACACCATCCTCGTCGATGGCTTACGTTGGGGATCCACCAGCGACACCAAGAAGTACCCGTACATTGTCGACACCGGCACGACGCTCATGTACGTGCCTCCACCCACGGCTGAGGCAATCGCCAGATCTTTCTCCCCCAGCGCCATCTACTTATTCCAGTATGGCGGATACTTTGCTCCTTGCGATGCTATTGCTCCCAAGGTGGCCGTCGTCATCGAAGGCGCGAGCTTCTTCATCAACCCAGTGGACCTCATCTACCGCGGGCTTGTGGACCCTCTCACGGGTTACTGCCAGGTCGGAATCACCACTGGAGGCACCGGTCCGTATATCCTGGGCTCCGTCTTCCTTCACAATGTCGAGGCCTACTTCGATGTTGGTGCTGGCCAGGTCCGCTTCTACGGCCGTGAACTCTATGGTGTCACTCCTCAACTTCCTGAGAAGTAGAATGACAGACAAATTCCTTAAGCCGGGGATTTTGCGTCAGCTTGAAAGAGTTTCAGATGTAGGTCATCCAATGTCATGTGAGGTGGCAGTTCAACAAGATTGGCGATGAATTTGTTAAGGTTGTTTTGGGGTCATATTGGCCAAAGACATAGTTGCTTACGCAGAGATGTGATTGTACTGGTGAGATAGGGTTCAGTCTAGTGAATGCCACTTGCCTCATACTTTCTTTGAATGCTTGGAATCGTTCTGGTTGAGCATTCTCGCTTGCTCCACCTTGTGACGCCCAGGGCAGCCTGGTAAAGTGCAATTCCAGGTTAGAGACAGCGGCAGTTCCAGCGCAGGTTGTGTTTTCCACAGTGGACGAGACTGAAACCGGTGCTCGGGTCGGGACTTATCGGAGTGGCGACGAGGGCTTATCGAGACCTATAGTCCTTATCGATAAGACAGTGAGGTCACCGCGACGGCGCTCTGATTTCTGCCACTTGATTCAACGCTTCACGATCCAGGCCCTTCGGCAACACTTACTCATACTTCACCGACTTCCTTCCGAGCGATACCGACCTTGCTGCTTCAGAGGCCAGTCATCTCCTTCTCTTCTCCTCTGCAGATTCTTCACGACCCTCTCGCGTTCTCTTGCACCACCTCTTTTCCCCGTCACGATCATATCGCCTCAACTCGTTTGCGGTGTGCGGCGGTTACTCGGCAGTCGCTGTACCGATCGTCTGAACCCCTCCGACATCCCCCGTGGTCGGCAACGTGTCTGGGGAAAAGACTGGAATAGTGTTCTTCCGACTTGACCTGGAGAGCAATCTGGACGAAGGCATTCCCGGATTTTAAGCAAATCACCAAAGTCCAGTTCAAAGCGACGTTTCCAAACAGCCCAACCATCCACCATGGGTATCGGAGTGATCCCGGCAAATAGTGCCGACGAAAGTAAGAAGACGCCTCGACGACAGCACACCTGGAGCTTTAGCAAGGTACGATATTATCGAATTTCCTAGCTTTCTTTTCTTTTGATATTCAGAAGCCATGCCGTTTATTATCGATTCTTTTTCGGTTCCTTTCTGCGGATTTCAGTCGTCTTATTTGCAGCGCAATGCCTTGCACCAGCTTTCTCATGGGCATCGTCAAGTGACTTTTTCCCCCTTGCCCAGTCGAGGGCCTCCTGGCGGTGTGAATAATCACGCAGGGGTGTTGGTCAGTGATGGGGCTCCCCCTCGCTTTTCCTTCTGGACTATTGATACGATCTGGCAATCGTGCCGATTTGCTGGATCCGAGTCCCGGCCGGCTGGACCTGCTGGTTCGGAGAGGCAGTAATAGCCTCTGGTTGTCCAAGCTCAGGCTCTGCGGATAGAAGCGTTTCCACCTAGCAAGTGCGGCGGTGAAATTTCCCATGTTGCACGGTCAGGAGACTTGTCCCGGGTGACCTTTTCCCCTGGCGGATTTCGTGGGGGTCAGCTGTTAGTGGCCATTAAGTTGCTCAATTGAGCCTCGAGAGCTTGGGGACCTGGATGACTCTGATATTAATGCGAAGTCGACTGTTGGATCCTTGGATTTCTGCTTGTTGGAATATAGCTGCAGCCGGGAGTGGCCGAGCAACAAACGGGCAATTGGAGTGCAAACGATTGGCAAAGTTGTCCAGATATCAACGGCAACAGAAAGGGCCCTCAAATGGATATTTGGGGTTGGAATGGGAAATTCAAGAGAACTGGAATTTGGTTTCATTCTTCAGCACAAGAGGAGTCTTGTTTGCATCCTCGTCATCACGAAAAGGCAGTTCACCGAATTCAGATGTACCTGGTGGTCGTGAGGAGGCTCCGGCTATGTCTGGCAAGTCAGAACCATCAGTTCGGCGTGGTCTGATGTCCACCTCGGCTGTGCTCGGTGAGAGCTTCTCTCTTGGCTCTTGGAAGGGTGTTGAACCAAGAAAGCCGACTGGCGAACTGGGCAAGCTGGGCGCGAGCAGGGTGCGAGATGTCCCGGTGACTGAGGTGGATGCGCTGAACTGCTGGAGCTTCAAGCTGGAGCTGTGCCCTTGACTGGAGCTGCCCTTCCAGCGGTCCAGTGGACTGGGCCCCCCGACAAGGGGCACCGGGGAAAGGCGGGCAGAATGAGGGGCAACCGAATGGGGGGGAATTGGAGGTCACCCGGGGGCATGGGGTCAGTGGTTATGGAGGGGCGGGCAGACCACGGACGACAAGCCGCGCGAGGGGGACGGCGGCCTCTGCCGTTGCGCACAATGGAACGAATGACCTGCCCTGCATGCATACCTAGTTAGGTACATGCATCTGAATGGCGTCCGTCTTTTGTTTTGCGAAGCTGGTGAGCTGCTGGTGGTCTCAGTTGCATACGGGCGAACGGGACGTCTTGAAGATGGGAGTTTCCTTTCTTCTGTTTGGTGTTCCAGTCTTCCAACGGCCTCGGGCTACATGGCAGACCCTATTCTACCTTACGGATAGTGCAGTCTTCTGTCCACTGGTTCGCTAGTAGTGACCCAGCACATGTCACTCCTGGAATTCAGGAAGATACATGGGGTCACCGTCTGCCCAAGTACCTACCTACAGATACACACCTGCACAAACAGCGATCCATCCCCCCGGCAAGGCACATGTCGCATCAGTTCATCCAGTGGTGGACTTGATATCTGAACTGGGCAACCTGACCTGATGGATGAGCTGAGCCTGGTGTCTCTCCATCAAGACTGTTGCCGTCGTTGCGCCCGCTATTTGTTCTTGGGGTCTGAGTCTCGTCCAAGGTACTGCCGAGTTCAGCGATTTCCATACTCTGAGCCTTGAGGTGAGGTACCTTACCTACATTGCTCATGAGTACTTGCTGCTCTCGGCTCTTTGCTGACAGCCAACTCGACTCCAAGTAGTCGTCCATTGCCTCTTCTTGTTCCTCGGGATATCCTCTCGGCGCCCTTGTCCTCTACGTCTTCCCCCCTCCTCGTTTACCTATGTTTTACGTACCTTTCTCTTAATCCCCTTCACACTTTCACGTACTCACGCACGCCGCCCATCCACTCATTACTCTATGCCCTCCACCCTCACCTTTCACCTCACCTAACATCAGGTCACTCTCTTCTCCTCACTACATCATCGTTCCCCAAACTCTGTGCAACCTTAGGTCTGCTGTTTCCTCATCTCCTTACACCTACACATACCCATATCATCACCTACCTACCCCTACCTTACCTAGTACTCTTACCTGCAAACGGAATTCTTCAGCAAACAACGTTTTGGACCACACCCGTTGGCTCAGTGTTCTACCTGCCCCTTGCCAGTATCTCTATCAAAGAGGTCTAGGAGACAAGGACCTCCTCCACTTCTTTCAGCAGTTCCATGTCGTCCGGCTCAGAGTGACTCTGAACCCCCGTCATCCCCGTCACCCCCGTCCCAAAGTCACCGCACCCGCCCCGAAAGTCACACCCGAGGGGTCCCGCCTATTTGGGCGTAGAGCTACCTGCCACGAGCTGGAAGCATCACGCGAGCTGCCTTCCTCCACGCTCTCTCTTTTCCACGCCACTCAATTCATCTCCGGCTTCCTTCTCATGCCTACGCGCTTTCAGTCTCTACAACATCATTTTCCTTCTGTCTCGTCATAACAACTTCCGCTCAGACAACACCAAAACGAAAGAGAGAACGAGAAGAAGCACAGCGTCAAGATGCCGGGCAAGACTAACGGCATAGGCGTTCAGGTGGAGGATACCAAGATATGCGTCGTCATGGTTGGTCTGCCTGCTCGGGGCAAGAGCTTCATCGCTCAGAAGGGTACGTAAATATTCCAGCTGCGTATTTCTGGAAGAATATCCGGCAAACGACGCCGCCGCCGCTTCGGCGCATATTCACGGCGTTGGTATTCCGATTATTTGGCACTGACGTGTTTGGCACAGCGCAACGCTATCTGGGTTGGCTCTCCATCAAGGCAAAGACCTTCAATGTGGGCAGCTACCGCCGCCAGGAGGACGCGCACCCCTCGGCTGATTTCTTTGATTTCTATAACACCGAGGGCGAGCGTAGACGTCGCGCCGCTGCCGAGAAGGCCATTGAGGACATGCTCGCCTGGTTCCGTCAGGGCGGTGTCATCGGCATCCTCGATGCCACCAACTCTACCAAGGAGCGTCGCAAGTGGGTTCTTGACATTTGCACCAAGGAGGGCATCGAGGTTCTCTTCGTCGAGAGCAAGTGCGACAACGAGAACCTCATCATGGCCAACATTCGCGATGTCAAGACTACCTCACCCGACTACCAGGGCCAGGACCCCGAGGAGGCTGCGCTTGACTTCCGCAACCGCATTCGCAACTACGAGAAGGTCTACAAGACGCTCGACGAGGATGGCGATGAGAACGAGTACACCTACCTCAAGATCATGGATGTCGGCAAGCAGGTCATCATCAACCGCATCCAGGACTACCTTCAGAGTCGCGTTGTCTACTATCTCATGAACCTGCACATCCGCCCTCGCTCCATCTGGCTATCTAGAGTATGTATCACTAACTTTGCGCTGTTGAGTCCAGGCTAACAAGAGACAGCACGGAGAGTCCATGTACAACTTGGATGGCCGCATTGGTGGCGACACTGTGCTCTCTCCCCGTGGTGAACAGTATGCGCGCAAGCTCCCCGAGCTCGTCCGCAAGTCAGTCGGTGTAAGTTGTTCCACAAAATGCGCCTTATAGCCAAATTTGCTCATCAGCCTACAGGACGATCGTCCCCTGACCGTCTGGACCTCGACTCTCAAGCGCACCATCGCGACCGCTCGTTTCCTCCCCTCTGACTACAACCAGTTGCAGTGGAAGGCTCTCGACGAGCTTGACTCCGGCGTCTGTGACGGCCTCACCTACCAGGAAATCAAGGACCGTTTCCCGGAGGATTTTGCCGCCCGTGACGAGGACAAGTACAATTACCGCTACCGCGGCGGTGAGTCGTACCGCGACGTCGTCATTCGCCTCGAGCCCATCATCATGGAGCTCGAGCGCAGCGAGGACATCCTCATTGTCACCCACCAGGCCGTACTGCGCTGCATCTACGCCTACTTCATGAACAAGAACCAGGCCGACAGCCCCTGGATGAATGTGCCCCTGCACACCCTCATCAAGCTCACCCCTCGCGCCTACGGAACCGAAGAGGTGCGCTACGAGGCTAACATCCCGGCTGTCAGCACCTGGCGTGGCAAGGGTTCTACGGCCAAGCACGAGAACCCGGTTCCTGAGTGTACGTGAAAAGAATCCTTGCAACCGGGTTGGTAATGAAGATTGACTGACGGAATGGAGTAGAAATCTGAGGAAGCGAACGTGGGCGTGTCTGTCACGCGGTTTCAGTCTCTGTGACCAAGACAGTTCGAGGTCGAATCGAGACCTGCGCACGCGAAGGATTTCCTTTTTTCTCTTGACGACGACGACGTTTTCAGACTCCACTTTTCGGCATATTCCATTTGGTTCACGATGGCGTTCAGGGACAACACGGAGAGAGAGAGAGAGAGAGAGAGAAAAGATGACCAAGTACATGGAGTACGGCGGCAAAAAAACGCGGAGAGTGGTGGCATATGAAGTCGGAGGGAATCCGACAACCATTCTCGATGGAACAAATTACCTTGCTTTTTTACTGGACCAGACGGACGTCAACACGGCGACTACATCACACTGTTTACACTTCTTACGATGAAGTGGGCTTCCACGCTTTCAAAGTCTTGCGGTTGCTGTCGCGATGCATCCATGGTCCGGTATCACAATTACTTTGCTCAAGTTCCTACAACTACTCTAGGACAAATGGTTTCAAGGTTCGACAATTCACAATCAAAATGAAAGGGGAAGAAAGGCAGGGGGACAAAAGTTGCATCGATCGGAAGGGGGTGTACGCGGACGGTTTGAGTGGTTGCGGACACCGGCATAGAGGTTCGGCTTGGACCAAGGACCATTTGACACCCGTCTGGGTGTGACGAGGGGCTGGACCGTGGGACCTTTTTTGCTGCCCGGCCTTCTCTACATGTTCCCTTTAGTTTCCCAGTTTCATAGCTTCATGATGATAGTACCTACGTTAGGTACCAATGACTTTCTCTCGCTGTTGTGTGACTGACATAAGACCGATACCGTATCGTGGTGATAGGGCCTGAGCAACCAGCACCATTGAAGGTGGGAGAGTCCCAAGGATGATTTTGTTACTGCCTTCTTCCAGTCGGTGTAATCGGCCCCATAAGAGTCAGACGAACGGCGATTTCAAGGTGAAAAGCTTCTCGATAACTATCCGACGAGACCCGCGGGCAGTGGCTGAGAAGCAAGCAATTTCAACGGAATTATGTGATGTGATGCTCGGTAGTAGCCTATGAATCAAACAGTTACTCGGTGATGTCTGCGCTTGCAGCGACCTTGCCTGGAATCATGGCCAATGGAATGTCCGAACATCTTGTCATCCAAAAAATCGGACCTGGGTTTCAAGTGAGTCATAAACACGAAACTATCGTTCGAGGTGGCTTCTACCGTGATGGCCTCGACCACAACATGAAAAGCTTGAATCTGATTCCAGACTCTGCTCTATGGGCATACAAGACCGGGACGCCTACGTCCAAGTTGATGCAGGTAGGCGCTCGCCAATCCCACCATCAGTATCCGGTACGTACCTTGTGCCCCGCACCACATTCCACTCGGGATGGATTAACCACCTCCGTTATCAGCCGAGACTTTTTAGACCGATAAGAAAAAAAAATTCCCAGGCGGGAGAGGGTCGACGCTCTGAGAGCCAGCTGCAGTGAGAAGTTCACTCAAGCCGCCTACACTGCACGGTTTTCTACAACGCAATTTTCGCATTGCAAAAAACCGCCACAAAACCACACAACATGGACGCCGCCACGAGCAAGAAGAGAAAGTCCCGCGACTCCAATGGCGTAAAGGTCTCCAGCAAAAAGCGAGCCGCCGAGGCAGAGGTCCCCGCCGCCGCCACGACCGCTGAGGCCCCCGCGAAGAAGTCCAAGAAGGTGAAGCGCAGCAAGCAGCCCGAGCCCGAGCCGGAATCCGACAACGAGGAGGAGGTCGAAGCCGAATCCGGCAGCGACGCCGAAGATGTCGAGAATGAGGAGGAGACGGCCGCCGCCAACTTTAAGACCGACCACACACAAGACGACAACGACGAGGGCAACGGCTCCGACCTCGACGAAGACGTCTCTGCACCCGCAAAGGAAACCGCCGACGGCGACGACATCCCCAACGCGCAACAACTCTCCCTCCCGCCCGTCGCGGGCGCCGAGGCCCACGACTTCTCCGAGCTCAACCTCTCCGAAAAGACAATGAGGGCCATTGGCGACATGGGCTTCACTAAGATGACGGAGATCCAGAGGCGGGGTATCCCGCCCCTGCTGAGCGGCAAGGACGTCCTGGGAGCAGCCAAGACGGGTTCCGGAAAGACGCTCGCGTTCCTCATCCCCGCCGTTGAGATGCTCAGTGCCCTGCGCTTCAAGCCGCGCAACGGCACGGGCGTCATCGTCGTCTCGCCTACCCGCGAGCTGGCGCTGCAGATTTTCGGCGTGGCGCGGGAGTTGATGGCGCACCACTCGCAGACATACGGCATCGTCATCGGCGGCGCGAACCGTCGCGCCGAAGCAGACAAGTTGCAAAAGGGTGTTAACCTCCTGATTGCCACGCCCGGCCGTCTGCTGGATCACCTGCAAAACACCCCCTTCGTCTTCAAAAACTTGAAGTCCCTCATCATCGACGAGGCCGACCGGATATTGGAAATCGGTTTCGAGGATGAGATGAGGCAAATCGTTAAGATTCTGCCCAAGAACGACCGCCAGACTATGCTCTTCTCCGCGACGCAGACGACCAAGGTCGAGGACCTGGCGCGCATCTCGCTTCGCCCGGGCCCGTTGTACGTGAACGTCGACGAGAAGCAGGAGCACAGCACTGTTGCCAACCTGGAGCAGGGGTACGTTCTCTGCGACGCGGATAAGCGGTTCCTTCTGCTCTTCTCGTTCCTGAAGCGCAACCTCAAGAAGAAGGTGATTGTCTTCTTCAGCAGTTGTAACTCGGTCAAGTACCACGCCGAGCTGCTCAACTACATCGATCTGCCGGTGTTGGATCTGCACGGCAAGCAGAAGCAGCAGAAGCGGACGAATACGTTTTTCGAGTTTTGCAATGCGAAGCAGGGTACGCTTATCTGCACCGACGTTGCCGCTCGTGGTTTGGATGTAAGTCACAATCGTCTCCGAATAAGTTTGTAGATGGAATAGTTTACTGACAGAACTCTTTAGATCCCCGCCGTAGACTGGATCGTCCAGGTCGATCCCCCAGACGACCCGCGCGACTACATCCACCGCGTCGGCCGAACCGCCCGCGGCTCCAACAGCAAGGGCCGCTCCCTCATGTTCCTCCAGCCCAGCGAGGTCGGCTTCCTGACGCATCTCAAGGAAGCCCGCGTCCCCGTCGTCGAGTTCGATTTCCCCGCCAACAAGGTCGCCAACATCCAGTCCCTGCTCGAGAAGCTCATCAACCAGAACTACTACCTCAACAAGAGCGCAAAGGACGGCTACCGTTCGTACCTGCACGCGTACGCGTCGCACTCGCTGCGGACTGTCTTTGACGTGAATAAGCTGGATCTCGCTAAAGTGGCCAAGAGCTTTGGGTTCTCGACGCCGCCGCGGGTGGATATTACTGTGGGCGCGAGCATGAGTCGGGATAAGAAGACGCAGGGGCGGAGGGCGTATGGAAGTCAGCCTAGGAACCAGCAGAGTGGCACTGGTGGGTTTTATAAGAAGCGGTAAAGGGGTGAGTTTGAGGGGGAAGTTCAGTGGATGATGATGAGGAAGAGGCTTGTTATTGCTGAGATGGCATTGTCTTGTGAGAATAGATTTGGTCAGCACGGCGTCGCGTCATCAAAACATTATGATGGTTCAAAAAATGGTAATTTGGGACTGGCTTTTTCATTCTAGAATCTTGGTCTTGCTTTATGACTTGTGGTGGTGTATAAATGGCTCAATTGTCTCTCACAAGGGAAGAAAGAGCCTCACCTTTCACTTTCGATCCTCAACATGTTTTCAGTCCAGGTGAAAGAGACGAAGGCATTCAAAGGATGGTCTGGCCTCGATGCCTACCGGGAAGACAACGAAGCCTCCATCTTTCATTATAAGGCTAGCAAGTTCGAGGCCAGGCTGGCTTACTACACCGAGCTCGTCGGTCAGAGGGTCGTGGCCAGGAAGCCCAGGATTTATTCAACGGTGTATACACTTAAGAGCTTACCGGAATACTCTCTGGATTGTATTCTCCCAAACCGGCCTTGGGCTTCAGACCAGACTACTCCTGCCTCATTCACTCGCTTCTACACCACTCAAATATCAACATCTACATCACCTGGACGAGAGCTCACTCAACTACATCACTAACCCATCCCATCCCACCCCTTTTTTCCCCCACGCATCCAGCGCTCCTTTCTTTCTCAAAAAAGTTTCTTCCAAGTTTTTTTTTTTCCCTTCAGCCACTGCTCGACTTCTTTCTCTACTCCATTTATACACCAGCAAGAAGTCGTCTTTTTTCTATAAAAAAGAAATTTGAAGGGACATCGACGGCAGGTCGCATACAAGCGTCGCCTTCCCAACCAGTGACAAACGAATCGGCGAACTCACCTTCTAGCTATTCTAGGAAAGGCAGCTTTCGAATAAAGATTCACATCATAGTTCGAGCAGTCCAGAGGCGGCCGAGAATTCTCTCCGTACCCAGCAAACGAAGGCATCGCGAAATTCACTTCAATACACACCCACTTCGACTCTACTTTCTGCTTGTTCTTTAACTACGATTGTGTCTACAAGACATCCAAACCAGAGGCAATATCAAGAACAAAGTCAAGACGATCAAGGTGCTACAAAGTATTCACTCGATACCCATTACACCTTCACCTCATTGACCAGTCCGCGATCCAACTCACGATAACCTCACACCAACCAGTCCAAATCTCACCACCCACTAAGAAACAACTCCAAGTCGACAGCGGCACCAAAGACAAAGATGTGCACCTACACCTACACCCTCTACACAGCCTGCATGCACAAGCAGTACCAAAACATGATGGAGTGCGTCCGCGTCCGCACCGGCAACAGCACCACACGCTTCGGCACCTATCGGACCCTCCACGGCGAGCTCACGCTCAATAGACATGTCCACTTGCCCGAGCGGGAGCCCTTTGATATTCCCCTCCGAGAGTGTAAAGGTCGGGGACGGTATGCTACGCGCCCTGTGAATGGGCTCTGTATTGCGTGTAAGAGGGCGGAGAGGGAGAAGCGGGCTGCTGAGACAAAGGGTGAGTTGGGAGTTTTTCTTATAATCCACTTTCCTTTTGAGTTTTTTCTTTTTCTTTTACTCAATGTCTGTTGGGCTTCTTGTTCGGCAATTTGGCTTTGCCTAATACTCATTGTACAGAGGACATCTGTCTTGTAGAGAGCTTTTGATCTCAAAGGGCGTGTAGCATAACTACATCCCCTAGAGGATCCGGATCCCCGTTGTTTACAATCATTCCCAGTGTTTATGTACCGTGCGGCGTACTCGTCAGCAGATGATGACTGACTAAGGCCGGTGATATAGATGCTCAGCGCAAGGCAGGAGGTGCCGATACGGCGGCGGGAGTGAGGGACAGCATCATGGGGTTGGAGACCCTTGTTGCTGCCACCGAGCGGATGGATCTGGAGGATTGAGGATGATGAATGCGCTTTCAACTCTCCAGCTTCATCCGCTTGGGGGCAGGAATGGCATTGAGTTTGGAGAAGGCGTTTTTGAAGGCGTCATTAGGGAAAGCAGGGACTTGTTTTTGGCCGTTGGGATGGACTTTAGGAATGATACCTTTAGGAATGATACCCCGGAATGAATCATGTATTACGACGATGAATGAGATTTTCTGGACTCGATGAGAACGGTTTTTGATTAATGTGGATGTTGATGAAGAGAGCAAGTTGATAATGATGGCGATGTTCGTGATGTTGATGGCGGAGGCCGGTACTGAAGTGACACGGACGCGTGGGGCAGACGGGGAAAGGGTCAGCGAATTGGCGCCGGGCAGGGACTGTGGGGGAAAGAGCACCGAGGGGAGGGGGATCGGCGGGTCCATGCTTGTTTTCGGGGTTGGCATTCTGGCGGTTCAGGGTCGGTGGCTTGGACTGGGAGAATGCGCCAGCCACTGAGTTCTTCGACACCAGACTCCAGAGGCAAATTGAAGACTGATAGACCTCTCAATTGATGATTGTTTCTCATTGGTTGCGTGTGATTACTGCTTCTTCAGAGCTGACATTAGAAGCTGGACCAAAAGAGGGGTCTTCTTCTGCCGCCGTCGTACTACAGAAACGACACATGACACTTTGGGCGCTAATTGGAGAGCCATGTGCTACTTGGATTGTCTGGCGTCTGTCAGATTTGTTCTGGATCCCGGTCTGCGTACCTACCACTTCCACGTCTAAGGTACATACCTACCAAAGGTACCTGGGTACGGATGGTCTGTTGCATGCTACCGGGCAGGTTACCTGAGGTAGATGCATAATGCAGGATTCAGTCAGACTTTTGAAGAGGAACACCAACCACCAGACAGATCAACAGCATGTTCATCCCGTTTGTCCTTTCATGCGCAGATCTATCCGGTCTCGAGAATGGCAAGACGGAATCAGGGGTCCCAGAAAGCGAGTGTGACGGTGCCAGACCTGCTTCACCTCTGATGCTCTTACGGAACATGAATAATTGCCTACTTCTCCCAGCTTGAAGTGGTACGAATAGAGGTACCCTGACCTGACCAGTGACTGCCCCCCTTATCCACCTACCTCGCTCCTTGCCCATGCACCTCGCACCCACGAAGAGAAAGTACCCCGGCCTCAGGTGACAGTGATGGATCCCAATCCTTCCAACAAGTTGGATTGCGCCAACACCAACAGGAACAGGTGCAGATGCGGTTGCAGATTGCAGACACCAACGACGCGCACTCCCACCTTTTGCATCTTACAGCATCCGTAAGAATGCGCCTTTAAGCCTCGTAGCATTCGCTGAGCCCATTTCCATCCCCATTCCCATCCTTGGTCAATGGTATCCGTTTCTCACCCCCATCTTCCTGGCTCAGGTCCTCCCCGCTTGGCCCCGTCGCAATCCACCAATACATCATACCTGGGCAGGCACCTCATCTCGCAACCCACGTTTCTACCTATCTCCGTGCGCCCCCCCATAACTCCAGCCGCAGCCAATTAATACTACCTACTTACCTACCTCACTACTCTCACCACCACCATTACGGATACATCCTCACAGCATCACCACCCGAGCGAGCTTACATACCCGACTGCTCGCATATCCTTCCCGTCATAGCATCGCATCGTTCTTCCCCCATTGCATTGTTTCGTCCTTTTTGCATGCGTAATCCATAATCGAACCTCCTTCCGCGCTACCGCTCGAAAATGGCCAAGAAGGCGCGCCAGAGGGTCAGCTATGGTATGTCTGGTCATGTGCATCTTCTGTCCGTGCCGCTTTGCTTGCTGTTGGTGCTCGTGTGCCGCTGCGCTCCCGTCGCATGTTGGCTGAGGCCGGACGACTGCAATCCCGCACGTCCGCCGGGACGAGCACCTCGGGTCTTGACCTTCATCGCGAGACTCGGATCTGTCTGCAGCGTTCCTCGAAGTGACAATGATCTCGCCTGCTAATCACACATGATCAAACAGTCCTCGAGCTCCCAGCTGGTTCGCAAGGCGGCGGCCACAGACTAGGCGTCAATGGCCTCGCCGTCGACAAGGACAATGGCATCCTGTAAGATCCCGGGACCCGCGATACGAACCGCAGCCCTCCTCCCGCTACCCATTCTGCTCCTCCTCCCTGCGCAGCTATCCGCTGACACTGCTCCGCTCGCAAACAGATACTCGGGAGCCCGCGATGGCTACATTTGCGCATGGGACCTCAACCTCAACCTCCAGACTGGCGGCAGCGCACCACCCTCCGAGACCAAGACCAAGACCGCCTTCCGCTCCCAGACCCAGGCGCACATGGCATGGATCAACGACATTGTCCTCGCCAACAACAACTCCGCCGTCGTCACCGCCTCCAACGACCTGACGGTCAAGGTCTGGCGCCCACACTCCGAGACGAACGATATCGCCGCGACCATTGGAGGACACGCCGACTATGTCAAGTGCGTTGCCACGCCCCCTGGCGGCTCTGTCAACTGGGTTGCCTCGGGTGGCTTCGATCGCAAGATATACCTGTGGGACTTGAATGGAGGAGGCAAAACTCTCGAGATTGACACCCAGGGCGACGAGGTTGCGGAAAAGGGCTCCATTTACGCCCTGAGCGTCGGCCACAGCATCATGGCCAACGGCGGCCCCGAGTCGGTTGTGCGCTTATGGGATCCTCGTTCCGGCAAGAGGGTGACAAAGTTCGTCGGCCACACGGATAACGTGCGCGGCGTCCTGCTCAACGAGGCCGGTGACAAGGTACTTACGGCCAGTTCAGATCACACAATCAAGCTCTGGAGTGTCACGGCTGGACGTTGTATGTACACGTTTACCATGCACGAAGACAGCGTCTGGTCGCTCTTCTCGGACGATCCTGAGCTGGGTACCTTCTACAGCAGTGACAGGTCCGGCTTCGTTGTAAAGACGGACGTCCGCGGAAACCTCGAAGACCTCGACGACGGAATTTCTGTTGCTGTCGCCCACGAGTCTCATTCGATCAGCAAGGTTGTGGCGGCAGGCGACTACATCTGGACGGCAACCAACACTTCGTCAATCAACCGTTGGTCCAATGTCGATACAGGTCCTGACTTACAGCTTCCCGAGGCCTTCCAACGCCAGCGCGCAGCATCCACGGCTTCGAGAACTAGACAGCCCTCGAGTCCTCCGCCTGCGAACTCGCCAAAGAAGGAAATCTCACCGAGATCGATCTTGCGTATCTCCAACACGGCGACATTCCCAGTCCAAGCCAATCCTGGCCCGGAATCCCCACCGGCAGTTGGGAATCATGTACCGCATGGGACCGAGCCCATCAACCAGAACCCGGAGGAGACTATTGAAGGCCAGTTCGGTTTGGTGAAGCATAGGCTCTTGAACGACAGGAGGAGAGTCCTGACGCTAGACACGGCTGGTGACGTTCTCATGTGGGATCTCATCAAGGTATGTTGGCTATAGGTTTGACTCGAAGATGAATCACTGACTCTCGCAGTGCAAACCAATCCAAAAGTTTGCGAAGAAGCATTTGGAAGATGTCGAGATAGAAGTCAACACCACGGAAGCAGTAGCCCCGTGGTGCTCCATCGACATTAGCTCTGGAAGTCTGACTGTGGTTCTGGAGCCGTTCAATTGCTTCGATGCAGAGATGTACGCGGACGATCTGGAGTTGGAGGAGCCGGTCGAGTTCCGGGAAGACCAGAGAAGTGAGAAGCTCGCAAGACTGAGGACGACCACATGCTAAACAGACTGACAGTCAACCTTGGCAAGTGGATTCTTCGCTACCTATTTGCTGGCTTGATCGACGAGGAAATCAAGCGAGACGAAGCGTACCGTGCCACACTCAACGAAGCTGTAGAGCGGAGGCTACAAGCAAGCCGCGCGAACCCACCTTCGTCAATAGCGATGCCTACCGATAACGCATGGGATGAGAGTTCGGGAACGACACCACGTGCGAATGGTACTCACTACCCCATGACGCCTGGCATGGCTATTGGCCTCGCCACGCCGGGAGCTGGCCGGCTTCACGACGTCCCAGAAGGAGCAGCCACACCTTCCAGTCCCCTTGACAACAAGTCGTCTCAGTTCAGCCGGCCATCAACTGAGCGGGAAGACTATTTCACAAGCGCTATTGGACCGATTGAAGGAGCTTCGAAGCCTACCGCAGCACCAGCAACGCCTGCCGAGCAAACAGCGGCTCCCGATGCCAAGACACCGGCAGACACGAGCAAAGACAAGGAGAAGGACAAGGACAAGGAGAAGGATGCAACCAATGGAAAGTCACCCAGCACGGCGTTTGGCAAGAAGTTTCGTATGGGCATGGGTATGTCTTTTGGCAGTAAGAAGAGTGGACGGTCGGCTTCGACTACTGCCCCAGAGAAGCCCGCCGTGGTGGACGAGAAGGCTGAAGAGTCCGAGGCTTCATCGACGCACGAGAAGGAAGTCGATGACAGTTTCCTGGGCGCCATTCAAAAGATTCGAAACGACTACGATAAATCGCTGACTGAGAATCCTGAGAAGCTCATCGAGACAAAGGTTACACCAAGCTTAGCAAACGACACTCCGGTGCTGAAATTGCCTCCTGGCACAAAGGTTGTCCTTCAGGAAGAAACGACTGGTGGAAGTGCCAACATATACCAAGGCACTGTTGAGACGGTCGGCCAGGGTGCGGATATCATTGAGCAGTGCGGTCCGATGTGGTTGGGCGAGGTGCTGCTCCAGAATCAGATCCCTATCAAGGAGCCTGTTAAGGTCTCGTTCGTCCTTCAGCCATGGCAGAATAGTCTGCCCGACATTGCAACAACAGATGGCAACAATCGTCTTAACGCCAACAGAATGCTACGAGTCAAGAAGATCTTGGCCTACGTTGCGGAGCGCATCGATCCCCAGCCGGAGACTCCGGAGCCGGATGCTCTTTTGCCTCACGAGTACTTGGAGTTATACTGTAACGAACAGGTTAGTGTTTTTTTGCTTGTGCCGTGCTCGATCTCTGCTAACTCGGCTTAGTTACTACCCATCACAATGACCCTTGCAACTCTACGAGCCCACATCTGGAAGGGTGGCAACGACGTTCAGCTGTACTACAAGGCCAATGGGCGCAAGGAAATCAAGGAGATCAAGGAGGCCCCCAAGGCGGAACCCGAGCCTCCTGCAGCAGCGCCAGTAGCAGCGGAATCTGACCATGCACCATCGACAGGCACCGCAACGCCTCCAACGACAGGATAGTCTCTGTCTCGACTGGCGGGCTGGTGGCAAGGGAGACCGCACCTTGAGGTGAGCTTGCCAAAGGCACAGCTGCAGAACTTCAAAACCATGGAGGTGGTAAAGAAAGCCGACCAAGAGCAGTACATGAAACGTGCGACATCTGACCTCACTCCGCCACGGTCATGGGGATCATCTACGGCTGCCTCAGCTTCGCGATAGTCTCGAGTGGTGGACAAGGTGCGGCCAACCAGGGAGTGCCACTGGCATCGAGGTGGCTCGCGGACCACAAAGTACAAGTGGGCAATTTCGTCATCACGAGAGTTGAATATTGCTATACGACATGAGTCAAAGGGCCTGTGACCTCCGGTCAGTACGGGTATAATGGCGTTTTTCAATAATGTACATAGCGGAAAAGTTGTCAAGTGCAGGCAGCCCTTCTGGCTGCGTGCTCGAGCGTATGTTTATACAGCGGGAGGGCAAGTTGAGGGCCCTCCAATCCAGATGTTTCTTCCCTTTTCACATGGCCGGTTTGCCGTCTATCCAGCGCCTTGTACGTTGCGCCTCTATGCATGTTCGTGTCCCATCACACCCCCCAAGAACTCATAAGAAAGATTATTATATCACAGCGCCGGTCAATGTGTTTGACGCAAACTGGTAGCTGCCGAGGAAGATGGACCCTCCGATGCTGATCCACATGACCCTCGGCCCGATACCCGCAAAGAAGGGCCGGATGCCATGCTCCTTATAAATCGTACGCAAAATATCGCCAATCTTTTCTTTCTGCTGGCTCAGCATCACCCTCGTCTTGAGGACGTCAAGCGGGGTCGTGATACCCGCCGCCGCGGCACCGGCAACGCTACCGTACAACGCGCTCTCGACGGCGCTGACCTCGTATTCCGTCTGTTTCTGCGTGTTGGCGCCGGTCCGCGGGTCAATGTCGAGTTTGTAATTTTTGGCCTGTTTGCGCTCGCGGCCCCAGCGCTTGAGGCGTTCCCAGAGGGGGAACTGGATTATGGTGAAGGGGACCTCGCGGAGGACGGTGATGGACCAGCCGCGGTAGAGCTCGCGCCAGACGGCGGATGCGCCGCCGCCCGGGGAGGAGTATTGCGACAGGATGGAGCGGAAGGCGAGGAGGGAGGAGCCGCCGTGCTGGCCTGCTTGGGCGCGCTGTTTTACGACTTCGGTGGGGACGCGGATTGCGCAGGCGGCGATTTCGCCTAGGGAGGCGGCGAGCATGTGGGTTGCTGGATCTATCCAGGCTGGTTTTGATGATGATGATGACGATGATGATGATGAGCCAGAGAGGGCGAGGAGGCGGGAATTTATAAAGGATTTGGAACCCTCGTAGGTGCAGAAGAAGAAGGCGGCGCCGGGTGCTGAGCCGACGACGGCGGAGCCGATGCCGCGGTAGATTCCGGTGAAGCCGCCGGAGGGGAAGAAGCCTGCGGAGGATTGGAGGCGGGTTTTGAGGGTGTCGAGGGGGAAGAGGGTTAGGTCTACTGTTGTGCCTGCGATTCCGCCTGCTAGGAGGGCTGTTGTGAAGGAGGGGGGGTTGTTTGTGGTGGACATTGTTGCTGCTGTGGTGGATTTTATGGGAGGTGGTTTTGGTGTGGCGAGGTTGATTCGTGGGGAGTTCGCTTCTTCGTTTCTTTCTGAGTGCCTTGGGTCGGGTGGTGGTGGTGGCTTCGTGGAGGTCGAGATGTTGTGTCGCGTGCTCGGGATTGCGCCGACGATTACCTAGGAGGATGGATGTAAACCGAAGGCAGCGAGACGAAAGTCAATTGACCTGTATCAGCAAAGGAATGGAGAGCCGGAAGAGAGGAAAGCCCGATGCTATGATGACGGAGAGTGCATTCGTGCGAATTGAGAGGGAATAAAGAGCACTTGAAGTGTCAATGACGGAGGAGGTGAGATTGGTATTGTGAGGTATTAGATATCGGAGCTCAATCGGTCCCCTGTACGTAACGCGACGAGGAAAAAAAAAGAACGGCCAGGGTCTTTGCGCTAGAGCTCCGACCCTCCGAGGTCTCTCGCCGCTCGGTGAGGTGGGTTATCAGCGAGCGCGGGGCCCGGGGGGAGCTGTCTTATCTTATCGCCATTTACCTAGAGGTGATCACCTCAGCTTGGGAAATCTTTCCTCCGAAGAGCCCGAGCTCTGAGGTTCCGGGGGTGGGGGTTCCGGTCGGATGAAAGCTCCATCTTTTTGTCTCCCATCGTGCCGGCCGTCACGTTGGAGACTGCCAACCGTTGATTCGTCAATTGCAAACATCTTTGGAGACGAAACCCACGATAGCTTCGTGCAGCTCAACGACACTTCACCGAACAAAGCAGTTGAGATTATAGACACGATAGAACAAAGGGGCGAGGACCACCGCACGATGGAATGGCCATCACCAACCCCCCGATCGCCACCGCAGCGGCGACCGCAACAGCAACAGCAGCAGCGGCCGCAGCCCACCACCTCTTCCTCCACCCGGTCCCGAAACCCATAAGCTTTCTCGAATTCTTCGATGCCCTCCGCGCCGCCACCCCTCCGCGCTTCCCTCATGCCCGCACCGCCCAGCCGCGCCGCATCGGCCTCGCCGTGTCAGGCGGCGTCGACTCCATGGCTCTAGCCTACCTCTTTAACCAGCTGCGCGAGATCAACCCCCTCATGCGCGTCGTCGATAATCCGCTCGCGAAAATATCGGCCTATGTCATTGACCATGGCCTGCGCGAGGGATCCCGCGAGGAAGCACTCACTGTCGTGAAGGAGTTGCGGAATTTCAAGCACATACGGCCGCAGTGGGAGACGGTTAATTGGAAGGCTGAGGGCGTGACGGGCGATCCGAACCTATTGCCCAACGTCGAGAGCCTCGCGAGAAGGGTGCGGTACCGCCGGCTGGGAACGCTGTGTCTCGCGATGCACGTCGAGAGTATCTTCCTCGCGCACCACCAGGATGATCAGTACGAGACCGTTCTGATGAGGTTACTCGCCGGCCACGGGAGCCGCGGGCTAAGAGGGATGCTCAAGGCCGGGAATATACCAGAGTGCTACGACATGCACGGCGTCTACGAGAGCGGTCACGTTGACGACCAGATGATGCGGATCCCGCAGATTAGCTTCCGCCCGCCGAAGCGGGATTGGAGGCACATGCGGCGGCAGCTCGTCTCGGAGCTGGATCTGGAGTTGTACGGCGCCGAGTTGAGGGCGGGGTTGCAGACGGGGTGGCATGAGGGACCCTACGTCGGCGGCGGCGAACATGACAGCTCTGGGAGCGATTGGCTGTTCTCGGCGGCGAGTTCTGCGTCTGCGAAGGCGAGGGCGGCAGCGGCGGCGAGGAATATGACGAGGATACGGACCGAGGAGGCTGGTGTGATGATTTATCGTCCGTTGCTCGAGTTCAGCAAGGATCGGCTGATTGCGACGTGCGAGGCGAATAATGTGCGCTGGTTCGAGGACGCGACGAATAAAGACGTGACGCTGACGACGAGGAACGCGGTGCGGCACATGGTGCGGAATCACAATTTGCCCGCGGCGCTGCGCAAGGAGAATGTGCTGAGGATGTCGGCGCGGTGCGGGGCCAAGTTGAGGGGTCTGGAGCGGGAGGCTGAGAGGTGGATCAAGGGGCAGGTTGTCGCGGAGTTTGAGCCGAACGTCGGGACGCTTGTTGTTCGGCTTCCCGAGCTGGGTGTCTTTGGTCCCGGCCCGGGACGAGGGCGCGAGAGGGGAAGGAAGTCGGCCAACGACGGCGTGAGAAGGGAGTTGCGGCTCGCGCACCGGAGGGCCGTCGCCGGGTTTGTCGTAAAGAGACTCGTCGCCTTCGTCTCGCCCGATCGGAACCCGCCGCAGCACACATCCCTCCAAAACATTGTCGCCAAACTCTTCCCCACCCTCGTAGAAGACTCTCCATCTTCCTCCGCCTCAGTCCCAACGGCACCGCCCAAGGCCTTCAACCAAGCCTCGGTCCTCTTCCTCCCCCTCGCCCCCTCAAAATGGTACCTCGTCCGCGAACCCTACCCCTCCCTGCACCCGCACCCGCAAACGACCTACACGACGACTTCCAACATCAGCGACAAGCACCGCCACCCGACCTTCCCGCCCACGCAGTGGGAGTGCGCCGAGGACGCCGAGTACATGTCGCGCGAGCGGCTCGCGCTGCTAGACCGCATGCCGCTCCCGCAGCCAAAGTTCCGCGAGACGAGGCGGTGGTACGCGCGGCGGCGGTTCAAGCTCTGGGACGGGCGGTTCTGGATCCGGGTGAGAGGTCGGGTGAAGGCGTATTTCCGGATTGCGCCGTTTGCACCGATTCATGGCAAGGCTTTCCGGGAGGGTCTTGGGGGTGGGGGGAAGATTGGTGCTGCTGTAGAGAGGGAACAGCGGGAGAGTAAAGAGGAGAGGGAGATTCAAGCTGCCCCTGGGATCGGCGTCACGGGCGGTCGCGGCAGCAGCACCAGTTCCACAATGAGCGCCGCCGACCGCAGGGCAGAGTTTGAGGGCATACTGAAGCGTTTCGCGCCAGGTAAAGTACGGTATACCCTCCCCGCGCTCTACGCCGTCAACCGCGACGAGCAGACCGGCGAAGAGGTGCTGAGGATGCTTGCCCTACCGACACTGGGCGTCGGGTTACCTGGTTTGGAGAGGTGGGTTCAGTACGAGGTGCGGTACCGCAAGGTTGATATGGGCTTGTTTGAGCGCGAGACGGTGGGTAGAGGCGGTAGAGGCGGCGGTTGGGGTCGCATGCCACAGAGACGTGGCGGTGGGAGTGACGGGTGGAGTGGCAGTGGGAGTGGAAGTGGTGGTAGAAGCCAGAGCAGCAGCGCCGTTTTCGGTGGTGCTGTGCTGCGGAGACATGTTTTGGCGGATGGCACGGCGGAGGAGAGGGTTTGGAAGCGGATTAGTGGGATTCGGAGGAGGAAGAGGATGATGACAGCAGTGGTAGTGCGGAAGAAGAAGAAGCAGGAGGAGGAGAAGGGTAGGAGAGTGAGTTTTGGTGTTTGAGGTCTGCTTGATGAGCACGAGATACCCCCCTTATTTACCTGTATTTGCATAGACCTTCGGTAGCAATACGTCATTATATCAAAGGAGATGATCTGCCAGTCACTGTGAACGCGAAGACGTATGAGAGATGTTGATGAAGTTGATGCTCTTGTATATATTCCAAGTTTAGAAAGGAAAAAAAGTATTCGAGGTTCGTGATTTCGCCTCGTCGGTATTTGCCAAAATGCGTGCAATACAATTGGGTTATGTTGTAAAAACTGCTCAGGTCATCTTTGCTGAGCTTTCCTCGTCCGAAAACGCCGTTGAAATCCATCCATCCATCGTAACGACAGGTATTAAGGTAATATGCCCTTTTTTTCCTTCCATCTCTTTTCGCTCCCATCATAAGATGACGCATATTCGCGCCATCATTCGTCCACGTATTTCCCGCATACATGGAACACATCTATACCAACACCCCCCCCGTTTCTATCGCCCTGAAGAAATGCTCAAGAAGCCGTTTGCGCTTGCTTGGCTCACCTCTCCTCCCCGATGATAAGAATCTCATCGCCAGAAACACTCCCCAACGACACCTGACAGTTCCACGCCTGGCCCTTGTGCGCGTGCACGGCCTTGGGCCACTTTGTCCGGCTATCAATCTTTACATCTTTGCCGCGGATGTCAATCTTGCCGCTGATGCTCTCGGCTTCGACGGTGCCTTCCCACGAGGCGGGGTACTTGAGCTTCATGCTCCCGCTAACAGATCCGTGCGAGGACTTGAGGTGGCGCATGGGCGGTTGGTCTTTGATTGCGACGGCGCGCTCCTGCTGAGAGGAGGACGCCGTGATGGCGTCGCCGAGGGGGTGACGACGCACCACGCGCCAGGCGTCGTCCAAGTGTCGACCACCAGGCAGCGGGATACGTTTCCACGGCCCGGCGCCGATGGGCGTGAAGGGCACGCCTGGCATGCGCGGGATCTTGTCGGGGATGGGGAGCGGGTTCGTAGGGATGTCCACTGGTTCATCCGGGTTCGCGCGCGGCTTCTCGCCCTCGTACGCGCCTTCGGTGCCGAGGATCTCCACCCAGATGGGGTCGAGGATCTTGACGGCGGTGTCGCCGGACTTGGTCTTTGTATGCAGCTCGGGTTCTGCCACAGCTTGGAGGAGGCTGACGTTATAGACGGGCAGGAACTCGGCGGCGATGTCGCCGCTGATGCTTTCTGCGACGGCGGCGGAGGAGAAGGCGACCCAGGCCTTGATGGAACCGGATTTGGTGTCGAGGGTGGTGATGTAGTCGCGCGGCGGGACGACGGTGTCGGGTTTGCTGCTTTCCGCGGCGGCGGCGACGGGTTCCTTGACGGTGATGTCGCCCGAGATGGTGGCGACTTCGAGGACGGCCGGGCGGGGGCGGGAATCGAGGACTTGCTGGGGCGCGACGTTTGCGATGATGTCGCCTGATTCCGAGTTGATCTTGAGGGAGTCGTAGAGCGGCCAGGAGCCCACGATGTCGCCCGAGATGGTCTTTACGAGGATGTCACGGGAGTTGAGGCGGTATGTGGTGGGGACCTGGACGGGGGAGTGGACGTCGCCGGACAGTGTGCCGATCTCGAGGCCGTCTGCGAGGTTGATGGAGAGGTCGTCGATGACGCGGACGTCGAGGTTCGTGGCCCAGAGGAGCATGTGGCGGAGGGAGGCGCCCTCGGGGACCCAGACGGTCGCGCGGACGGTCATGCAGGGCCGGCGGGACTCTGTCCATTCGACGCGCTGCGGGGTGCGGATGAGGAGCTGCTGCTCCGAGTTCCACTCGACGGCGACGTCGAGGGCCGGGTCGTTGGAGACGACCTCGAACTCGATCGAGGGTCCCGGGCGGCCGGCCTGCTGGCGGCGGACGACAAGGTCGCCCGAGACCTGGGGCTGGTAGCCGCGGGAGGGGGAGTTGGATTCGACGGTTTGGAGGACGCTGATGGACTTGTCCGCGGCGAAGGTGAGGTCGAAGAATTTGGGTTCGAAGCGGTGCTCGGTTTGGAGGCACGAGCTTGAGGGATGCCAAGGGACGGGTTGGCCTGGCTCGGCGGGTTTGGAGGGATCACTTGGCGCGGGGGACCCGTCTTTGATGGGCAGGCCGGTGACGGGGTCATATTGCTGGGGAGGCTCCTTGGCAGGAGACTTTTCAGATGGCTAAGAGATGTTAGCTTCAGCCAAGGTAGTAGATGTAGATGGGGGGTTTGAGACGCACCGAGTTGACTACAGTCGAGGCCAACATGCTGAGGAATCCCGTCAAGGTGAAGAAGACCAAGGCGCCAAGCAGCACCATCTTCAACGTCCGCCTAGAAGCCCAAGGGAACTTCTTAAGAGCTCTATCCCTCCACGACGGCGAGGGTCTAGGGTCATGGTCGTCGTCGTCGTCATGGTCAGCATAGGGCACGTCGCCCATGCTCTCGGGGTCGCGGCCGAGCAGGCGCCTCTCTTCTTCGGGTGCGCCCATGTTGATGTTGTTGGTGTTGGTCGTCCTCGCGATGGTGTTGAAGGTTTGGTAGTTTCTAAACTCTGTAGGTGATGACGAGAGCGGGGACGTGGGCGATGGCGTGTAGGCGGGTGGTGCCTCGCTGGGGATGCGAAACAGAGAGGCCGGGTTGTTGGAGGAGTATCTCGAGTGAGTCTGGGGCGTGCGTAGTGGAGCGTCGGTGGAGGGCGAGTAGGGTGTATAAGACGACGAGCTCTGGGCGACGTGGGAGTGTGAGCGAGAGTGGGAGTGGGAGTGGGAATGGGAGGTATAGGTTGTATGTGACGGCGTCACCTCGCTGTCTGCGGCGGTGGAGGAGGCTCCGTCGTCGTAAAAGTCTTCGACGGCCGAGACGGATGACGAGGTCCTCCTATGTGTTGAGGAGTAGTGACGTGATTGTGCTTCTACGGCGGCGTCGTTGTTGTGGTGGTGATGATGGAAGGATGTATTCAACCGTGTCTCTTCCTTGGCTTCACGGTCCTTCTTTGATGACGAGGAGCCTTGTTCTTCTTGCTCTCGCTGCAGCAGCGACGGGTCTTGGACGAGGACGTTGGGCACATGCGGTACGGCGGCGGACGTGGGGAACGTCGTCGCGTCAGTGACGTTGTCCTCGCTGTTGTGGAGATGAGACTCTTGCTGCTGCGGAGGGTATATTCCCCCGGCTGACAATGAAGCGCTGCTTTGGAAGTATCCGTCTGTTGGCGATAGGTGGGCGTCGAGGCTGTCGTCCGGGACTTCGTCAAAGTCGGAGTCGTCGGCGGAGTACAGGTTGTCGGAATACGGGGCCGGCATGGCGGCGGTTACTATTTCAGTCCTTCTCCCTTTCTTTTTGTTTCTGGTTGTCTGACAGGGTTAGGATGAGTCCCCTTGGACTTGAACTGTCTGTGCTTTGGGATACCGATACACCGTTTTGGAGTATACGTTTTGTTCCCTCGTCTTGCGGTTCTGTTTCTTAATGCCGGGTCACTTAATGTTTGAGCTTTGCCCCTTGAACAGGCACTCTAGGATCTTTGACGAGGTAGACGGTGGCAGTCTGGCAGGCCAAACAGTGACAGCAAAGTGACAGCGACTGAATCGTGAAGGGGACTTGGCTGATACGCGCAGTGTCGTGAGCGACGGGTAGAACGGACGCCAAGAAACGGAGTCAAACAGTTTCGGTGACGGGGGCTTTCGTTTGCTTCAGCCTTCAGCACCCTCTCCGTGAGTAATGCCGTTGATGTTGGCTGACTGATCAAACGGTGTATGAGTGAAGTATCTCCCACTCGTGTCAATAGATGATTGCACCTTGTCAACATTCAACAAAAGACACGCGCGCAGTCGTAAGACGTGTGATAATAGGAAGGAGGAGACAAGAGAAGTGCGCGTTCACGCTCGATTGAGGCAAGCCGGAGGGGGTAAGATGGGAGAATAGAGGGGAAAGTTACGGATACCGCAGAAGAGAGACGAAGAAGAGAGGGAGTTGAATGGGATTGACAGGAATGGCTTCACAGAAAGAGACTAGTAGGAGTTGAGTCGGAGCCGAGATTGAGACAACCTCGCATAGACACACAGAGAGCGAGAGAGAGAGGGAACCCCCAACCACCTACGGATACACGAACGAACTGCAATCAGAATCCACAAGACCGAACCCGGTCGGGTCGCCGAAGACGCAAGACAAGCGTGAACAAGGCAACGCCGCTGCCCGCACGCCGTCCCCGGCGGCCTGTACCCGATACGGTGGGAGGATTCACTCAACATCGCGAAAGAGGAGGGGGGGGGGGGGGGGGGCAAGACTCGTAAGCCTGCAGATCAGGGTAAGATATGAGACCGTGTACCGGCACCGTGGAAGACGGCGGCGTCGGGGACTTGAACTGCTAGCAAGCGTAATACGCAACATTGTGTGGTGTGAACCATCTCAGTCTCTCGCCCCCTGGTACCCAGTCAGTCCTGCAGTAAAGCGCTCCCCTAGACTTCTGGTAACCAAGTCCATGGCTTTGCTTGCGTGACACGCTTGTGCAGTCAAACGAAACAGGAAGCTCGTTAAGGATGGTGGGGTACCTAAAAGTACGAGGGATGCCGTGCCGCCGGGCGAAGGATGAAAAAGTCAATTGGATTATTGGACAACGGTCATGGAGTGGAGAAGAAGAGGAAAAAAAGTAAGACGAGCACAAGTTCCTCGCCCAGCAAGGATGGCCGCGGGTGACTTGTTGACGTTCTGGTGTACAGATAGTAACTAGTAAGATTATCTGTGAGGTGATGAATAGAGTTGGGCGCGCAATCTGACAAGGTCCAAAAAGAGTAGACTTGGGGAAAAGAGTCATCAGCCATCGGCCAACGTCTCCTAGCAGTAAGTGGAGCAATGTTGACCCGATCTTACACCAACAAAAGTCCCCCAAGTCTACGGATACCTTACTAGTATACCTAGGTAAGGTAGATAGTAGGTACGTAGTGAATACGGATAGATATCTTTTGATACCTGTTGCCCACGCAATTGGCTCGCATTAAACAAAGTTCCTCCTAATATCTCCCCCCTTCCAGTGCTCTACTGCTCATCCAAGTTACCCCTACCACCATCGGCTAGTCCTCCGAACTTCGAACCAGGATAATTGTCGTTCGTCGTTACGTTACGAATCACAGGCGTCTCTCTGCATATTGACTGGAGCCTGCCCATCAATCAAGCTTCTTCATAGTGGATGTTTGTGGTGTCCAACCCCTCCAAAGGGTTCAGAGTGGACGCGGGGTGACGACGATCGCGACGTAAGCTTCTTTTCCTTGGACTCTTTAGAGCTACTTGGCAAACAGACGACGTTCCATTCTGTCTCGAGGCCTACGTCAACCAATTTTAATGCTCTATACCGTACTGCAAATCTAGATTTCACTCGGTGCTGTTGACATTTGCTATGCTGGCGACGATGTTGACTACGCTGGCGGTGCTGGCGGTGCTGGTGATTTTTATCGGGGGCCAATGGAAGGGCTCCTATCCACATGAGACCAGCACATATAAGACGAGCCCTCCGTCGCCTCTCACGATAACCTCACCCTATAAAGTAACACACCCACGTGGCAGTCAACCGCTTATACGCAGGCATTCGTCTGTATTGAGCAAACATATCTGGGGCTTCCCGCTGCCGTATCCGCAGTGCAGCTACAGCCAGCTACCGCCAGCCTGGTTCCATCCACTCTTGCAGCGAGCAAAAGTCTTCTCTGGTATCTCTCTCCACGTCTTCCAAACGCCATTGACAACGGGGCTATGTAACAAAACAGAGTGTGCCGCTCTCTTCTTGAGCTGACACTAGGCAATCCCATGTCGCCTTCCAAAAATCTTCGTCGTCCTCCACAATTCAAATGAGGAACCCAAGGAAATACCTCCTGGCTTTTGTTGTCCCTTTAACGTCTTGTAGTAAAATCCACTCCCATCTCCCCTTCCACCTCCATCTGAAAGGGTCTTTGTCTTCACTCCAAACCCATAATTCTCTTGGAGTTCTCATACACAACCCACGTGATGCTCAGTGCCGGAGCAACCTTGAGCATGTTAGGCGTGAGTCCCTTGTACATGCCCCGCACACCCTCATTCTTGAGTGTCTGCCGTGCGACATCCACGATGCCGGTATAAGTTGCAGGATGCATGACTGTTCCTTGCGTCTGGAGACGGGTGCGGAGGACATTGAGTGGGTACACCACCGACGCTCCGAAAGCACCACTGGTCGCTCCTATGAGACCAGTCATGATGTTGCCTGGCTTGGCGTCCTCCTCGTGAATGCCCTTGTACTTGGCCATGTATCTCTTGTATGAGGATTTGAGGAACTCAAAGGTGCCCATGTCAATAGCACTGTAGGGGAACATGCCTATGAGGCCCATGGTGACACCACGATAGGCGATGCGCATGCCTCCAGCCTGCCACATCTTCTTTGCAGTATCGATGACAAGTGCATTTCCACTGAGGCCGCCCTGGACCGTCGACGTCTGGAGCCGGAACTTGAGTGTATCAAGCGGGTAAACACAGAACCTGAGGGACGTCAGCAGCGGGCCAAGGTGACAAGAGAGACAGCGACGGCAGCTCGTGGACAATGATAGAGATGATGCCGGCCAAAGTAAATGAGGTCAAGTTGGAGGAGGCTTGAAGTGAAATGACTTACTGGGCAACCATGCCAGCCACACCGCCCGCCACGAATTTCGAGGTGCTGCTGATCTGTCTGGGGTCGTCGTGTCCCTCGAACTTAGAAAGGGTTCGCTTTGCGGCCTCATAGGACCCGAACTTGATGGCGCTCTCGGGCATGATCTTGATGACATTGAGTCCGTTGCCTTGGAGCAGTCAGTACATGGTTCAAGCAGCTGTTCAGCTTGCGCTAGCCAATCATTTTCAAGCCCAGGAAGTAGTAGACAGAATGATGGGCCCAAATCGACCAAAGCCAAGAGCAATGAGCACGAGCATGAGCGTACCTGCAAAAAGACTGCGCATGCCGCCTGCCTTCCAGAGATCCTTGACGGCATCACTGAAGGGTCGCATAGCGTTGTTCAGAGCAACGAGTAGACGTCCCTGCCTCAAAGCAGAGGCCGCAGTCTCGGTACTGGCTCGAGTATTGACGAGCAGGTAGACCTTGAGACGGTCGAGAGGAGCGGTGGCAGTCCGCGACAGTCCTCCAGCGACGGCACCTGCAACAAAGTAACCTGGATCAGGAGCGAAGTCAGTCAGTCTCTTGGTCTTGGGTGCTACAGTTGCATCTGAGCTAGAGCCTTGCTCGGAGCTGCTGTCTGTGACCTGGTTCGCTTGAGAGGTGCCGACGCCGGGGAGTCTTCGAAGGATGCCTGTGCGCTTCTCGTTTCCGGCCTCGATGCACGCCTGCAGCACCGCTGCCTCCATGTTCATATTGTTCATGTTGGCGCTGGTACCTGAGAAGCCCGGAGGAGTGATGGGTACCACGGCCTGCGTTGTTGCGGTAGTCGCGGTTGCTGATGTGGCTGTTGTTGTTCGTTTTGACGAAGAGGAAGTTTGCTGGGCGGAATCTGTGGCAGAAGTGAGGCTGTCTGGTGAAGTTTGTTGATTTTGCTGCGATTTTGACAAGGTGGGAAGCTGCGCAGCTGTGGTAGGAACGGGCGACGCAGCGCCTTCCTGGGAAGGAACAACCATCACCACGGGGCGGCCGTCTTCGTCGACGGCGTTGGCGGCAGTAAAAGACTCGGTGGTGGTGCCGGGCTCACGATCCGAAGGGGATGCGATCCTCAAAATGGATCCAAAGAGGGTTTGCAGAAGGAAGCCGGTCGTACCTAAACCTTCAAGTGTCTCCTCCGATACCATCGAGTCACCTTCAGCAGTGAGGGTGACGATGGAAGAATAAAAGTCCAACACGGCCTTCAGAGGGGCGTGGCCATTGTGTGTTGGCATAAACAAAAGAAAATCTCTGCGCGTGCCGGGTACTGTCAGTGAATCATTTCCAAGCAGAAAATGAGAGGTTTTTCCAAAAAGAGAAAGAGGAAGGAGCAACCCGACAACAGCACCAAGGCATTCCCATCTGTAGAAGACTCCCATCCACCTCAGGTGTACATACACTTGTACACCGAGCCACACCGAGAACATCATGGCCGGCCCCTGAGCTAAATCCGGACTTTGCCAGCTACACCGTGTCATCGGCCCCCTTCTACTCTACACCTCGCTTTTACAGCGTGGGCTTACAGCAACACCCACAGACTCACAACATACTCTACGGAATGTTGAAAGACTTACCGCCATTCTTCGAAGCTTATATAGCCATCATTGTTCATATCGATGTCGCCAAAAAAGGAGCTGAGCTTGCGCATCGGTACAACCAGCCCAGCCCGCCGAAAGGCCTCCTGTAGTTCAGTCTTGTCAAGTCTCCCATCATGGTCCTTGTCTATAGACTGGAAGAGAAGCATGAGCTGTCTCTCTGTCTGCTCGACAAAGTAACGGAACTCTGGTGAGAGGTCATCGTCAGCAGCCGTCCTCGATTTCCAACCCAAGACAGGGGAACCCGGCCAGTAGCTCCAGCCTCATACCAAGGCCCCCCAATCTGTAGCTCACCTTCATACTGAATCACGCCGTCGTCGTTCGTGTCGACGACGGTCATGATCCTCCGCAACATGTCGTCCGCATTTTTCATAGCTAAAGGGCAACGTCAGCACCCTGGCCACACGGGAGCTCCGGACAGAATTTGATGGCTGACGGTGATCAATCTTCTTCAACCCCTTTTGCAACCCCTTAAAGTCCAAATGTCCCGTCCCCTGGGGATCCAATTGCCTCCAGAGGTCCTCAACCCGTTTATCCCGCTGGCTCTGCGACTCGTCCACCTCCATCTGGCGCTCGGTAACCCAATTTGTTACCCCCATGGCGGCGGCGGCATCAGGACGCAGGGTCAATAGAGTCGAGGGCTCGGTCTCGACGCGGGATTCATAGGGCGATGCGGCGGTAGAAAGGTGGAAGTCGCGGGGTTCTATCGAGGCGTCTGTCTCACGACGACATGGCGGGTTATCAAACAAGGCTTTGGTTGGTGTTGTCGCGACTGACTTGCTTGCATGCTGCAAGTCACCGGGACTGACGTAGGAGGATCGCGAGGTGCAGCGACCAAGAAAATGTAGCACCGCCTGCCGCAAGTGGTTCGCGCCGGAGCCACAGCGTCAGAAGCTCGGCTACCCAGGGGAGGGTTCCACTGGCGGGCCAAGCGAGGCAATCAGCTGCCACCAATTAGCAGTGCTCTCGGGAGCTTACAGTGCTCCAGCAGACAGCTCCAGCGAGGTGGTTCCCTGAGACCGGACGGACATCTTCCGCCTTATCGTTATCGGTGAGAAAACACCAGCCACAGTTCATCTGCCCCATGTACCTGTGCCGTATTGCACCAGCCTCGCAGCCACCCTTCCAGCCAACTTCACACATCAGCCTCGCTGCTCCTCAACAGCATCTCCTCCAACTTCTCCGGGTCATTGCGGACACAAATCATGTCATAGACTTCATCGGACGCCCGGGAGAGGTCATCATGGCTGCCAACTACTGGGAGTCAACCCAGCGTCGCTTCTGGCTCTTCTCCAAAGATGAACTTCAAGCCGTGCGCCAGAAGCTCGAAGACGACAATGCCGACCTCGTCCAGATGTTTCCTCTCCCGCAACAGCGGCACCTAGGCATATACTTCAACCAGCGTAAGTTTGCCTGTTGCTCTTTTCATAATATCCATCTGCTGACTCGATTCCCGATGCAGAGGTTGCTCGGCTCGGCAAACGCATGGTAGTCCGACAGCAGGCCATGGCCACCGCCCAAGTCTATATCAAACGCTTCTACACCAAGGTCGAAATCCGGCGAACAAATCCGTACCTGGTCGTCGCGACCGCCCTGTATCTGGCCTGCAAGATGGAAGAGTCCCCGCAGCATATTCGCCTGATCGTCAGTGAAGCTCGCTCCCTCTGGCCTGATTTCCTCGGGCTAGACACCTCGAAGCTCGGCGAGTGCGAGTTCTTCATGATATCCGAGATGAGCTCTCAGCTTATAGTTCACCAACCGTATCGAACCCTCAACAACTACCAACAGGAATTGAATCTGACCCAGGAGGATGTCGCCTTAGGCTGGTCCATCATCAACGATCACTACATGACGGATCTACCGCTGCTGTATCCGCCACACACTATTGCCCTTACAGCAATCTTGCTTGTTTTGGTTCTGCGACCATCACCTAACATGTCTGGTTCGAACCCACCATCAGCCGCAGGTATTGCTGCTGCAAGCGCAGCGCTAGCTCAGGCCCAAGGCCGAGTGCCTGGACTGCCTCCGACTCCCGGAACACCAAACCCCGCGGATAAAGAGAAGCAACCGGAGGCTAGGTTCACCCGGGTGCAGCGGTACGGTGCTTGGCTGGCCGAGAGCAACGTTGATATTGCCGCCATGGTTGACTGCACTCAAGAGTTGATTTCGTTTTACGACTGTCACGAGCAGTATAACGACAAGCTCTCTCGGGAGCAGATTAATCGCTTCGTCAAGGCGCGGGTTCTTGACAAGTGATGACTTGATGAGAATGTGCAACTTTGTCACCTATGCTGACTCTGTAGATGGGTTATGAATAGCGGCATGGCTAGAGTTATATGGTTAGCTCTATATCGTCGAGTGGTGCCAGCAAAAGCACAGTAAACCCCGTATTCTGAAAAGAGCTTTTCTCGGGCAATCATCGGCTCATGGGAAGTCGGCAAGAGAAACAGCATCGGCCCGATGCATATATACTTATCTCGAGCAAGACATCACGATGACCATCGAACAATCAGTCGAGCAAGACGAAGGGGCTGAAAAGCAGAAATGCCTGAGACTCGACAAGAAAAGGCATTCATCGTCACGAGAAATCCGTTGTTGCAGGCAATTGCCGAACTCCTCATTACAGAGGGTGCTTTTGTCAAAAATTCGGCAACATCGTCCGCAATAGAAGTATTGTGCTTTTTTCTGCAAGACTTAATACCAGCATCGTCGAGTTCGCAGACTTACACGTTTGGCGCCAAATTGAAGCATTTTGCGCAATGTCTGTCTTTTCGGACTTCCCGACACCAACGGGGGGAGTATTGCTTACTTCCTGCAGGGGACGCGGCCCTTTAACTCCAACAGGGAAGGTGGCCAGGGTCAACAAGGGACTGCAGCTGTGCCGCGCATGGAATGGAAGCAGTTGGTGTCAAGCAAATAAACAGATCTCGTATGTCTTGTGCATCTCGCCTACACTATAACATCGTACTCAATCTCGCCAAGCGCTCAACATGAACACTGCTCCGTGAATAGAATCCATCGGCCATCTTTTGTCCCAAAACAACCCGACAGGTCTTGGAGGCCTACCGTCGTTGGTTCTGAATACTCTTGTTCACCAACGGCTGACAAGGCCCATGACGCTCGAAGAAACAACACTCGTATCCAGAACTAGCCTCTTGATTGTGTCTCTGTCCTCTTGCCTCAATCACTGCCATTTCCGAATGCATAGCGACGCAGATAAGAAGAGAAGAACTCGACGCAAGGGAAAGGGAAGAGCGAGAAAGGCTGAGAGCTGGGCTTAAGCGACCATGCCTTCAAACCCGCTCAATCTGTCAACCACGGCATCAGCCTTATTCTTGCTGTTGCTGCCGTTCCGTCTATCGAAGCTTCGCAAAGAAACGATCAAGGTCATCCCGGAACAACATGGCCATGGCAAAGTTGTCCGTAGTGATGAGTGATGCCATTTTTTAGAACCCAAACTAAACTGAAGCTAGATTCTCGCAATAATCTTGGTTGTGGTCCAGTCGGTCATACTCGCTACAACAGCGCTCTCGACATCTCGACTTAGGATTGATCTAGCTTCTGCCATTGTGTCCTTGATAGCATACGTGGGCCTCTGTCCACTGATCAAGCTGGAGCACACCAGGTCCGTCAGACCGTCGGATCTCGCTGTTGTCTATTTACTTCTATCCTCGGGGTGCGAGTTGGTTGATTTGGTAACTAGAGTCTTTGACAACGAGTCCGCCATAATCGTCGCTCCGGCCCTTGCGAGTCTTTTTGTCAAGGGCGTGCTTCTTCTTGTTGAACTTCGAGGGAAACAAACAATTCTACAAGGCCCTCGTGACCAGTGGTCTCCAGAGGAATTGTCTAGTATGTTGGATCGAACCTTCTTCGGATGGATCAATCCGCTTCTTGCCCAGGGGAACAAATACATTCTGACAGGAGACTGCCTTCCGATGATGGATGGCAAGCTGTCATCGCAACTTCGACGCCAACGAGCCCTGCAAGCTTGGGATCAGAGAGGTGCACCTTTCTTTCCACTAGTGTAGCGTAATTCGTCAAGTTATGCTAACAGGAACTTTAGACAAACCCGAGAAGAAGTTGACGCTACCCAGGGTTCTGTTGCTTAGTATGCTTCCGCATTTTCTTGCGCCCATCATCCCTCGCTTGGTTCTCATCGGGTTCCGCTACGCCCAGCCGGTCCTCATCGGCACTGTCATCCGCTCCATTAATAAATCATCCGAGGAATCTTCAGATGCCGGGTACTCGGTTGTGTCGATGGCTGTCTTCGTCTATGTGGGCTTGGCTGTAAGTCCCTTCACCTGGAGTATCGTACGGTGCAACACTGAACCGTGTTCAAGGTCTCAAGAGCCGCATACCAGCACCGCCTCAACCGCCTTAAGGTTATGATTCGGGGCGCCGTTGTTGGTCTGCTGAACAACAGGTCGCTCAACCAACAGTCTGCTGGCTACGATGATGCAAGGGCGGTAACTTTGATGAGTACAGATGCAGACAACGTGGTTCAGTCCGCTTCCATGTTTCACGAGACTTGGGCGCAGATAATTGAGGTCGCCTTAGGCACTGTGATGTTAGCCCGGCGAGTCGGATGGGTTTGTGCGGTTCCGTTCGTCATGATCTTTTGTGAGTTCAACACTAGCACTTCTGCTCAGACTAGAGGCTGATTATTTATACAGTCTGCTCTCGGGTGAGCCGATATTTGGCAAAGAACCTCCAGAGTAAGCAGAAGGACTGGTCTGTGGCTACCCAGAACCGAATTGCCATGACCACGTCAATGCTTGGCTCGGTCAAGAGTTTGAAGATGCTTGGAATTGTAGACTATACGGAATCTCTGATCCTGTCTTTACGCTTGCGAGAGCTCGATATGGCCAAGAAGGTTCGGTGGATGATGGTCGCTTATAACGCAAGTGGTATGTTGGTTCATCCGATTTTGAGATATGGCTTCATCTCCTGACTGCTTACAGCAAACGCTCTCGGGATCTTCGCCCCTATTCTCACGCTCGTTCTCTACGTGATCGTGGCGAGACTCAATGGTTCCGCACTCGATGTCGAAACCGCCTTCACGACTACGGCGCTACTCGGCTTGGTGACGCACCCTGCGAATATGATTATGACTATAGTACCGCAAGCCGTGGGGTCGCTGGCGGCATTTGAAAGAATTCAGCTATACCTCGCTGAGCCGCCTCGAGATGACCAGAGACTTCTGTTTGACAAAGCAGAAGACAGTCTCGTCGATATTTCGCCTGCCTTGTCTTTGGAAAACGTCACTATCCAAGGGCTCACCCCGTCGAAACCTCCGGTCCTGAGCAATCTCAACTTCGTCATTGACAGGGGATCGATAGTCATGTGCTCTGGTCCAGTTGGGAGCGGCAAAACGACGCTTATTAGGGCTCTTTTGGGTGAGATTCCCACAACTTTTGGGACAGTGTCTGTGTCGACGAAGCGGATCGGATACTGCGAGCAGTCGCCTTGGCTACAAAGTGGTACTTTTAGACAAGCAGTCTGTGGTTTCCTTCCGGAGGAGCCAAGCTGGTATCAGGAGGTGATTCAACTGTGCTGTCTCGATGAAGATCTCTTGGCACTTCCCAATGGGGACCATACAATGATAGGAAGCCGGGGCTTGAATCTTTCTGGAGGACAACGGCAACGATTGGTACGTTTGCATCATCATGGTATCTTCGTCCCGTCTTTCGCTACAGGATGGCTTTCTTCCTTATTGCCGTCTGGAATTTCAGATTCAAGTGGTTCACTGTACTGACCATAACTCCCAAGGCTCTTGCTCGAGCTATATATGCCCGCAGTGAGATTGTGATCCTGGACGATAGCTTTAACGCACTTGATGGCAAAACGGAAAGTCGTGTTGTGGAAAGTCTGTTTGGCTCTGCAGGCCATTTCAAGAAGACCGGCACAACTGTCTTCCTTGTTACCCATTCCAGTACGCCCCTTATTTGTTTTGGTTTCTCTGCCCTAATGCTCATAAGATACGCCCCTTATATCACTATGGCACAAAGACTATACAAAGACTAACAATGTATAGCTGTCCATTTCCATCTAGCAGACCAGCTCGTTGTTCTCGGCGGCGGAACCATTGCGTACCAGGGGACATGGGATGGCCTGAAGCAAACCTCCAAGTACGCGTCACTGAAAGTCGACATTGATGAGACGAAGAACGATACCGTCGTGGAGCAGCCCCAAGTGGACAAGACCGTGCAGAACCAGAAGCTGAAGATGGCCGAGGCTGCTTCCGACCTCAGCAGGGCAACCGGAGACATCTCCCTCTATGGTACGTTTCAGTTCCCTTGACCTTTCTCGCACGCTAACTCGTCTGTCTCTCCCCAGGCTACTATTTCCGGGCTATAGGCCTTCGGCACATCCTAATTCTACTCACTTGCTCCTCGACATATTCATTCTTCGTAACGTTCCCTCAGTACTGGCTGCAAAAGTGGGCAGAGGCACCAGTATCCCAGACGTCATTCTACATTGGCGGGTACCTCATATCATCCCTACTGGCATGGATTGCTACCAGCGCATTGATGTGGTGAGTACGCATAGTACTGATGGTTGGTCGTGGCACTAATTTGGTTCAAGGACCGCCCAGATCCTGATTGCACCCGCTTCGGGCATTGAGCTGCACTACCGCCTGCTCTCAACCATCATCGGGTTCGTGCATTCTCACTCAACTCGTCCGCTGCCGCTTACATTCGCTGACCAAAAGTAGCGCCCCGCTGTCGTACTTCTCAAAAACAGACACTGGAGTTACGTTGAATCGGTAAGTCACGGCCCTATGCAGCTATAGCTCGTGCTGAGTCGTCACAGTTTCGGTCAGGACATGCAGCTAGTAGATAAGCAGTTACCGCCGGCCATCATGTCCATGTCAGTTCGTAAGTTCACCTTCACTTAAAGTCAAAGCCCCCTTGCTAATGGCCGGTTACAGAGGTCTTCAAGCTGCTCGTGCAGGTGGTATTGCTACTCAGCGCACAGAAAATGTTGGCCCTGACGCTGCCCCTCTGCGCCGCGGTCGTGTACCTCGTACAACGGGTGTATCTACGCACCTCACGACAATTACGCTTGCTAGATCTTGAGTCTCAGTCGGCAGTCTACTCAAGCTTCCTCGAATCAGTACTGATCACACCTCCGCCTCTGGCTATGTTGCGACTAACAATAATATAGGTTGAGGGCGTCACGACCATCCGAGCCTTTGGCTGGGAGAACCAAGCCGAGCACGCCAACGTGGTCTGTCTTGACAAGTCGCAGAAACCGGCCTATATCCTCTTCTGTCTCCAGCAGTGGCTGGGCATCGTTTTGGATCTCATGGTTGCCGCGATTGCCACCGGCCTCATCACGATCGCAGTCTTTGTCAGGGGAACGACAACAGCCGGTCAGATTGGTATGGCGTTGAATATCGTGTTGGTTGCGAACGCGACGCTTCTGAGCCTTGTGACATCTTGGACAAATATGGAGATTTCCCTGGGTGCCATGTATACTTTCTCTTCCTTCTCGTCTTCCTGACTGATTCACTAATGACTTGGTAGATCTCGCTTGAAGACCTTGGAGGCTGATACGCCGAAAGAGGATCAGCCGCATGAGGACTTTGTGCCCACGGAGGCGTGGCCGTCATCTGGCGCTGTCGAATTCGACAAGGTCACTGTCTCATACAAGTAAATCAACCATCAACAGTATGGCTGCTCCTATATACTGACCCTATATGCAGCTCCGACGTAGTAGCTTTGCAAGACATCATCCTGAAGGTCTCTCCAGGCCAACAGTTGATCGTTTGCGGTCGAACGGGCAGGTATGTTGCACTCAACCGTGTCAGAAGCTCATATCCTGGTCCTGCTGACACGTTGCGAAAACAGTGGCAAAAGCACCATGCTACTTACGCTCCTACGTCTTCTTGACACAGATGCAGGAAGCATCAAGGTTGACGGGGTCGACCTCCGTCTCGTGCCTCGTTCTCTGATTCGACAAAAGTGCTTCATCACCATTTCTCAAGACTCATTCATTCTTAGGCATGCTAGCCTTCGCTTCAATCTCGATGTACGATTCTCCGTTCAATACTTGCAGATCCCTGCTGACCTATTAATCACGCAGCCCTCGACTTCTCTCCCGGATGAAGCTATCATCCCAGCTCTTGAGAGAGTCGGCCTTTTATCACACTTTCACCTAAGAGACACACCATCTAAGGAGGAAACCCGCAACACCCTGGATAGCCCACTATCCTCCCTACCGCAAATGTCCACCGGCCAATCGCAACTATTCGCACTAGCTAGAGCCCTCGTTCAACTCCAATCCATCAACCACTCGTCCAACCCATCGGCAAACAGAACCGAATGTCAAGATGTTATGCCAATATTGCTTCTGGATGAAGCCACTTCGTCGCTCGACACCGAGACCGAGTCTGCCATACGCGACATCATACACCAAGAGTTCACGGAGAAGGGACACACCGTTATAGCCATCACGCATAGGCTGGGCGGCGTGACGGAGGGCATGCGACCGGGACGAGATGCTGTGGTCTTGTTGTTCAAGGGCAAGATTGAGAAGATTGGCCAAGCGGAGGATGTGTTGGACTTTGCGACTGTGCGGGACTAAGTATGTGGCTGATTTTTTGCCTTCCATCACTCTCTGATGGGATGTTTTAATACCGTACGCTTCGAGCGAGAAAGATAATGGATTTTCAATAGATAGATAACATCTCTGAATAATTTTCCCCGTAGGTCCCTCCCTCACACAAAGCTGCGTATTCATCTCCGACCGGTTTCAACGCGGCGCCTTCTCATCATTTGACCGCGTCGACCAGCGATTCCACATCGAATGACCGATGACGCTGAACCAAAGACTCAGTGGTACCAGAAGCGGCACTGTGGCGATGAAGTCCGCAAAACTTGTCTCGCCATCTCCCAGCGTCGCCGTTGTCAGACCAGCGGCAGCCACGCTGACCGCAAAGAAACCTGCGAAAATCCGCTTCTTCCATGGATCATTTCGTCTGAGAAAGTTGAAGGAGTAAGTCGAGATGGAGTAAATGTTGAAAATGAGTAATGCGACGACAGTGGAGAGATAAGTCTCTGGCTTCGGCTCCTATTTTTCGTTCAGTAGGCCGGTCGGACACTGTCCCCTTTCCATCTGAATACTTACCCTTTCATGGTCGGAAGCCGTGGAGGATTCGGATCTTATCTCAAACAATTCAACAAGATACACTTGTATGACGTTCCTAAGCAATAGCGACGATATCACTGACACCACTCCCGCAACAGCCATCGCGATTAATCGCCGCATCCCACTTAGTTCGCTATTCGGAGCGTCACTGCACATGGCTGAGTTGAAATTCGAAGTCTCACAGCCGCACTCATCAAGGATTTTCTGTCTCGGAGGGTTCAGCCAGACTCTGCCACGTCTGCCAACTCCTCTGGAGTATCCTGTCGGCACGCGCGTCGTCAAGGAACTTTCCCCGGCTGAAGTGGTGGAGAGATGTTCCTTGCATGTAAACAATGTAATGGAGGTCGCGCAACGACGGGCTGACGGGAAAAGTACACTTTCTAATCCCAGAATAGGTGGTGGTAGTGGGTTACGTGGGCCAGAGCCAGTCGGGCAACGTAAGGCTTATGTGCATGATCAGGCTGGGACTGGGAACATCGGCGCCGCCGCCCACCAACATATATATCACCCATGAATTCTTCGCAGCCCCGTTCAGAAGGGTTGGTTAGGACCGGTCAGACCTATCCTCAGGCTGTCGCGCAACCGCTATTTCATAAGTCTACACAGCTCAAAGCTTGAGAGCGAACCATTGGTCCCGCTTTATAGGAGTTCGCCTCAAAATGCAGTGCGGCATGCTTGTAGGCCGTGGGCTTTTGCCTCACTCAGGGCGCGTGGTTGGGGTAACTGAATGGCTGTCATTCAACCACGCGTCAGACAAACCACTTGGTGAAGAAGGTTGCATAGCTTTCACGATACCAGTGTGTCTACATTACTATTTTCCTTACTTCTAAGACCCTACTCTTAAGCTCATTTTCTACCTTACTTCACATCATCTATCTCATCTGTTTCTCATTACTCGTCCATCAGATAGCATCCAAGTTTCAAAAGCAGTTCTCCGAGGTCTCATTTCATCTCGTGTACAATTTGGCGCTCTTGAAGACCGCTCATCCTAGGCACATTCACAAATGTGACTGTGTGAATGGTCACACACTCGGAATATCCTAGAGCAGCCGCTCATAGCACAGGGGCACGCAGTGTGCAGCAAAGGGGCCCAATGCCGGAACCAAGTGCAGGCATGCACTTCGATACCAAGACCGCGGCCTTGAGGATCCAGAACTATCTCCAGATCCGGACCGATGGACCAAAGACCATTCCTGCACCAGACAATTCGCACCGTACGTGGAAGGACCGCTTCTAGCCCATACTTACTTCTATACTGGCGTCTTGCAACTCGTAACTGACAGAGGAACCAAAACCCAGTCGGCCCTTCCTTAGCCTCATCTTTTCACGGCCTTGAGAATATCGATGTACTACCCTTCAAGAGGAGAGGAGAGTCGACCAAGCCCGACAGAGGGGATGGAGCTTCGAAACAAGAACGGGAGCTCCAAGGACCACATCTAGGCAAGGATTCGTTACAAGTATCAGCTCATGACCGGCCCAGGATTTCCATGAGGATTCACCCCTTGGTCGCACTCAGACTGACTCTTCCATTCCTGGTTCTCTGCCTGCCTGGGCCCGTCTTCCCGGGGGCGATGGCGCACCCAGTTCCATCCGAGAGCAGCGGTGCTACCGAGACACGCACGTTAGCAGCTGACATCATGCTCGACAAAGTTGTCAGCCAGCTCGATCTTAATTTTCTAATCCAGATCCTCCTTTGCATAGTGCTAGGCGGCTGGTTAGTTGTCATACGTTTTACCCGGCAGGAGAGCGCCGGGTTCTGGGCGTTATTGACTGCGTCGCTGACGCACGCCTGCTACGTCCACGATCCCAAGGCCGATGCGGTTGTGTGTTTAGCGTAAGTCCCGAACGACGTGTCGATATTTCAAAGGACCTGTCGAATCTGACCGTTGAGAAGATTATCACTCATACTCCTTCGGATCAACCAGTCTTTTACTCTTTTCACGGTCACAAAGTATGACATCAAATTGCCGTAGTAAGTTGCTTGTAATGCATGCTTCTTTCGAGGTCCAGTCAGCTAATAGTCATGGAAAGCATGGTCGTATCCATTCTTATCCTAGCTGCTGCACTCGCTCACCACGGAGCAAACGAGTCCGCATCAACAGGTCAACCGTTGCAGATTGTTGTGTTGCCATTCTACATCAGCATGTCCAATCTAGTATGCTGCTGGATCGTACAGATTTCTTTGGAGAGACACGACGTGCAACAAGATCATCGGTCATGATCTATAGTACCAGATAAAGAAAACAGGAGCAATCCATGGGAGGCTTCAGTTGGCTGACTACATAACGAGTACCTGCCTGCTACAAGCACAATAATAGCAGAGCCAAGAGCTTTCTGTCCTGAAACACGCTTTAGGGCACATAGTGTAAATCTTATCTCACTTCAAGTTCGAAATGTTGTATAACACGGCACAGCGACTGTCAACCACATTGAAATCAACTCCAGAGAGCAGCACAATGCAAAATGTGCAAAAAGATCTCCTCGACGGGGAATTGAACCCCGGTCCCCTGCGAGTTGACTTAGGGATAAATTCCCAGTTGACAAGCAGATATCCTCACCACTAGACTATCGGGGAAATGTGGATGTGAGCATCCAGTGATAGTTGGTTGGAAGTGGAAGCCGACTTGGCATAGATGTAGCAAGTCCGGGGGTGGGCGACGAGGTGCGACTTTGGCTACGTGGGTCAAGGGAAGAGTCATCCTGGAAGTGGGAACGAGCTTTTAGATGAGATGCTTAGCAAAGACCGCGGCTCCACGCCTTAAGTTTCCTATGTTTGATTGGGATGTAGTTCTCTACCTTCGTCGTCGATAGAGTGATTAGTGCGTCAACACTTGGCGATTAGTGAACCAGTATAAAGTGACTGTATGTTGCGTCTGATTAGCGCTGTCGAGGGGCTTTTCTTAAAAGTCTCAATTGCAAGAAGAAAGAATCGATCTGCTACCGTCACACACTCTGTGGAATGTTTTAAAGAAAACGGTATATGAGATTGGAAGAAGCTGTCTGCGGATAGGCATAATGTAGAAGCGAGACGCCGGCGCCGCCACAGGAAGGTCTCCCGACTTTGCACCTCAAAAGCACGCTGTCAAGGGCTTTGATGGGTTTTTTCAAGATTTCTTCCCATCCATTCTATCCATCTTAAAAGTCCCAACTATCCTAACTATCCTAACGCCTTTATTTAGGTATAAAATTAGGTATACGAGGTTGTTAACTAGGAATGAGGTAGATAGACTGCTTTAAATAGGCCTACGTCCAGCTCACGGCCGAAGCTAAGGCCAAGGTGACGGGCAAGCTGGCAGAGAAGTTGGTAAGGGAGAACCCGTGGGACTCTTTGGTAGTTCCCGAGAGGGACCCTAATTTCTTCGTCTACAAGGCGAATCTGGGCCTTCTGCCCTTTATCAAGTTCACGCACCGGGCGGACGAGCCAGAAACTGAAGCGGCGAAGTCTAAAGGGAGGGTGACGGGTGGGCAAAGGACCACTAAGGCAGTCAAATACTTTGGAGAATAGAGAAATCGAAAAATAAAGCCTGGACAAGTACTTCGCGCTAACAATCAGGGTAAGAGATCTCAGGGTGGAATCACTCGATGCATGGCCCCTCCAGAGAAAAGACGAGTCTGAGATCGCAGTTCACGGCTGTTCGATCTCCCCGAACTGCAGCCCTGGAGTTGCCGGACAACCCGTCAGGAAAAGTAATGAGACTAACACGGTTCGTCCACAAATTAAGGTATGGCCCTTGTATATAATCAATTAAGGTTGAAAAGACATTGGCGCTCATTTGACGTTCTTTAAGATTAATTGATGAAGCGAAAGGGAAAACCCTCGCTCTTATTGACGTTCACAGTCTAAGCTTCAGGGCAACGTACCTTATAGACATCACAAACCCCAGTTCTCATGTAGACTACAGTCCTCGGTGTAGTTTTCGTTCATGGGTTTGTGTTTCCTCAGGGAAAATAGTTGTTCAAGTTCTGACACATATACGCTCCTTACAACACTTTTCTCGGCATCATGAAGACATCCACAGCTATCTTACTCGCCTTGCAGTGCATGTTGACACCGGGTCTCGCAAGGGCAACGTCAAGAAGCAACTCTCTTGAAGAAACAAGACAACCCGTCCACTCTCTTCCGACGCGACAACAGGACTCGCAAGACAAAGGTGTCTTGGAGAACGAGGTGCGCGATGGCACCTGCAAGGATACCATGTTCTTCTTCATCCGCGGAAGCACTCAACAACCGAATATGGTGTGTAAACCCGGCTCACGCGCCCTCAAAGTCATACTCTCAGTCTCACGGAGAAGCTAACGAGAGACCTTGTCCCTCACTAGGGCCTACAGCCAGGCCCCCAACTCGCAGCGTACCTACGATCAACTCTAGGCCCGGACAAGATCGCCATCCAGGGCATAGAGTACGCGGCAACGCTGTCAGACAACCTCTGCGTCAACAACCAGCTGTGCCGGCCGCGCGAGGTCACGAGTGCCAGCACCCAGGTCCGCGAGTACATGGACCAGTGCTCCGACTCTGATGTTCTTGTTGGAGGATACAGCCAAGGTGCTGCGATGCTTTCGCGCGTGATCTCAGATAGGCTCGGGTCGGAATACAAGGACCGCATCGTGGCCGCCGTGACATTTGGCAGCACCATGCAGGTGTACAACAAGAACACGATACCCGGCCTGGCACCGGAAAGGGTGCAGATGTTTTGCAACAAGTTCGATCCGGTCTGGTGAGTCCTTCATCCGTCCTGACTTCCCATCTGAAGGAATTGCGACGGCATCGCTAACACCATGTGACCGTAGCCGCAACGGCCTACCCCTCGGCGCCGTAATGCCAGGCCACAGAGACTACCGCCCCTCAGCCAAACCCGCCGCCGAGTTCCTCGTCCAGAAACTCGCAGCCGCCAAAGGCTGGACCACCGTCCCCATCGTCTCCGATATCGACCTCACCAAATTCGCCGACATAGGCTTTACCTTTCGGGAAATCTACCGCGGCGCACCGGCAGGCAGCTCAACCTCGTTCGAAGACGGCACGGAACTCGCCAAGCTCGACAGCGTGCGCGTCGTCTCCATCTTTGGCCGCGGCGCCGCGCGGGTCGACGCGCTCGGCGTCAAGATGGACGGGCTCGACAGGGCGCAGGAGCACGGCGGCGGCGGCGGGAACTATAAGGAGCTGACGCTGGAGAAGGGCGAGTACTGGGTCATGACGGAGGTGTGCAACGGCCGGAAGAAGAAGAAGGACCGCGTCGGGTTCTTTCGTGCCGTGACTAGTTTAGACCGGTCTCTGGAGGTTGGGACGAGGACGAATGATCGGTGCGTTACGTTTGTGCCGAGCGCGGGTCGGTCGTTTGTGGGCATGCATGGGGAGTCTGGGGAGGAGGTGGACTCTTTTGGCTTGATTGAGTATCCCAAGTTGGATTAGAAAACGGTGAATTGAGATATCCAGAAGGAGGATGGTCGTGATAGAAGGGCATCTCGGGATGGTGTAGATGGCATGTGAGAGTAGGTGAAGCACTTTGCAAGAACAACAGAACGGACCTTCCCGGCAGGAATTCCATCATACCATGGATCTTGTGCTACCTATTTTATGGCAACAAGTTTGGTATCAGGGAGGTCCTGCATAGCCCATTGCAACTATTCCATAATGTTCCTAGCCTTCTGAGCCTCGTCGAAAATGATGGGAACTCCTTGATATAAGTATCCCCACACCCTCTCTACGTCAACTAGAAAGGTTACTCTCCGTGTTCGCAATATCTATAGCTGTCTGTGTATACTTTTAGGAATAGAAGGACAGGGCTGAATGTACTGGAAGGCTCCCTATTAAAAAATTTTATGTCTCTCTTTACCTCGCGAACGTTTATCATACCAACAGGCTCTCGGACTTTCTTACCAGTTCTTTTCTCGCCAAACCACAGAGTGTAATGGACTTGCAAGGCCTTGAGTACTATATTATCAACCCGTTGCGTCTATAATCAGCGTCTATATAATACAGTCTCCTTCACTGCCTGGCTAACCTTTCTTCTGAGCTGCATACCAGGCCGAGCTGTCATTACCATCCGCGCCAGACGATTGAATCTGTGATCGGGTAAAGCATGAACTATCCTCTGCCGAGCACCGAGTGGGCCTTTCAACAACCATGGTCCTCTGATCCTTTCAGGCAAGGCAAGACTGGCCAGGAACGTGATGATGCATCGTACATTCAGCCCAAAGCAAAGGCTCGTAACCCCACTGATCCTGACGAGAGAAAAGTCCGATATTATCTAGGTCTGCCGTCTAAGATATTCAAAGCCGGTGATAGGGCAGTCTGCCAGTATCTCCCGCACGGTCAAGTCTTCATTCCAAGCCGACAACAAATTGTAGCTCACGATGACGAAGTCCTAAAGCTATGTCACACGGCATCAGCATCTCGATATTCAATGTACAGATTCATATTAGCCATTTACCTAAATCACCAAATTCTCGTCAAGTTCGTTATATGCGTGATAGAACAGATAGAAAGCAAGCAGGAAGATTAATACCTTTGGGCCTGCACCATTGTCCGACAAGCCGCTGAGAAGCGCGGTCTTGAACTCTCACGTCCACTACCCGCGCCTTCCATGACGGTGACGAGCCAAACGACCAATTGTCAGTATTGGTAGTGGCACCCAACGGTGTCCAGTCAGCTTAGTCCGACGAAAGCTCGATGTACTTGTACCAATTGAAAGACCTAGGTGGATAGGGCCCGGCCCAGCATCAAGAACCTCTGTGAGATGGCCCGATGACAAGGACTTCGCACCCGGTCTCCCGAGTACGAGGATGACGAAGGGGAATATTGCACCTGGCGTATAAGAGAGCAGGGATGAAGGCGTCAGGTCTGGCTTGTCAGCTGTTGAAAGGCGGATTCAGACGAGTACCTCCTCTCTTATGAGTGTCTCTTGTCGCTTTCAAAATGCCTTCGGGATGAACCTTCAGAAATGGACATGGACAAGAATCAATTAATGTCCCCACATGATGCTAATACGATTACATTGTTACATCCCTCAAACCTTCTCCCAAACGCAGCCTGCATGCATTTTCCTCAAAAAAATGGTCCCCAAGAGTTCCGGAACAACTCCCGCAGACCCGTATGCCTGTGTGTGTGTGTGTGTGTGTGTGAGTGTGTCTGCTCATAAACCTATAAGGCATGCTGTGTTCTGCTTCATTCCCATATCGCCTTCCTACATCCCCCGGCGGAGGGGGAGGCGAGGTGACGCGACACAGAGGTAACAATCATCCTCATGATCCCTTGCCAGCCGTCTTCTCCTGCAACTTCTTGGGGTCAATGCTCTCGTCACGATCCGCCTTGATAGCCTCCTCGCTGTCGGAAGCGAGCTCAGGCTTCCAGTGGCCCTTGCCCTGCTTCTGCTTGGAGAGAGAATCTTGCTTGTGCTTCTCGTGCGTCTCGCCATCGGTGTCTTTGGAGAAAAGTACTTGTTAGTCATTTTTCGCGAAAGTATGAGGTTGTGTAACTAGTCATAGGTTGGGGGGTGGTTCGCAATGACAGCGTCATCAAACCTGTGACATCACTTGTGATAGCCTTCAAGCTCAATTGCCATGCATCCTTCCATCGGGGGGAAAAGGGAACCAAGTCGAAAGAAAAGAGGCATAAAACTCACGTCCAGAGGACTCCTTCAGGCTTTGTGTCCTCGTGGTAGAGATGCTCCGACCGAGGAAAGCATTCTGCCTTCCGACGACAAAAGCGCCACGGGCAAGAGGGCGAGCTGAGAGAGCGATGCGAGATGCCATTGTTGCGTATTGAATTTTAGTCTGTGGTATGGAGTAAAGGAGGAGGGTATCCGGTGTTTGAATTATCGTATTGCGTTGCAGGCAGATTCAATTGAACGGAATAGAATCAAGTTTCGATGAGGTATTAAAAGAAGACAAGTAAGATCACGACGAACTCGGCAAGAGGCTCTAGAAGGAATACATGTACCTAGAGCATAGCAATAACCTAGGTTAACTAACTAGACGAGAAGCAGCCGCAAAGCATGCGGTGACGTCACTACTCACTGCTCTCCTTCCAATAGTGACATTTTTCCTCAGGACCGAGCTTTTTCCCCCTTCCTTCCCCAGCTGGTTGCAGCAGCCAGCAACCCGAATGGCTGGAAGCATCGCCACGTCCCCGCAAATTGCCCGTTTGGAAGGCGAGCGCCCAAATATTGCAGAGGATGGGAGGGGCATTGACCAACTGCCTGTCGACCATTTGCAAGCCCACCACAGTCACATCATCAATAATGGGCCATCATCGTCGCTCAGCGCCGCCCTGGAGAGACCATCGTCATCGCTCCGAACTTCACCTCAGTCAGAATTTTGCTTGGATTCGGACCATCGCTTCTCTCTTCAGCCTCTTAATCCGCAGTCTGGCTAAATACTTAGTCTTACTGCCCCTTACCCCTGGTATAGACCCCACCGCGGACCAATAATGACGGCCTTTAACTCCCGTGCTTCTTTGCTGCCCAGCTGCATCGTCATCATTGGCTTCCCCACCTGTCTCTCATTACTGACTCCATCACGTGACCATGACCTCCCCGCAGCACTCTCTCCAGACCATGATGATGCTCATCGAAGACGCCATAGTAGATTCGCTGTAGGAATCAAAGCAGCCACGAAGAGGGATAGTAGTGATGGTCACATCAGTAGAAGGTTATAATCAGGAAGCATCAAGCGGCAGGTTATCTTCGTCGCCTACCTGCAGCATTCAACCCCCTCGAGTCAACATGCAGAAAACTCAAGCGGCGGGTAAGCAAGGGCACCTCAGGTCCAGGTCACCGCACCAAGCACCAGGCACACTGCACCTCACCAAGACAGCAAATGCCCCCCGGATAGAGAAAGCAAAAGTGAATACGGTGTATCTACCCAATTCACCCCCCCGTACGGATACCTAACCGCTCTCTGCAGAGATACCAGCGCCTACAGAAACCCATTCCCCGTGCCGCGTATAACAAGAAGGGGAAACACCATAAAACAAACAAAACATCCACAAGTCATACCAAGCTCTACTGCTTGCTTTACCTAGATCCTTCGGCTTCACCTTCTTGCCCTTGCTGACACCACAAAGAACCCGACCTTTCAACCCCTCCTTCGCTGTTATCGAGCTCAGCTCTCATCCCAAGCTGAACCAGCCCCCTCTCCCCCTCCATCATACTCTCGGCGAACAAAGGGGGGTTCGAGGGAAGTGCGGGTCGGGGATCTATGTCCGATTACCTACCCCCCCGTCTCACGCATCTCGATAGCAGCCGTCTCATATATCCTGCAATATATCAGCAATGTCACGATTCAGGGGGAAATATGCAGTAAGCATGAGGAGACTGGGGAAGAACGCCGTCATCTCCTTATTCCAACGGGTGGAAAGCTATTTGATCGAAACATGAAATCCTATTGATGGCATTTGACGTTTCGTCAACCGTCCGTCTTATTGTGATCTGGAAATCGTTTAACTGTATCTACGAGAGATAACCACCTCCATTGAAGGTTTACAGGTAATCCGAATCACTCATGATAAACAGCATTTGATGAACATATCGTATATTGCATTGCGCCTTGCTGGCTTCGCGCCACAAGATCAGACAGCTTGGTCTAATCCCATTCAACACCATTCGCATCTTGAGCGTTTCCTGTACAACCCCAAAAGGTATCCCGTTCTCCGACCCAAAAACCACAAGAGCCATTTATCGTCTCAGATCGCTACCCAGAAACACACAACTCTTCCGAGATGCTCGCGAAAGTGCCAAGACAAGGTGACTTCTCCACCACGACCAACCGTTTCCAGCGTCGCGAGATGCTAGACCTGCCTCGCCGGAATATCGAGCAATAGTAGTATGAATAGTCCATCCTCGAATAATGAAATGAGAGAAGAGGCGCAAGAAAACAACAAAGGACTGCGCGATCCCCTTCCGCATCGCTCAACCAAAACAGGTAACAATGCAGAGGTTCGCCAGCAGGCCGCACCCAAAATTCATGACCAACTCCACCTTTCCCAAAAAGGTATTTCCCGGTACCGTTTCCAAGCTTTGGAGATTTGCCGCAAAACAATAGCAACGCATGTCTTTGCCCGCCACCACCCATTTGATATTTCCCATGTGAGCCCATAACAGAAACACCTGTTGCCCCCCCGCTCCGAATAAGTTGCTGAAAAGACACTCATTCTATATGTCGAGATAATCTTTTCCGGAATGACTTCGTGACCCGTCGAGCACCATGATGAGCAACAGAAATTTTGAATCATCTTGGAAAACAAAAAAGTCGTCCCGCTGTCCGTGAAAAAAGATGCCGAGAATTAATTATATCCGAGAACTCCGCCGTGGTGTGATTTCACACCGATGCATGTCGTGAAAATGCAAAACCATCCGTGTGGAAAACGCCATTCGTGCAAGTCCAACCTCATCTTGCGAGGTGAGGACACCGAAATTTTTGTCGGGTTTTTTTTGTAGTCAAAAGTACCCAAAAAAGGAAAAATGGTATCGATAACTTCTCATTCCGCGCCGTTGAAAGAGCCTCGAAGGGATTTTTGTCGGTTAAACAGGGTATGTCGTTGAGGTTGTTTGTACAGGAGAGGAATGTCGTTTGAGCCAACAGATGACCAGACCACGCTGGCAGTCTAGCCATTACCTTGAGGTAGCCCAGCCCGCAAGGAAGAAAATCATCGATGCCATTGCCATTTTTCGTCTTCTTTTTCTTTTCGGTGCCCGCCAAGATGGCCGGTGTAAACAAGCCGAATGAGCAAGGATTTACACATCAGCATGCATCGGCACAGACGGCAAGGAGTGCAACCCCAGGCCCTCTGTCACGAGAGCGGGATCAGCTCCTTACCATCTGCGACCCATGCCCTGCTGCATCCTGGCGGGGGAAACCGAGGGCGGCGGGCTCGACATGGTGATGCCGGTAGCCGGGTTGACGATGGGAATGGCGTTGCGGGCGCGAGTAGCCGCAGGCTGGTGAAGCTTCAGGCTAGACTGCTGGTACGCGGGAGGGATGAAGGCGGGAGAAGAGGAGTTGAGAGAGAACCCAGGGGCGACGGTCTGGGGTTGCTGCGTCGGAGAGGACTCGGGAGAGTTACTGGCCAGGGAAGAACGCTCAGAAGAGCTGATGGAGTTCATCTGCAGCGGCGACCAGGATTAGTCACCGGATCATGAGAGATAGATCCACGGCTCCGAGATACTTACGTCGCTGTCGGTCAACAGGCCGGGGCAGAATTCCATGTCGTCTTCGAGGTCGAAAGAGCGTACGGCCTCAAACTTTGAGCGGAAAAGGTTGAGAGTGGTGGAGTCGTTCAACTCCTTCATGCTTCGGACGCCACGGAACTGCTTGTGCTGGTTCTGGGAAACAGAAAGCCGAGGCGCTCTGCGATTCCGGCCGCCATGGTGGTTGTGGGAGGCACCAGGGACGGCAGGGGTAGGATGCGCCTGGTGGTGGTTGAACTGGTAGTATGAAGACATTATCTATGAATGTTTCGGTGGTAGCTCCGTAGTGATATCGTGGTGGGAGGTCGGAGAAAGGGTGCCGTTTTTTGTTGGTTGGGAGGCAGTGTGGCGGATGTGCGGGTGGTCTTATGTGGGCGAGCCGAGCTGTGCGGTATTATTGCAGTTTGAAACACAAACAATGAAACCTGCCGAGTCGACGTTGTGCGAGTGGAAAAAAGTGTGTACGATGAATAGGTTCAAGGTAGAAGAGAGGAAAGCAATGCTTTTTCTTTTTGGTCGGTTTGATACGTATGATCGTTTGGAAGTGTTGTATGATTTCGAGATTTTGAGGATGCGGTGGGAGAAAAGATACGTCTGGAAAGAGGGGGGAGAGAGATGTTGAAAAGTATCGGGAGGGAGGAATCCGGAGAAAGCGATGGTTTTGTTGGTTCGAACAGGATGGTGGGAGGGTGGGAGGAAGGTGGAAAGGTGAGCGGGCAGGCGAGAGGAGCGACGAGGGCACGGAGGGCAAGGAAAGGACACTGGGAGGGAAGGGGGGGCGGCGGTGGACCCACAGGTTGCCCAATGGGAGATGATCAGAAGACAGTGCTGTTTTGACAAACACTGTGGGTCCACTCCTTGACGCCATATGCGAGTTCGCCACCCTGTTTCTATTGGTTGGCAGATCTAAGACTATAGCGACCAGGGACTAGCGCGACCTAGTGGGCTGGTGTAAATTTGGGGCGTGGCGCCGGCTGCCGTCAACCCTACCAGTGCGGCGGACAGTACATTGTCGGGGTGGGGCAATGGGCTGGCCGTATTTGGATGGGGAGACGATGAATGAGTGAGTGAGTGAGTGAGCGATGGAGTGAGTGAATGAGACCGGAGGCACACGGTACACCAGGATTGGATGTTGAACTGAACCTAACGGTAAGGTGACTGCGCAGCGGGCGGGAAGGCAAGGCAAGATGTGGGAAGCGAAGAGTTACGTGTGCCCGGCAAGCCTGGGTAAACCTAGTCGGAGGGTGTTCGACAGTGAATGCTGAAAAGCAGTTGTAGCGGGAGCACTGGGGGGTCTGTATGGCTGGCGAGATCACAGAGAGTATCGTCCTCCCACGTTCTCTCTCTCATCTTCACTTTCACTTTTGGTCTCATTCTCATTCTCGCTCTCACTTCAATACCCTTCTCAGTTTCGCACGTTGGTAGGTATTCGTACCACATCTCACCGTCAGTCTCGGCAGACCTGCATCCCCCCCCTTCCTCTTTCCTATTCCCCCCCAATCTTAGGCATTCCACGTCGGAACATAGACGCAGGGCAAGCTGAGGCGTGGCATGCAGGTACTGAGTCTGCCCGTTGCAGGACGCACTGTGGGCCTTGTTTTTCTTCAATCACAGTCCTTCACAGTGCTGACAGCCGCGAGGGAAATCCCCCCCCCCCAAAAAAAGCCTCCTGAGTCGGAGAGTCGCCGGCGCCAGTCGCTTGTTCTTGTTTACCATTTTGGCACCGCTTGCGGCCATGGGAGAGATTGGCTGCCCACACCTGTCATTCCAGAACCCTAGTGTGAGCGGTGATTGATGGGGAATCAACCAGGAGCACATTCAATATTGCTGCGGTACGGAGTACGAGAGAACAGAGCGAGATTAGAGATGAGACATGATACGGATGGTGGTGGATGAGGGGGGCACAGCACTCCTCCCTCCCATCTTGAACCGTCCACCGTCTCCCCTTCTCTCCCTGCCACTGTAGTCTGTCAGTCTGTCACTGTCGAATCGTCGAGTACACAGCAGTGTCGCCTTGATGTCTCTCTTCACTCTATGCCCCCCCGGTGAATGCCATGGTGCCTCACCCCAGGCTGTATCGAGATGTCTCTCCTTTTCGTGATCAACTGACCACTCTCTTTCGCCTCTCCTCTTGCGGTCTTGCGGCTTGTCTTGCCTACTCTCGGTCCTGGCCGTGGTCCGACCAACGGCGTGTGTCTTGCTCTCGTCCAGTCTTCGCTCGTACGCTTCGGTGTCCCTTTTTCCTTCTTCATCCCTCCCCTTATCCGCAAAGCCTTACGCACTCAAGGACACTCCGACCTCGTCCGGAATTCCAGGCGACGCTAAAGAACCCTCCATGGCGGGGGGTATTGTTGTTATTGTTATTCCATGAGGCGGTCCTATCCAAAGTTCGGCAAACTTGACAGGATGCTTTGGGCTGACGCGGTGCAAAGTCTGATGAAGAGTGAGAGAGAGAGTGTGTGTGTGTGTGTGAGAGACCTTTGGGATGCACGCACGATGGCATCGTCTTGTCGGTGGTAGCTCTCTGATCTATCGCATGCTCTACTGCTACCACAGGGGCATTAAACTGGCGCAATCTGATGTTCAGAAACACGAGAAACGCAGTCTAGTGTTTCCCTTTTCCCATGCTGCAATAGACACGGTACGGGGAATCCAACGGTAGGAGGTCTGCCTCCCAGGTTCCTCATACTCGGCTGGCTTCATGTCGTCCGCTCATCCACAGTGTGTAGCCGATCAGAGTGTCGAAGGTCGACTGTCGAGTGCGCCCGCCTGTCTACAGTCTGCTTCAGTCCAAAGTGAAACCCTCCCGACCCTCTCTGCTGGGTGGCCCTGGTCCGGCCGAATCCCAACCTTTGGGGGGGAGGATAGCCCTGGCCCCTCAGCCAACTGAAGATGGGGAAGAAGAAGAGGAGGAAAAGATTGGAACGGACGGGACTGCGTGATGCATTGTGTGCACTGGGCGGTGGGCAGACTGAACGGCGGAGGACGAGCTGCAGCTGGAACAGTGCAACGCACCACCCGCCCGCTCTCTCCCCCCAAACTGCACGGCGGTAGCAAGACAAATGGATTGTCGAGGCTTCGATCGAGCAGCCAGTGTAGTGTCGTACATAGGATGTGGGGGGAAGTGTCAGGTTACGGATACGTACCTCTCAGCGTGGGATTGCCAGCCACGACCCAAACATCGTCGCCGGCTGCTCACACTGTCCGCCACCCACACTGTGATGTGGCAGAGTCCCAGAGCCATTGCCCAAGGCCCCAAAGATCCTCCACTCCCATTGGGTACGTGCACATGAATGGTGCGCGCACTGCTGCAGGAGGTTAGAGCCCCGGACTGCATGATGGACAACGAGGCAGTGGCTCTCTGCTCTCTGCTAAAGGCATGGAAGGAACCTAAGTATTCGTGCCTACCTTGTCTCCTGTGTAGGTACCTTATCCTACAGCCCAGAGAGAGAGAGACACACACCCGTGGACACACACACACACACAGGGCTGTGAGCCAGTGACATGCAGACACTGGGTGGAACCTGGTGCCGCTATGACTGGTCGCTAAACCCCTGGTCTGGTGCAAAAGAAAAACAATAACCGAGAAATGACCATGGGCCCTTGACCTTCTGGCCTGGATTCGGAAACGTGGCGGCTGGCACGCTTGGAGGCGAATCAAGCGACAGACCGCATCCCGAATGTCACTTTTGTGGACCTGACAATTTAGGCATCAAGTCATGTAGTCCACAGTGTGCGACTGCCACATATGCAGCCTGCAGCCCACCTGCCGTGGAAGCTACCACGCTTCGCACTTTCCATCTCTCACACAGGGCACACCGCAACTGCCCAAATATAAGGAAGTCATCGGTACGTACTGGGCCAGTCAGCACCTTCCAGGTTCTCTTTGCCTTCCATCTGGATGACCAACTTTTCCACAAAGTGGCACTCGCACATCACTAACAGCGGGGCAGACGTTTGCCAGTCCGTAACTGACCGATCTCACCGTCACACTCACTCACAACCTGCTCTTGCTCTCTCTCTTTCTCTCTCTCTCAGTCTATGGCTCACGCAGATCTCAGTGAAGGTTTCTCGCCCCACATCGTCACTCGTCACTCTCTGCCCCTCCCCCTCTCCCTCACCCCAGCATCATCCGTCAGTGGCCAAACCATGAACAGGCGATGATGGACGCCTCAGACCTGTTTATCGATCCATGCCTTTTTTTTCTTCCCATTCTAGCATTTCTTGATTCTCGGCTTCGGTCATGCAGTAACTCTCCGTGCCGTGCATGCGTACGGATAGATGCTTTGTACGGATATCATGCTCATGATCCGTCAGATCTTCCGACTGCCGGCCGATGGACTGCTGCTACCTGCTGCTGCTCTGCGGAGGTGCCAGGTCGAGATTAAGGTAAGCTTCGACATGCCACACGCATGGGAGCAACTCTATCGCCATCGATAACAGCTTCCCGCTGCGGCGGTCGGCGCCAAACGCCTTCTAGACCAACTCTCGACTGGGACCATACGTTCCACACCTTCGACGGCGAAGCATGGGATTTGCTGTGGTACCCGACCTTGCACCACCACTGCATGAAGCGAACGGGCCTCCTGTGTGACCACGCCAGCAGCGCCCTGGGCAGACCCTGGGACAACTGTCTCTGGTCCCTGGGGGTCTCTCAGTCTCCTCCCCAATTGTGGCACAGTACAGCTCCCTTGTCCCTCCGATGGCTGTGAGGGCAGAAGCGCTGAAGGCTGAAGCTGGCACGTCGCCCCTGCTGCGGAGGCCAATCTGCCAGTGGAGGTGAATCGGGGCAGGGCAGGCTGGGGCCCTGGGGTCTTGAGAGAGAGGGAGAGAGAAAGAGAGGGGGGGGGGGGGGGGGGGCATGGCAGATGGGAAACCATCTTGAGACACCTGACGATGGCTTCGTGATCTCTACAGTGGAGCTCGTAGGAGAATCCGAGTGACGAAAGGGGGCAGAATCGCATTCCCATCGCCTTGTCACCCCACGTCCAGTCCGTCACCTCGACAGTCAGCCCGGTCAACCAGTCAGTCCACCCAGTCTTCGATCAACCGTCATCCCGCCGGCTCGCCCTCTGTCTTTTGGCAATGCCGCGACAGTCACAGCACTGGTACGGGTACAAGGCCGGGGGCTCTTCTCAACGACGTAACGGACAATTTTTCCGTTTTCCCACCGTTTATATGCCATCCTATTCCCGCGCATGGAACGGAGGCTGCTATTTTAGTCGCCCAGTCGGCTCTCTACGCTACGGACACTTCTCGGATGCTCGCCCGCTGTGCAGAGAGGCCAGAGCCGGACGGTCTTGGGCTCAAGGTTCCTGGATTCGCCCGTGCCTGGAGAGGCCAAGGATCCTTTCAGCAGATTGCAGTTCCCCTAGGAGCGGCATCCCCTCCATTCTCCAGGGCTTGTTCCACATCGGGGCAGGATTGACACTCATCTTCGATATCCTTCCTGCCAGGCTCTTGTTTTTCTTTGCGAACGAGCTCACAACACAATGCCTGCAGCCAGATACGCAAGCCAACGTTTGCCAGGTTGCTAGGGTCTAGACATCAAGAAAAGAAAGATGGATGTGTGGGGATTCCGCCATTGAGTTCGACCTTCGCAGTCACACAGTTCCTGTTGACGCATCCAATCTACGCTCGATGCTCTACACCTACCAGCGCTGAAGCTCCTCTGGAAGGAAGGATTCGATGGCCGGTTGGGCAACCTTCTTTTGCTTCTTTTGGTCTCCAGCCTCTGGACCAATCTTCCAGCCTCACCAGCCGTGCCATCACCAATCAATCTCCCGCTAACCTTCAAACCCTACCATATCAACGCCCGCGTGAAACAACAAGTGTGCGATGTGCATGGCGGCGGACAGCATGTCTGCGTCTATATGTGGCAGCTGACAGAGGATCGTTGTTGCTCTTTGAGTTGACAACTGACGTTGCTCGACTCACCCATCCCACGAGATCTCACGGATTTGCTTTCTCGGTGATTAGGATCTGGCAACCATGGGCAAGGGAGGACTGGGAAAGCCACAGACACACGGACGGCAGACCAACAAGGTTGAGGGGGGCATGGGAAGACATGGAAAAGCCCCTTCTTCATTGCCACACCGCCATTTTGGCATTCAAGGTTGGGCCAGGCTTGATCCAGACAGCGGATTGTGCGCATCGCTTGCTGCGGCGGCGGATTATTCCTCTCGCCTGTCTCACCACCTCACCTCGTTCCCCGGGTTCTACACCACGTCTGCCGTCTCACAGCTCACAGTGGACGGACGCTCCGACCACCTCGCCGCCACTCTCTCACCGTTCCCGTCTTCCCCTCCCCCTCCTTTGTCATCTTTGGGGGGGTTGGAGAAGCATGAAGACGAGAGCTGGGAGCTAAAGCTTACCTTGGGTTGGCAAGGCAAGGACGGCAAGCTACCAGCTGAGCCACCTCCACGGATACAGCTAGGCATGTATCCGTACACCACTTGTCTTGCGCCATATAGGGCTTCCTGCATCGACGGTAGAGCAATGAAAAAAGCAAATAAGGAGGAGCAAGATTGCGAACGGTTCGGGGTCGGAACAGCATTCGACCAGCCAGACCGACGCCTCTACCAAGCATGCCGGCGGCACTCACTGGTGGTGCATGGCATGGCTGCCCTGCCATGCCACCTCCAGCACAGCGGTGGTGGTAGTGGTGGGGCAAGCTGCCAAACGGCACAGTGCTTGCTTGGCGGTCTGCTGGTTCAACCTACCAGTAGGTACGGACATGAGCGTGAGGACTGACTACCTAACTAGCTGGCCTGCTTGCTTGGGTCGAGGATGGGCTTTGTTGGCGAGTAAATCCCGCTCCGCTTCCATCCGATGCATCTCCGGCGCGGATGCAACGAGACGCTGCAGTTCGCGGCGGTGTCTTTGGACTCTGATGGTTCGCTGTCGGGACTCGTCGACATGCTGCAGTAGGGCAGAGAAAAGAAGTCTTCATTCTTTCCGCTGTATGCGCTGTTCTTCACCCCCACCCCCATTCGTTACCTTACCCGGCATATGTTGAGAACGAAGGCAGGGTTTCCGGGTCCCGAGTGAATGGCATTGTTCAGATTCCCACTAAACAGAAACAGTCGAGGACCCCCGCCCCATAGCCAAAGCCCCATAACATGCCCATGGGGGATCGAAGGAGAGAGCCGGCTACTTTGCGACGTCACCCCTCTCGGAGGGGCGCGGAACCTGGCGGCGACGCCGACGACGGGTCTAGGGAATATGCGATGCCTCTCTGTTCAGGGTAACGCATCTTGCTCATGGCTCGGTAATTCTCAGAAGTACGATCAAGTGACGACGGTAGTCCACCGGGGGAACCCAAACCTAGGGCGATTGTCATATCCTTTCCCCCTCGTTGCGTGTGTATCTACCGTACGGTGTTGCCCTCCTCTACCCGACCTCCGTTCGGTGACGGGGCTTCCGTCCCACCCCGGCGCAGCACCCGCCCACCACGCATCCCATACCCGCGGATACAATCCATCATGTGAAATCTCTCCCGCATCCTAGACCCAACCTTGTGAACCGCAACCGCAGCCCACCAAGCCTCGCAGCCCGCCCGGACGGTTGCACGAACATCCTTACCACCAAGTGATTGGTCCGAAGATTCCAGAACACAATGAGGGATGACTGGCTGGAGAGGCACCTCCCACGCATGCCGGTAGGCCTCGGCCTAGGCCTAGCAGCAGCAACCGCCGCCGCCGCCGCCACCACCCTCCTCATCCTCGTCTCCCGCAGCACCACTGCCGCCGCCCTCCCGGCCCCGCGTCCGGCAAGGGACGGCCGCAAGACGGCCCGCTCGCCGAAATGGACGACGCTGGGCTCGGGCTGTGATGACGAGCGGGTGCAGCAGCCGTACCCGCCCGACGTGTTTCCTGGCGCGCGGGACGTTGCGACGGCGTACGGGAACCTCCGGGTGTACGAATTTGGGCCGGAGGATGCAGAGGAGAGGGTTCTCTTGCTGCATGGGATTGGAACGCCTTGTCTTGCGCTGGGGGGTATTGCTGGGAAGTTTGTGGAGAGGGGGTGGAGGGTTATGACTTTTGGTGAGTTTTTTTAGTTTTTTTTTAAATGATGCTGATGGTGATGATGATAGTGAAGAGGGTATGTGTCGGTGACGATGTGTGAGGCCGTGCTATCTGGAATGTGAGATGTGAAGAACATGGTCCAGCGTGAATGATCACGGCATCTTGGGTCTTACTCTTGAAGCAAACCACTCATCTCATACATCACACCACACACCACACCACACACAATCCCTCATCTCTTTCTCTTCCCCCTCTCTCACCCTTACACAAGCCACCCCTAACTAACACGACAACCCAGACTTCTTCGGCCGCGGCTACTCCGACGCGCCCCTCGACCTCCCCCACGACGCCCGCCTCTACACCACCCAGATCCTCCTTGCGCTCGCCTCATCCCCCTCGCCAGGCTGGACCGGGAACGACGCCTTCCACCTGCTGGGCTACTCCCTTGGCGGCGCCGTCGCTGCCGCCTTCGCTTCGACGCACCCGCACCTCGTCCGGTCCCTCAACCTCGTTGCGCCGGGCGGATTAGTCCGCTCCGCTGCGCACGTTGGGTGGCGGAGCCGGGTGCTGTATACGTCGGGTTGGATCCCGGAGGGTATGAGGAGGTGGCTTGTTGGGCGGAGGTTGAGGCCTGCTGCGGGTGGAGTTGGGGGCGGGGGCGGGGGTGATGTACCCGAGAAGGAGACTGTTGATGATGATGATGATGAAGACGGGGAGAAGAAGAAGGAGGAGCAGGAGGATGAGTGGGATGAGCTTAGGCTTGTGGGCGGGGGACGGATCGGGGAGGTGGTGGGGTGGCAGCTCGCGAGGCATCCCGGGTTCGTGACGAGTTACATGTCGACGATCCGGCACGCGCCGATTTATGACCGCGGGGACGAGGAGTGGAGGGTTCTGGCGGAGGTGCTGGAGGCGAGGCGGAGTAGCTTTGGTGATGGCGGTGATGGTGGTGGTGATGGGAGGGGGTGGTCATCGGAGCCCGGGCTGAGAAAGGGGCGGGTGCTGTTCCTGCTCGGGGAGCATGACGACATCGTCGTGCTTGGGGAGACGGTGTGGGATGCGGAGCGGGTGCTCGGGGAGGACGCGGTCGAGGTCGTTGTTCTCGGGGGCGGGCACGAGATTGCCATTACTAAGGGGAGGGAGATTGTGGGTGCCGTTGTTGCTGCGTGGGAGAGGAGGGCATAAGGTGGGGGGTGGAAGACGGGAGGTGAGAAGAGTGTGTTTTGTTCTTTTCTTGATAGGAATTTCTTGGAAGTTTGTAGGATGATGGATGGAAGGGTGAGAGACGTTGGCTTTTGATGGGTGGAGTCTTGGATAGAATCATGTATAGAGAAGATGCTAGATCGCAACGGGTGCTAGAAATCTCATAAATCTGGGAGGGGATTGATGGGGCTGTGTCAAGTAGAATCCAGGCAGGCAATTCGTCGCCCGTCCCGAGATGGTTCATTCGTCTGCCGTTTGCCTGGCTGGTTTTGCCGGCTTTTCTAGATTCGTTTGCAAGTGACGGTTTGTCGTTTCCTAGGGAGAAGATGGCCAGAGAATGTTGTTCACAAGAGAGGGACATCACAATGGAAATGCCCGACGAACCAAACTCGAAGAATGACTTTTTGTTGCTATTCCTTGTCTAATTTTCTCGTTTCTCCTCCAAACGTTGAGATGCAGACTTCCCTCACAACTGCAGTGTCTTCTTTAGTAGATATACCCTCAGTTGGAAAGAAGGGGGAACATCTCCCAGTTGGTAGACCAGTTGCGAAGGAAACCCCCCAAACACACATACAAAAGAGATCTAGAAACTCCAGACTGCCCACGCCAATTGTTCCCATATCCCCGTAACCCAGTCTCCTCGTGAAATCCCAAATCCAATGTCCCAAATGTTCTCGTGTTCCCAACGCCAAAAGAAAAAAGGCGAGCGAGCCCCTCCCGGCTCAAGTCGGAGCATCCCCAGACCACCCACCGCGGTTGGCAAATATCCAAGGTCGAATTTTCCGATACGACGATAGAGAGATAGTAAGAGTGAGAGAGTGTGAGAGATAGAGTAAGAGAAGAGAGGGAGAGACTCAACCCCGTCTGTCCTTCTTCTTGTTCTTCCTCTTGTTCTTGTTGTTAGGCTTCGGTGTCTCTTGCTTGCCAAAAGCCTGGTCGCCCTCCAAGACCGGCTGATCGTGGTGTGTGTGTGATTTAGACGCCTCACCTGCATTGCCGCCTTGGTTCCAATGGTCACTCGTCGCATTCACACCAGACTCGTGCTGGAGGACTAGCGGGGGGGTATCGAAGCGGAGGGGTGAGTCAGAGTTCCTCGGTGACTCCAACACCGATACCTCGCCGATATGGGCGGGATTTTATTCCCGTGAAATGTTGAGGGAGCCGAAACGCGGGATCTCCAAAGTAGCGACTGCCGGGTAGAAGGGTGGGTAGGGCAGCACGTGAAAGTCACCCTCGATGATCGCCGCCTTCATCTTGCTCAAGTCCTCCTCTCTATCTCTCTGGGCGATAGCCCTATCCACGGTTTGGTGGATGGAGTAACCTGGTCCCTCCTGCACAGGACCGAAAGCCTCTATCAACCAGTCCCGAAAGCGTCCTTCCCTTATGTCTCCCTCGATAGCCTCGTTGAGCCACTCTTGGGGAAACCATCCGGCGAAGTCGCTTAGCGCGGGGGCGCTGAAGACCTCGGAGGGATGAATTGGATTCGGAACGAGCTCGTAGCAGTGAATGCCTTCGGCGGGCAGTTGCACGTACTTGGTCATTGACCAAAGTCGTGCGCGACTGAGATCGAACAGAACTGTCCGAGGCTTTTCGAGATCACCTGTTCCGTCTCGCATTGTGATGTATACATGGCGGGGTGCGAAATCGCCGTCCATGACCCCCTCGTGCATGTGCTCGACGGTGCCGTGGATAAGCTGCCTGAGAATCTCCATTCGCGTGTCGTGATTGATATCCAGAAGCACTGGACGTCCCGTATCGGATTGGTGGAATTCTAACGGCAACTCATCGTCCGGGACGAGGTTACCGTACTCATCTCGATTGCAGAGATCATTGATGGAGTAGCCGTCAATGTACTCCATGAGGATGAGAGCCACGGTTTTGTACTGGTCGGGCCCTTCGGGAGTCTTACCGGCGGAGAACTTGACGGCCCAAGTGCCATAGTACTGGGCAGTGATGTTCGGCGGGCCGGTCAAGTTCTTCTGGTAGAGATGCTTGTAAGCCCAACTCTCTCGGCTGAGAAGGCCTTCATTGAGTTCAATGTTGTCGATCGGCGTGCCGTTATATTTCTGCCAGAGCTTGTGGTCAAAGACTTTGGCCACGACTTGGGTCTGTGGGTCGGGGACCTTCTCGCGGTTATCTTTATCCTCGTACTTGGGCGACGCAATGATTTTGCAACGGAAGACTTGAGGTCCGGGGTTCATTGAAAAGCGTTCCAGCACCTCAAGTTGAACTTGCTCATCCTTGAGGATAAACCGGTGAGGGTCGAAGTGGCGAAGTTCAGGGCCAGGTGGTGGGTTCGGATGGTAATCAGAGGTACCATGAGGCTTCACTGGCGTGTACTTGGTGAGAGTCAGGATGCTGCCTGGACAATAATAGTCGGAATCGGCATAAACGCGAGACATGTTGCCGATGAAGCCGATTAGAAAGTGGTGTATCAGACTGTCATTGTGGATGGTATCGATGGATCTGACTGCAAAGTGAAGGAGGTCAGGTTGAGTGGAAATCGAGGAAGCCTTGGGAGATGAGACGATGGGGAGGAAGTCCAGAAAAGTAAGGTACGTAAGGTGAGAGTCCCACCCCTAATTTTTTCTTCTTCTTCTCTTCTTCTTCCTCTTCTTCCTCTTCTTCCTCTTCTTCCTCTTCTTCCTCTTCTCTCACTCCCCTTACAGAGGTATAGAGTAACAGGAAGGATTTACGTGCTAGTGAAATGGCATAAGCAAACGGATGTGTGATGAGTGAGGGTGAGAGTGATGTGGGGGATCTTGTGAGTCCAAGTGTCTCGGCTTTTTATGTTGGAGAAGATGTACCTGGCGGAAAGTCACCACAGAGGTTGCACAGGCACGACGAGGAAGGTTTCCATCTCCGAATCAATCAACCAAAGACGAACAAAACTCAATCACACAACAGGCCTACCTCAGGCAACAAAGGTGAATTTGCTTCCACCTCTTTCTTCGCAGCGGCTCAACTTTTTTGTAGGCTTAAACAGAAGCTCTCCTTCCAAAACGCTCCATGTACCCCATGATTTGATATTTCACCGCATTGATCACCTTGGTGCAGGGAATCGGAGGCTTTGTTCAACTGCCTTATCCTATTGCAACGAGAGCTCTTCCATGCATCACAAAGATATTCGGCTGCAGCAATTGAGTTCCGTACGAGTGAACACGGTCGAACCGGAATACTCTCAAGACGAAATCTTCCAGGAACATCCTTTCAGCAGCCTTAGACCCAGTTAACTCTGTAAGAAGGGAACTTGTGAGAACATAGTAGGGCAGCTTCTTGACGGGTCGTGACAAAACAGCACACATTCCTCCTTGGATTTCAACTTTGCAGAAGACTTAGGCTGGGTGAAAGGCTTAGAATCGTATGGAGAGTTGGCCCGCAAGATCATGGTGAATTCCTCCTGTCTGTCGCAATGTGTACCCAGTGCTATATCAAACGCTAGGTAGAGGTCATTTCACTGTGTGCATCACATTATGATATGTGTTTCGGTAACGTACGTCTTGAAGAAGAATGGCATCAAGAGTATCGTATGCTGCCTTCCGTAAATTGGTAGGAATCTGCATTCAAGCTCGGCATACAGATGGAATTTTGTGGACCAATTTCATCAGCATCAAGGAATTGAGCCAAACACACAGGCATCAACAATTGGACGTTGCAAACAGAATTGAATACATTACATCAAACTCACTGGGAGGTCACAGAATGAATGCCTGTATGACATACATTTCTAACTCTCTTTTCGTTGTCTATGAATCCGGGCCCAATCTTCTGGCTATACTTTTGTGGGAAAATTGACAAATGGGAGCCGATATGAGTGTTGTAAGCAGGTTCATCATTGACAACACCAATATACATGGGACCAAAGGTATCTCCTTCTCTGGACTCTGGATGTACCGTCTCGCTTCATCGCGGCCATATCCTGGAAGAGGTCAAAGTCAGTGGCTGACGCAACATCCCGATGCGTCCGAGCCGGGATGGACACCGCCGTTTGTAGAGCCTGGTCGAAAGTACCACACCTCCTGCCAACAAGACACCATGGGCTGAGCAGCAAAGAAGACTTTCACCTGGAAAAATGAGGTCGCCTCACTTTCCAGAATGGACGTCTTGTCATTGAATGCAAGCTAGCCCAAGTCTACGGCCATGTGCAGAGCCAGCTGGTTCCTGGGTCGTGGGAAGACCCGACCAGGGCTACTTCCTCCTTGAAGACGGCGAGAGATTTCCGTCTCTTCAGCTGGCTAAGTTTCGAAAAGCGTGTCGACTATGGGCCATCGTCGAAGCCAAGGACGTCGGAAAGATCTATCGCTGGTACGAGTTTATCAAGCAATGTTTTAGACGTGGACAGACTGGTCCCCCGACTAGAGGTAGCAAGCAAGACCTTCAACTTGGGACAGTGTTCAATGGCAGCGCCGACAAAGCCATCGGCAGGCTCTTGAAGCAAGCCGCGGCGTATGCGATGATTTTCCGCACCATGTACGTGATAATGACTGATCACGCAACATTCATGTTCCTTGTATTTCGCGACATGGACATCAGCCACGATTCGACCGCCGCCGATCTGTGGTACAAGGGTGTCGGCGAGACGGTTGAGGTGACGCTCGTTAGACCGCACGAAGGCGAGGATTTCGAAGGTCCACTGGCTGGATTCTTTGCAGAGGCACGAAAGAAGACCCCACTGGATACTTTTTACGGAATCATGGATGGATTGGGAGAGGAGCTTTGTGTGATGGGAAAACAGGATATGTTGCGTTGCTTATGGCTTGTACTAGATGGAAGGATATCTGAGATTCGAAACATGTTTATCTTCGTTACCTTTTTCAGTATCTTCCGTCAGTGATGCTAACATGAAATAAGGGCGAGGAAGACCGTGATCCTCCCTGCTTACCTCAAGGTGAGCGTAGGGTGATGAGGGGAGGAGGCGTGTGGGATGAGGTCAAGTGCCGGTTGATTGAAGGATCCACTCCGCCTAGGCTGGTCCCGGCGCCGAGATAACGGGTTCGGGTCGGAGTGGGGCCAAACGCTCAAGCTACTCCGTAGGGAGGGGGCGGGGGGGTTAGGTACCTTACCACGTGTTACGCAAGGTACCTGGGTTCCTACGTGGTTCCTTACCTTAGGTAAGGTACGGATACCTTAGGTTGGTTGGTTCCATTGAGCTCACAACCAGTCGGCGGAACACGTGGTGCACGTCCCCCCTGACGAAGTACTCAGTACACACTCCATTTCATCTCTTCAACACCAATCTCCCACCCTTCCTCCCACCTGTCCTACGACCTCCCGGCGAGGTTGCGATACGACTACGGGAAAGTAACTCATCTTTGGCCCCCATTTGCCTCAACCCGCTCATTATCATTGAACTCGGGTGCTAGCTGGATTTCACCTGTTGCGGAGCCACGTGGGTTATAGACACGCCGAGCCCGCGTTGCTTGCTGTCCATGGGGTCTTATCAAGTCTCGCTCGGAGAAAGCAGAGGTCACCCCCGCCGCCTTGTCGCATCCCACCCATAAGTATGGATGGCTTCCTCAACTTTTTTCCCGAGAAGGCTCATCGGGTCACCGGCCGCCTGGCTGAAGTCCCTCGTCATCGTTGCTAGTTTCCTCATCTTTGTCCAATTTGCCCTCCCCCACATCATGGCGCCCAAGGCTTCCTCCACTCTGCTGGCCGGCCTTGCCGTCTTCGGCACCGGGACTGGGACTGGCAGCAGCGCTGGCGGCGTTGTGAATGCAGCCGCTGGTGTTGATCTGACTTGGCATGCGCCCTCTCGCACAGAGGTCAATAATTTGACTGCTGTGATCAACGGCAAGGGTGTCTGGGGGTTCATCTACGACACCTCCAAGACTCCCGACGACAGGTACGGGCAGTACAACTGGTGCAACATGCCTCATGTGCGCAAGACGGAGTATGTCAAGCCGTCGGATGAGTACGAGCTCAAGTACGTGGAATTGGTGAGTAAAACAAACCGAACCCCTTTCCACTGCTTCCTCCACTGCTTCCTCCTCTTCTTCTTCTTTTTTCTTCTTTTCCTCAACCACTGACTTGTTCACAAGGTTCACCGCCACCACAAACGTACACCCTACGCCTCAAACGCCTTCCCCGTAGAGCCGTACCAGTGGAACTGCGACGACCAAGGACTCTTCTACTACGGCGAGCCCTTTGCCAGCAGCAACAAGCCGGCAAAGACCTACTGGAAGGTCTACATCTCCCCCATCAACCCCTTCGTCCCCGCGGGTTGGATAGGAACCTGCCAGTTCCCCCAAATCACCGCCCAGGGCCTCGACGACTCCTGGGTCCACGGCGCCGACCTCTATGGCGTCTACCACGAGCTCCTAGGCTTCCTCCCCGGCCAAGACGCCGTCAACTCGCCCGAGTGGCGCCGTAAGATCAAGTACCGCGTCACCAACAACCAAATCACCAGCCAGGTCGCCGGCATGGTCGTCAACGGCATGTGGGCCGCCACCGACTCCCTCCAGCTCACCATCCAGGCCGCCGGCGTCGACTCCCTCGAGCCGCAATACCCCTGCACCGCCGGCTACGCCCTCTTCAACCGCATAAAATCCGCCTCCAACGCCGCCTGGGCCCAGCACCTCGCCGCCGCCGCTCCGCTCTATGCCGCCCTCGACAACATCTCGGGCGTCCCCGCCGACGACGAGGGCTTCCACGCCTCGCTGGACCACTACTACGACAACCTCTCCGCCCGGCAGTGCCACGACAAGCCTTTTCCCTGCAAGCTCGTCGGCGGCGCCAACACCACCACCTGCGTCACGCAGGACCTCGCCGACGCGGCATACCGCCTGGGCCACTGGGAATACTCCCAGCTCTATCGCGACAGCCCCGACTCCCTCGCCGCCAGCGTCGCAGCGTGGGGTGTCTGGGTCGCCGAGCTCGCCGTCCACCTGCGCGCCGTCGTCGCCGGCACGAGTGAGACGATTTACTTCCACAACGTTGCGCACGACGGCTCTGTCTCGCGGCTACTGTCCATCCTGCAGCTCGACCACATGGTCTGGCCCGGCATGGGCTCCGAGGTCGTCTTTGAGCTATACAAGAAGCGCGGGGCGGACGACGAAAACGTTGGCGGCGCCAAGAACCCTCCCGCGTCAACGTCCACATCCACCACGCCTGGCTCGGCTGAGAGCGGCTGGTACGTCAGAGTTCTCTGGGGCGGGCAGGTCCTCAAGTCGTCCCACCCGGCGCTGGGACTGATGGATATGATCCCCGTCGAGACGCTGCTGTCGTATTTTGACGGGTTGGTCGGAGAGAACGCTAGCCTTGTCAAGGGCAAGTGCGCCTCTTGAGCGCTCTGTGTGGGGCTCACATGGTTCGCCAGGAAGTGGTCATTACCTTTCAGCACGTAGATCCGCCGCATGTATATCTAGTTCGCCGCTGTACCTAATATATAATGATAGTCTGGGACTCCTCCTCGTAACGCCGACGCTCGCTTGGGACCACACACGGTGTGAACACGGAATCTCTTGTTTTCGGTACAAGCTAGAGCAGATTACACTCCTTCTCAAGATCCTTCCAACGCCCGTTACGCATAGGGTCCAGCTGACGCACCTTGGCCATCCACGTTTGTAGTTCTTCCGTCTCTTCTTCGCTGAGCTCCCTTCCTTCGATGCGCGGCAGCGCTCTCGTGTAATCCAGCAGTGCCTTGTATATCCACGTGATGTCATCGTAGTCTTCCAAGAGGTCCTTAATATCTTCAATTTCGCGTCTCACGTAGGATGCCTTTTGTGTACTTGACAGGCTCGGTGCGATTTTGGGCCGGCCGTCTGACTCTTCGGTCATGTTCTGAACGAGAAAATGATGGTAAAACCACAGAGACTGGTCCTCTGGGCCGACGTTTAGTGCCTCGCGGACGAGGTCGAGTTCTGCTCCCTGTTAGTCGGCTATGTTCGCAAATTCTCTGAAATTATATATTTATATATATATATATATATATATATATAAGTATAGGATCGCCCTTACCTTCTTCCAGAAACTTTTGCCGCGCCTCGTTATCGGCGCCGCGCTCCTCTAGTAAGCGGGGTATCAGGTTCGACCGGTTATGCCACGCCGAGAAGTTGGACAGGTCTGTGTTGATCATCTTTGTCGTGTACGCGAACTCGGCCTCGACCAGGTTCGTGCCGTCGAGCGCCGCGCTTTCGAGAGCGGCGACTACTTGGCGCCGATAGCCCCAGGCGTGGAAATTGCGGCGGTCCTTGGTCAGCATTTTGGACACGAGGCCGAGCTCCTCTTCCCATATGCGCCGGGCGACGGGCCTGGGGAGTCTGTCGATGGCCTGCTGGAGGAGCCAGGAGCGGTATTTCCAGATCCAGTAGCTCTTTGGGAACTCTAGCAGGAGCGGGATCGTGAACATGAGCTCGCTCCTGAGGGTGTCGACCACCACCTTGTCGTCGTCGACCGGCGGCGGCGGCGGCGGCGGCGGCGGCGCATCAGCTGTTGTACCACTCCTCCCACTCCCTGGGCCCGGTGGGGACGCGGGGTCTGGCGGGATCGCGGTCGAGGAAGAGGGCGACGCAGCGACGGAGGACGGAGGCGGAGTGCATGCTGCTGACGAACTCGCGGGCGGCGCCGACGGCGACGGCCCAGGCGAGGGTCTTGATAATGATCCACAGGTTAGGCAGCGCCTGCGGACGTTCCATGCCGTGTAGTGCTCCGGGTTCAGGCGCAGGAGCTTCGTGGTCAGGGCGAGGGTCGCCGGGTCGGTCGGGTCGGCGGGCCGCGGCGAGGCGCGGAGGAGGGCGTCTTCGAGGGCGCGGAGGTTGGCGATCTTGGCGAGGTCGGTTTGGAGCTGGGCTTCGGTGCGTGGTTTCCGGGCTGTGCGGGCTATGCCGTGCTGTGCGGTTTTGGACTGGTGAGCTTGGGGAGTTTGTGTAGATAGATGTCTTGGCGGTTGTTGTTTGCGGTTGTTGGGGTTTGGAGATGTGATGGAGTTTTGATGGATAGAGGGAAGGGTGGAATGGGGAAGACGTTGGGCTGGGAGGTGATGATGCTTACGCTTTCCATGGGATCTAAAGGGTGCTCAATGAGAGCGGGATGATTTGACAGGAAAGGGGAGGTCGATCAGGGAGGACGGAGAGAAATTACAGTCCGCAGTCAAGGTTGGGGGCCGGGGGTTGAAGGTGCTGCGAGCTCTGGGGGTGGCATGGTGGCATGAAGCTGGTGCGGGAACTTGGCGGCGCGCGCCAGAGCAGGGATTCCCCACTACCCCGTCACGTCCCGTCACGCCCATCAAAGTATATACGTCAATTTAGCCAGTGGCCCAAGCTCCCGGTGAAGAAGCCCCCCCGAGCAGCGTCTCACCTCTTTCCTTCACGGATATTAGCAAGGCACCTAGTTAGTTGTCTTACGCCTCCACTTCTTGTCTTACCACTGTGATGAGGTAGATCACGTACCTTACCTACCTCCTATGTCGGCGAGTGCCAAGTCTGGTCTCAATGTATCTTCTACATGCCTTGGGTAATGGAGACGAAAAACATCTCGAGAGGATAGGCCTGGACTTGACCAGACAGCGTTGAAGTCGAGGTCGTGTTCTACGTTGATTATCGAGAAGGTGAATCGACAGTGACACCATGTCTATTGCGTGCAGTATACGTGACAATATCAGGCCTTCACCATTCATCTTCCATCTTGCTGATCAATACTCACCCTCATGTTTCAATTTATTGCCCTAACTTACACTTTTGTTCAACTATCATGTTACCCATCTATCGTACAGGAGTGGGCCATAAGCTGTAATTCTTCGATCAGCTTTGGCAAGAGCTTGAGGTAATCGCACCTGAGGAATAATCAACCAAGCCGATCAGCGCAGCTTCCTATGACGACGCTAGCTACGTGTATACAATGACACAACGATCTGCTTATATCCTTTCCCTTCCTCCTCTTCTTCTTCTTCTTCACCATCCGCCACACCTAAGACACAATCTTCCCCTAGGACATGCATCGCTACATCCCTCGACGAGACGGAACTCCCCTCTCTGAAAAGATCCGCATGAAGCAAAACCCCCTACCGCCGCTAACACCGCCTACCTGCCGCCCCGTCGTCCCCGTCTCCGTCGTTGGACCGTCGGTCTTGTCCCCAACTTCTTCCAAGCGCCCTTCTCCGGCCTCGTCTACTCCCTGTCGACGAATCAGAACAAAGTTCTTTGGACCGCGGCCGAAGAAAGAGGAGGAACACCAACAACACGAAGAGAGACTGGCTGAAGCCTTGGAAGTAGACAAAGCAGCCAAGATTCTCGTTTTCGGGGTTCGTCCGGTCCCGGCACCAAGACCAAATTACCCAGCCCAGGTACTCACATCTTCCACGGGTAAGTTGCGTTTCGATAGCAGCCTTTTATGCTTTACTAAGCTTACGCTCCTTGCTAGAATCAAGACAATTCCAACGCAGCCTGCCAGTGGCACCGTACAAAGTCCTCCAAGCGCCGGGCCTTGAAGATGACTACTACCGCTCGCCCTTGGCCTACTCTTCTACCTGCCAATGTTTAGCTGTGGCTTTGGGGAACACTGTCTACCGATGGTCGGAATGGCATGATCCCCAACCTGTCTACCGTATTCCTCGCCAGCGACATACGAGCCTGACATCTCTGTCATTTTCCTCAACCGAAGGAAACAAGGCCATTCTAGCCTTTGCCCGCAAGGACGGTTACTTTGGTCTACTGTCGTTCATTGACGAAATGCTTCCGCGGTTTTGGTTTCACCACCCGTTTCCAGTCGAATGCGTCAGCTAGCGGCCATCAGTGACGAAAAGACCATCACAAAACCCCTTCATCTCGAGTGCTACAGTGTCAACAGAGGACCTTCTGGTTGGCGATGGTCGAGGAAACATCCTGCATTACATCGTCGAGTGGCCCAGCTTGTGGGAAGTATCTCGTGACACGTGGTTTGGCAAAGTGACGCCCGTTGCCAAGATTTCAGCGCACACCTCGCAGATATGTGCGCTGGTCTGGTCTCCCGACGGCCAAGACTTCATTTCCGGGAGCAACGACAACACGGCCTGCTACTTCGAGATAAAACGGATGGAAAGACAACGCAGGCACCACAACTCATCTACGACTTTCATCCGCAAAGGCCGCCGGTCAAAGAATGATTGGAGCCTTTCAGGAAGTGATTGCTCACAGCCAAAGCAGTATGAAGCGAGCCACAATGGATGGATCTCAGGCGCGGAAACGTTGCTTGACGTCGCTCCGATAAGCACAACCATCGAGGCCAGTGTAGTTGGAGGCATCCCTCGAACGATACAAGCGCCCACAGAAGACCTGCGGGTGTTCAAGCGAGGCATGGAAACACACTGTTGGCGGCATGAAGCTGCAATCAAGGCAATCGCATTCTGTCCCTGGCAGAACGGGCTCGTTGCCACTGGCGGCGGCTTGGGAGACAAGTGCATCCACTTCTTTCACACGACGTCTAGCACACCACTGGCCACCATCGATGTCGGTGCGCAAGTCACCTCGTTGATCTGGTCTACGACACGGCGGGAAATAGCAGCAACGTTTGGCTACAGTCATGGCTATGCGCAAACCGAGCATCCATATCGCCTTATTATCTTCAGCTGGCCGTCTTGTCGGCAGGTTGGGGCTATTGCTTGGGTGGGTGGCCCGCGGGCCTTGTACGCCATTCCGTACCCAGGAGGACCATCAGATGCGCGCAAAGGAAGCCGTACGGCAAAAGAAGGAACTATTGTCGTGGCATCAAGTGATGAGACTCTCAAGTTTCATGAAGTCTGGCAGGACAAGCCAAAATCGACTACCGGAGGCGCGGTTGGCATATTGGGCGGTAGTGACATTCTCGAGGCTCTTGACGGGATCGATAAGGATGGAGACGTCATTCGATAAATCGTGAGACGAGATAGCTGCTTGCTTCTAGGGATTATCAAGTATACAAGGAATGTCAACTCGTGTTACACGAAGTATTCGTCGTCGTTGACACACCAAAGCCCCATTTACGTATATTCTTATAAATCGAACTTGGGACCTTTCATCTAGCTGTCAGGCATCAATCTTCAAACTGTATGCTATGAACACTAAATAGTCGCCCATCTGGTATGACTTACAGGCGCCGTGATGACACTGGTCAGACGATGCTCGGGCTGGCCTTGCTTACGTTACATGGAACTGAGCGTTGCATTTGAAACGTCACGACCACAGCTAATTGGCATTCGCGGGTTTTCGGGATACGGCAGGATAACACTCAAGGTCATAACTCGTGAGAATGAGAAGCTAGCCTAGACAGCGACGTGTGAGATGTGAGACGAGCAATTCCCATGAACTGGACGATGTGGAAGCATCGCATGGCCAAAGAAACACACGTTAAACGAGACAACAGAGCTCTAGCTCTATTGTAAGGGTAGACTCTCGGCTGCCTAGAGGGAAGTGGAAATACTTCAAGTTTAGGTAGTGTATGGTAGATGCGGAAATTGTGAGATGTGAGGTGGAGTGCATGCATCATCAAGGTCGACGTGGACAACACGCAAAGTATTACAGTTCTAGGCTCCCCAATTATTGGGTTAGGTGACCCCGAACCACCGGAGGCGCTAATAGGTACCCCAGGCACCCTTGAAAGCAAACAGACCCAAAGACCCCTGCCACTCCGGCGCCGCGCTGCACAGAAACGTAACTCACAGTCCCTTCTTGCGGACGACGTCCTGAGCGCTTGTCTCACTCCCCCCCGTCCCTCCTAGCGCATGAACACCTCCAAAACCTCCCCGAATCCGCAACCACTCCGGTCCATCCAGGAACAACGTTTGCACCATCGTCATCCCTTCCAATCGAATCTTCTGCTTGTGAACTCTGCCTTCCATTACAAGCGCCGGCCGGGAATCGTAACACACACCGACGTGGAAAGAACACTCGAAATCTTTTACCATAGAAACCCTCGCACAAGACAAACAAGATCAAGAACATGTCCACCCTGAACCAGCTTTACCTGCTCGCCGACCACGTCAAGCTCTCCCTCCTGGAGCGCCAGCGCGCCCTGTCGCTCAACCTCGACGCCGACACCCAGGACGGACACATTTCCCGCTCGCTCGATCAGTTTAAAGATGGCCTGGAAGCATTAGATGCCGAGGCCAAGCGCCTGCAGGGTGCTGGCGATGAGAGGTGAGCTTCCCCCCCTTTGGTCCTCTTTCCTTTACTTCAACGAACCGACGTCATACCGGGTGTCCTCCAAAACCAGCACGATCATCGTAACATTTCTCGTGTACAAATTGAATGCTAACCTGAATTCTTCTTCCCACAGCGCCGCCCTAAGCATCACCGACTCCCTCCCCGCCCTGCAGAAGCAATTCTCAGACCTCACCTCCCAATTCCACGGTTTCTCAAACCCATCCACCTCCTCCACCACAACATCACCAAACGACCCCTCTCTTGCCGCCGACTTTGACGCCGCCCAGTCCACGAAACCCCTCAAAGGCTCCCTCCGCGGCCTCCCCGGCGGCGCCGCCGCAAACAACAGCAAGACCGTCCGCTTCACCGATTCCCCTGGCGGCGCGGCGTCGGCAGCAGCAGCAGCAGCAGCAGCCGAAGAAGACGCCGCCGCCGCCGCACTCTTCGGCCCGGGACGATACCGCGATGACCCCGCCGACACGGCGGGCTACCGCGACCAGGCCGAGGGCATGGATAACCAGCAGATCCACGCGTACCACTCGCAAATCATGCGCGACCAGGACGACCACCTGGACCGGCTCGGCGAGTCTATCGGGCGGCAGAGGGAGCTGAGCATGCAGATTGGTGACGAGCTCGACTCGCACGTCGCCATGCTGGACGAGGTGGACGAGGTTGTGGATCGGCACCAGGGCCGGCTTGACCGGGCGCGCCGGTCGCTAGGAAAGGTTGCGAGGGACGCTGGAGAGAATAAGCAGATGATGACTATTGTTGTGCTTATTATCATTCTCGTTTTGCTGATTGCTATTCTGAAATGATGCGCTTGGGGATGGAAGAGGGGGAAAGAGAGCAGCGGCAGCGGATGGCTGTGGTCATGGACGGCTAACGTCTCTCTGATTTTTTGCTTCTTTGGGGTTTTCTCTTTGGTTTGGAACCCGTCCTCATCAGAAAGAGAGGCGCGGGAGACATATAGGTACTTGTTTAAAGTCTTTCAAGTATAAGGCGCATAGCATGGTTTGGCGTTTTAGGAGTTTTCTATCAATTATATTCGATTTCTTCGTCTGTTCTAGCAGTCATTCTTTTGATGCCTCTCTCGACATCTACTCTAAACCGACCTGTGACTAAGGCCTATGCGAACCTAGGGCGGAGAGAGAGAGAGAGAGAGAGAGAGAGAGAGAGAGAGAGAGAGAGAGAGAGAGAGAGAAATGGCAACCGAAAAAGAATGTCCGATTTTCACAGCCGCGCAGGACGTGACCCACATCTTTGCCATGTATCATCGCAAACACGAATGCGCTCTTGCAAGCAATCCTCATTTGCAATGCACTTTCACGGTCACATTCGAAAACGAATCATTTCTGCCGTGGTTTGAAGGCTACATATATGTGCATCGCCTGCCAAATGCCGAACCAGCTTGAATAGCTTCAACACTATCACCGGTCTATTAGTCTAGTTGGTTAGGACGTCGGATTCTGATTCTCAGAACCTTCCGTAGGCCCAGGTTCGAATCCTGGATGGACCTCTACCCTTTTGCCACTTTCGGATATGATGTAGTTCTTATGTTGACGAGATCAGATTTCTTCTTTTTGGCTTATACGATGAGCTGGGTTCGTTGCTTGTAGACGACGAGGAGTCAGATGGACTAATGCTGTAATGGCTTCACTCCGTCGTTTGACCAAGCCTCACTTTGCTAATCATCACACGTCAGAGTCGCCTTCCCGTCCTTTTATACACGTCATATAATCACTTCTATTAATCGCTTCAACTGAGGTACGAACTGCAACAAGACTACCAGTAGAAGCCTCATAGAGAACGTCAACTCTCAACTAGACCTCCGCCCGTTCCCGAAAAGCCTATTCCAACTTGTCTCTCTCTCTCTCACTTACACACACTTCCTATATCCTCACAACAACAGCCTCCCGCACCAACCGACCCCGAACACCCCCAACAACAGCAGCATTCACAAACACCGTCCTCCCCGTGCCCCTCCGTCCCCCACACCACCAAAGCACCCATCCCCAAACCAAGAAATACCAGCCCAGAGCAAGTAGAGCCTTGGCCCAAGCCATCACCACACCACCACCAGCCATCGCAAAAGCGTCAGCCTCCAACAACACAACCACCTCATACGCCGCCTGCAACCCATCAAACGCAACCGCCTCCCGCCCGCGCCCGCAATGAACGTGCCCAAATACGTGCAGCCGCGGTCGTACCCGCCAAATTTCCGCCAGGAGCATCTCACACCCCCAGTGGCCGCACGGATCGTCCATGTGGCCTTTGGGCGGGGCGTGGGTGACGACAATGTCTGTTCCGGGCGGGATGGTGTTGCGCCAGGGGTCGGAGTAGGAGTTGTCCTTGTCGATGTTGTTGGCGGCGTCTGCCTTGCGTGTTGAGGCGGCGCCGGCGGAGGAGGAGGAGGCACCACCGGAGCGTGGGTACTGAAAGGCCCAGGTGCCGAATCGCGGCGTATACGGACTCCCGTAGACGCGGACCTCGCGGTCAGCGTACGTATTTGCCCCATCGTTGGGGCGGCGCGGGGGGAATGTGAGGGTTGTTGCTGTGCGGTTGAGGTAGATGATGTCGCCCCAGTCCAGCGGTGATTCATCGTCGTCGTCGTCGTCTTCATCTCCGCGTGATATCGAGTACCCTTCGTCGTCTAGTGCCTCTCTACCAAGCTTCACCTCCTTCGCCTTGCCCTTTCCCTTCTCCTTACTCCTCTGCCTCCGTTCAAACTCCTCATCCAAACACAAATCATGATTCCCCGCAACAACGACCTTGAACCGATGAGGCTGCGCTCGAATCCACGCCAGCGCCTCCCGTAGCTCCCTCTTCGTCCCCGAGGCCGTGAGGTCGCCCGCGTGCACGAGGATGTCGCCCGGCGGCAGGCGCGGTTTGGTGTTGTGCGTGTCGGAGATGCAGACTACCGTCACGGCGTCGTCGTTGCTGCCGTTGGGATACACCACGGGATACGAAACGGGAACAAAGTCGTAGAGGTATTCCACTATTGTCGAGAGGGGGTTGGAGAGGAGGAGATGGGTTCCTGCTCCATCGTCGTCGTCTCGACGGTTGAGGATGGCGTTTAGGCCGGATGAGAAGCGGGAAAGGGGCATTTTGTTTTTCTTTCCTCTGTTTCGCTCTTTATCTGCCTCGGTGTTGTTTTGAGTGTTTGAGGATGTCATATTCTCAGAGGTTTCAATAGACTGTAAGCCCCTGTGAGTGTACCTTTTCGAATAATGTTGCCTGGTTCGTGTAAGTCACCAGGTGGTCATTCTTGACGCTGTTACCTCTTACCTCTGATGAGGTGAGACGGGCAGAAGCGATATGTATCTGTCCAGTGAAAAGGAAGATGACACAGAAATTGCGGGCGAAAAACCATGAATCTATAGAGTCACCCTGGGAAATGAGTAGAAGAAAACTACACATAATCACGGAGGGCGGATACGTTCCATCATAAGTGAGAATACTCAAGCCATCTCCGATGAGTGTTGATGAGTGTTGTGTGCAAACCGACAGGGTAGTGAGATACTTCCTTTTCGCATCACTCAGAGGACTCGCGTGATTTCCCCTCCAATGGAATGATGTGATTGTGACACAATCACCAGATGTGTGTTTTCCCCCCTCTTCCTGTATCGTGGGCCAACTTCTGACAGTGCTTGCAATGCCGTTTGTGATAATACCATAGCTACATTGCGCGCTTTTTAACAGACTGGCTGCTTCATATTCTTTGCCCAAATATGGTTACCATTTGACCAAAAACACTTTTGAATACCTTGATAATGCCTCCACTTTCCATCTCGAAAGGGTCCTCCCATCTTCCCAGCGCTGTTCCCTGAGAAGTCAACATGAGGTTGCTAGTTTGGATGAAACCACGAAAGCTGGGAGAGGAAGTTGACAGGAACGATAAATTCATATGCATGGGCGTGCTCTTGTATGCTTTGAACATAGATAGATAGGCCGTGCTCATGGTCAACCAAAGGCAGGCGCTTCATACAGCATCAATCGCAGTCACCAGATACCCTAACATGGCCTAGACAGTCCCAAGTCGAAGTAGTTCAAACATTGTCAACCGTCATCACATCAACTCAAGTCAACTTCCTGTCAAGAATCTGGGTATGCATATTTCCTTTCCGATGAGAGACTAGGTATTTGTAAGATGGGAGGAAAATAAAGCGACAAGCAACGACTACGCCGACAAAACACCACCCTCCGCCGCCGTTAGAACAAGGAGCAAAAAAAGCTTTCCGCCAGGAAAAAAAATCCACAAAACTTCTTTTTTTTGGAAACCCATCTTTCCCCAACTCATTCCTCGCCAACAGAAAACAAAAATAGCTTGGAGACGTGATCGAGACCCCGATGGGCAATTCAGACAATACGAGGCGGCTCGAGGGATAAACAACATGAAACAGTGAGCCCAAGCTAGACAGTAGCCGAGCGTGATATCGTACAGGTGGGGGGGAGGAATATGGACAAGCTTTGTTGTCTCGATTAGCCTCTGCGTATCTCGATTGCTAGGCGACAACTTGCTACCGTTGCACCGTTGCTCCGGTGTGGAGGGGCGCAGGCGCCTCCTTCGACCCGAGGCATCAACACTTGCGCAACAGACAGTTGGTGAAGTCTCGTCTCAAGGCTGTGCAGGAACTTGCCTGCCCTTCTAGGTACGTGGGCTTGGTCGAAAGTGAAGGGAGACCTAGATGCCAAACGAGATTCGACATAGGACATGTGGTGGATTGAGCTTCCAGTCAGCACCGAGCGTCCAAAATGCTTGCCAAACACCCGCATATGAACATCCCTGAGATCCCAGAGCCAGAAAGCCAAGCACTAAGACGCCGCCATGCTGCATAATGATGACATAAAAAAAAGGGCATTACTGAGCCTGCGTAGCCAGACTCATATTAGAGCATAACCTGAATGTCCAAAGACACCCCTCCAGCTTACGCCGGGTTGCCCTTCATTCTCTTTGCCATCCGCGGCGTAGGCGGCTTGCCCTTGTTCTGGACTCCGTTAACCTGAGGACCACCCGGGGTTGGTGCCTGGGAGCCGTCCTCCTCCATCTTCATGCCGGATGGGCGTCTTCGCTTGTTGGAAGCTGGAGACGTGTTTGCACTAGGTCCGCTAGAGCTGGTGCCTTGCTGGCTTTGTTGCATCTGCATGCCGGGTGCCTGCATGTGGCCCTGCGCAGGGCTGCCAGTGACATGAGGAGAGCCAGGAAGCTGCATATGCGGCTGAGCTGGGCTCGCACCCATCGGGAACTGACCGAAGCTGGGTGTCCTGGGAGCTTGGCCTTGGGGCATGGGTTGACCGTTCATTACTTGCTGCGGCTGGGCGTTGATCTGGCCAACATACTGCTCAAGAGCAGCGTATGGACCGAGGTTAGGGTGGTTGTGGTAGAAGGCGAAAAGGGGGTTCATTTGGCCGATCACTTCAGCAATCTGCATGTCGTCTTTAGTGCCGGAGATCCACATGCATGCGCGGGCGAGCTGTCACATACCTCGAGGAACTGGAACACAGCTTCGGTAACTCCCATACCCCTCTTGACCGCCGACTCGGGAAGATCCACCAGTGCTTCTGGCGGAGGATTTTGCGGGGACTTCATAAGGCGAGCCTTGCCCTTCTTGTTCATTTCTGGGGAAGTCTTGGTGTCAGGGGAGTTAACCTTGTGCCACTCCTTGACCCAGTTGTGGACAGGCTTCGCAGCTTCGATGGCGGCCTTTCTAGAAATGTATTCTTCGTGGTTGGTTGTCAAGAACTCGAAAAGTTCAATCTTTTGCTCCGCATCAAAGTGAGCTCTGACGGTGCCCGTAGCGACAAGCTGCGACAGTGTTAGGATCTACATGTGTCCTTGGCAGTTAGAGAAATTAACTTACGTGCGAACCGCTATCATACCAGTAGACCAGGCTGGACTTGGTATTCTCAATCCAGTGGCCGTCGCCAGGGAGCGGTCGATCCGTCGTCCCCTTTTCCATGATCAACTGCATGTTCTTGACACCGCTGTCGAAGTGCGTGTGGAAGTATCGAGGAAGTGCAGGGTAGGTTATCTCGTATTGCTTATCTGCCTGGTCTTCGACGTCGGTAATGTGTACAGAGTGTCGGAACACGCCTTTCGTGGAGAAGAATTGATTGACGAAGCTGTTCCAGTAGGACAGGTCGTCTTTGCCCTTTGGGCCCTGTATCTTCTGTTAGTGAGCCGTGACTTAAATGCTGTCTTCAGTTCCAACTTACAGGGAAGCCGCTCAGATGTTCGCTGAACTGCATCAACTTGAGTAGGCATTGTCCCTTCATTCCTTCCCTTCTTTGTTGAGCAAGCATGCTGTTGGCGACGGCAGCCTGAGTCGCAGCAGCCTGAGCCGCGGGGTTCATCTGTTGCGGTCCTGGTTGGGGAGCCATTTGAGGAGGACCCTGCGGTTGGGCTTGAGGCTGAGGAGGCTGCGGTTGCTGGTTCGGGGCCGGCCCAGGAGTCTGAGACGGCGTGGGCTGTCCTGCAGATTGAGGGTTGACGGGTTGCGCGGGCTGCTGCTGTGGTGTCTGATGCGGTGTCTGCTGGGGTTGCTGTTGAGGCTGTTGCGGTCCGCCTTGGGGTTGCTGGCCCTGTTGCTGCTGCTGTTGCGCTTGCTGCTGAGCCTGTTGTTGCGCCTGTTGCTGGGCCTGTTGCTGAGCCTGTTGCTGCTGAGCCTGCTGCTGCTGGGCTTGCTGCTGCTGCATTGCCATTTGGGCCTGCTGCATGTTCTGCATGTGCTGCTGAGGGTTCATCTGCACCGGCTGACCGGGCTGTTGTTGTTGCATTTGTTGATTCTGTTGAGCGACGGCTTGCTGCTGGAGAGCGATCTGCTGAGCGAGCATCGCTTGTGCCTGGGGGTTATGTTGCTGCTACATCCCATCGTAAGCAATGTGAGTAACAAGGTGGATGTGCGATATTTACCGGCCGCATGCCCTGCCTCATAGCCGCGATCTGAGCTGCGTTCATCGGGTTCATTGGCATCCCCATCGGCATGCCATTGACGCCCGCCATATTCGCGTTGAAGGCCTGCTGGGCCATGAGCGCTTGTCGCGCCTGTTGCTGCTGTTGGAACAACCGCTGCTGCGCGACCTGGGTAGCGTGCGCCATCGCCGCTGGAGTTTGGACTACGCGACTTGATCAGTAGGGAAGCAAGTAGACGAGGCGGGCCTAGATGAGGAGAATCGACATACAGTTACCAAACTGACTTTGCTGGAACATTTGGTTTTGGGCAGGATTGAGATGCTGCAGAGCGTGAGCGTTCGGACCTCCAGCACCCGGCGGCATGCCGCCCATCAACTGATTTGGATTAACCTGACCACCAGGCCCTGATACTGCCATGTGCATCTGGTGAGGCATTCCTCCGCCCGGGCCTTGCTGCCCTGGGTTATGAGGCATACCCTGGGCCATGGGGTGCCCGGGTACACCTGGATGCTGTTGCATGCCGGCAGGATGGCCTGCAAAAGACGGTCCCATACTCGTCATCATGTCTTCGGCGTGTCGATAATCCACAGCGTGGATATCGACGTGTCTACCCTCCGCACTATCTCATGCGCCTGCGTCTAAAGGCAGTCTATCTCGACGACAATTGACAATCGGGGCCGCAAAAGTATGGAGGATTGGGGCGGCTGGAGTTGCGGAGATGGGCGCGACGCGGTAGCGATGGAGTCGTGATGTGCGAGACGCGGGAAGTGGTGTCAATCGCGTGGTGCGGGCGGGTTCGACTAGCGTTATCGATTGCGATAGGAGTCGTTTAATGCGAACGGACGGGTCAACAGGTGAAGAGGGACCAAGAAGGCATCGATGATCGGCGTGACGATAACGGGGGGTTTGGCGATATTGTGTTAAGGAGGTCGGGATGCGACGACAAACGACAAAAGAAGTAAAAGTGAAGTCGGGGGAGGTGAGATGGCGGGTGGGTGCCCTGCGACCAAAGGAGAGCCCGACTGAGTGAGTAGGAGAAAGTTGGCGTCGGCTAAGACGTGGGCGACGGAGAAGGGGAAATGGGTTGGTTGTCTAATCTCGAAAGGATGGATACGACCCGACGCAAAGACGTGTCGAGGTTTCGCGCGATAGCGAAAGCGAGCGGAACAGAGGTGGAAATCTCGTGAGAGTGGACGATGTATGCTTCAATCGAGCGGTGTCGATGACATTCGGAGAGCGGGTTGGTTCGAGATGCCCAATTTTTATTGCACACGTCGAGCGCAACGAACAAGCCTTTCCGCGCCGCCTTGCCTTGCCAGGAAAGCGGGAAGGAGAGGGAGAGGGAGAGAGAGAAAGATTTGGGGGGGTTTTTTGGAGGTGGGTGAGTGGTGCGGTGCGGTGCGTTGCGTTGCGTTGCGTTGCGGTGTTGGCAGGCAGGCTGAAGAAGGACGGACAGACGCAAAGACGCAACCAAAGGGAACTGGGAGAGAGTCTGGGCCTGCTGAGCTCTGGCTCTTTTGCAAGCGGGCAGCGGAAACCCAAGTGATTTACCTTGCTGGATGGCTGTTTGAGGCAGGAATGGGTGAGTACCACTTTGCAATTAAGCAGTACTGCGGAACGAGATGAGCGTCCGGAGCCCCGATAGACTGGAACAAATGATAAAAAAGGGCTTCAGCCAGGGGTGTTTGAGGAGGAGTGGGAGGCGCCCCAAATGGTGTTGTTGAAATGGTAGGGTGTATCCGTACCTTAGGGTACTCCGGGAGGCAGAAAGGCGAGGCGTCAAGTTACGGCCAAATCCAAACCCTGAGGCCGATCAAGAGACAGCAATGGAAGCAGTGAGAGAAGGCAGAGTAAGGTAAGCTAATAAGAGGAGGCAAGGTACAAGGCATAAGGCATAATATGGGCGGGATAAGGTCGAGGTCGAGCGAGAAAGAGAGACGGGCAGGACGGGAGAGAGGGCCCCTGGGGAACGGGAACAGAGCAGGGACAGAGAAAGCGTGAGGTGGGCGGGCGAGCGACCTTGTCAGTCAGGCTGCCCACCTGCCCTCTCCCATCGGCAGGGTGGGTCTGATCGCTTTATAAGATACGCTATGTAATAAAAGAAGATACAGAAGCATGGATATGCCGGAATGGGGTGGCAGGAAGCTCCAGGAAAATGCGGGATATGCACATATGGAGAAGAGTTGGAGGACCGCGATCAGCACTTTTATGCAACAAGGCAAGCTTCTTCAGCAATATCCACCCAGGGGTCAAGCAGGTGTAGCAGATTTGCGAGCACAGCAAAAGCCCACCTCTCACCTCACCTCACTGCTCAGCGCATGTCGTAGGTAGGAGGAGGGCCCGGGCCGGATACTTACGATCCTCTCACTCCCGCCCTTTCAACCTACCTCGCTGGACCACACCCCGAATTTCCGCTGCGATGGCCTCCACGGCAGCAACATGACAAATGTGCGAAAATGACAGCGCCGGAATCGCGTATACCTACCCGTCCTCCGCCTGGGTTTTGCCTACGTCAATGGCCACCACGTGTCCCCCGAATCACCCGGTCACTTTTTCTTGCTCGACCCCATACATGCCTCACTGGAGGACAAGAGAGAGGTATTGGGTCGCCTCGCCCACGGCTTCGTCTGGTGACATGAACCTTGAGAAGGGGTCCAATGAGCTCAATCTAAATCCTTCTTTGGCGGGGATCGGCCACTACGGCGAATATCTCCGTGCTTCAAGGTCACGTGGTGCCTTGTGTCTCTAGCTTCCCCCCAATCCCCACCAAGCTTTCTCGGACCCGACCAGAGATCCAAGCTCGAGTCACGTGAGGGACAGGTGGGTCCCTTCGTCCAAAGGGTCGAGTGCCAGGGGAAGGGGAAAAAAAAAATCTCTTGAGGCTGTGTCTCCACTCTTTTCTTCGTGAGCCTCATCTATAAAATCTCTTCTCCTGCACGTCAAACCTCACCTCTCATCATCTCTGTCCAACCAACTTCTCACGCCACCTCGCATCGACCGCCAGGACCGCGACGCTGCCTCGCAACTGCAAGCTTTAATATTAAGCTTTGCGGAAAGTGCTTGCGTTTGCGCGCGCTCCTTGGCTGTCGCTGCGACGCCCGCGTCCAGGTAAGCATCACAATTTTCTTCTCTCACGGCCTCACAAGCCTACAACATTCCCACTCCGAATGATGACATTCAAGAAACATTGTCTTCTTTTCCCAACCGAATCGACCATGAAGAAACCTAGTCTGTTCGGGTTCCCCTCGAAAGGAACCTGTTACTTGCCAGTATATTCTGTCTGACACATCATCTTCACGCTTCATCAGCACTGGCATCTCTTGCCTCGATGAGCAAACATCGCTGACAACTGTGAATTCAGATCCAACTGCTGTTACCTTTTCGACCTCGTCCCACTAACCACACAGCAACACTTCTTTCATCAACCCCACGTCACAAGGTTAGTACTTCACCTATCCCCTCACACACCAACACACCCATACCACATCATGATGAATCTTCCACACCGAATTTGCAGTTTCCTCTTGAGTCGTTAGCCTGAGCCTATAGGCGGGCACGCTGAAAAGCGTGTCTCAACGCGACAGATGAGGGATAATTCTTCCTTGGATGTCTGACCTTTTCCCCGCAAGCCGCATTTTTCACCAGAAATCTACTTTTGCTTGAACGCAAGCTAACAGGATTTCCAGAATAGGGCGCTTCTGGCGAGCTTTTCGAGTACAGGGGGACTTGAGTAGTCTGTGAAATCGGGCGTCCTTTTGCACGCAACGAGACGCAGAAATCCAAATAAAATGACAAACTTTTCTCCGCAAACCACGCTATCACTTTTTTCCTTCCTGTGACTCGTGAACATGACATGCCGGTAATTTGAAGATGGTGACATGCGGGGGTGTCTTGATCCGGCTGGACAGGCGCAAAATATTGAATATGACGTCCAACGTAAACCATACGGTGGAGGTTTACGGCTTTTGCAAGCGCGAAACACCGACTTTGCCGGGATTATGGCTTCCATGGGCAATAACACGGTACAAAATACACGATCTAACTAAACGGAACTCACACGATGCTCCTAACTCGCGGTCAACGCCATCAAGTGATGTCAATCCAAAGAAAAGAACTTCAGAACTGGTTCAACAGAAGATCGTGGACAAATTCCAGGCCCGGCGACGTATGATTCAACACCTACTTACCGGTATTGCCTGGAAACCTCCGAGTCTGACGCACATGCTATCACCAAAAAAGTAAAAGAAATCATGGGATTCAGACCATCTGAAGCGCCCAGCGTAATGCAGGTACACAAGATACCTAGGCTCCGACGAAGGGATTCACCGAAACGCCATAGTCAAGCACCACGGCATAAGTTACATGGGCTGATCATCCATATAAATACACATCTAGCAATGTCATATTCAACCTAACCTTCATCACGAACCACAAACACCATAATCAACATCATCATCTCTCTTTCATTGGTAACTTTTTTGCTTCTTTCTCATGTAACAACAAGAAGAGCCATCCAGCTGCCGCCCGTTCCGTACGAGTAACAAGGAACCCCCCAAAACAGCCCAATCCCAGAGAAACAAACGCCATCACGGAAGCCGTAGCCATTTCACCGCGTTATTCACCTCGTCAAAAGAAAAAAAAAAAGAACGTCCAAAATCCCACCCACATCCACCCCGAAACTTGGTCCCAAAATAAACGCCTTCCCTTCGGCCCTTCGGGACGGAAAAAGCACCAAAGCCAGACCATCACGGCCGCCCCCTTAGACGACACGCAACCCTTCCCTGATAGACTCAGGTATCTCCCTCCTCCTCCCACCCACAATACCCCTCCTATTCCTGCCCGTCCGACCCCTACCAAGCCAATTCAGCTTGAGCAGTCGACACAGCTCCTCCATCCTTCTGTTCCCCTCGTCGCCGCCGTCGCCCGTCACGCCCCCGATGCTGGCGAGTATGCTCATGCACTGCAACATACGTCCCACCATCTCGGTGACCTGCTTCGAGTCCTCGACGTTCTGCTCGCGCGTAAACGGGCGCATCTGGCCGTCGCTCCCGCCGCTGGCATAGCTGACGTTGCTGATGGCACGGCTGCGTCCGCCCCCTCCCGCGCTTCCGTCGCCCAGCAGCGTCGTCGCGTTGGAGTTGTAGCTCGCCACGGACGGATCGAGGCTCATGGCTGTGCCGGGTCGCATCATACTGATTGCATCCGCGGGGCTCGATGAGAGCGCCGGATCCGGTAGCGGAGATGCGAGGGCTAGGGAGGCGAAGGAAGACGGAAGAAATTCGAGAGACAGTCGAGAGAAGATGGCTTTAAGGGAGTCGTAGCGGGGGAGTATGACAATGTCACGGAAGGCCGTAAGTACGATGCGTCGCACATCTAGCACTGCGGATGCGGGACTGACGTACGGACCGCTGTCGGAGGACTGTGATTTGACGCCGCCCCAGAACTGACGGGCTTGGTCCGGGTTCATGAGAACGCCGCAGCCAGAGAACTCCAGGTCCAAGGGGAGGAATACAGCCTGCATGTAGGGCAGAATCGAAGTATAGGTGATGAGCCACATCTCAACGAGAGCCGGAATGACTTTATCCTCCTGCGTGCGCCGGAGAGTGTGGTCCAGGGAGGCAAAGCCGGTCGACAAGAGCTCGCGCAAATCCTCAAGAATAATATTGGGTGACATGCGCTGGATGCAGTACTGAATGTGCAATGTCACCAGCCTATTGAAATCCTCCACGGGCTGTCGCAAATCTTCGCCTTCAAAAATAACGAGCATCTTGGCTTTCAGATAAGGCCATGCATCGTCGAGCGCCATGCTGTTAAGGCCGTATTTACCTGCGTCGATGGGTTCGGAGAGATACGACGACTGGTGCGTCAAAGTCGGCAGGCTGCTTGGACCTGGCCATTCCGACGGGAGAGAGCTCGACTCGACGCCGAGGTTGCTGCTCTCTTTTTCAGTCTTTTTGTCCCTTCGTCCCTTGCCAAACGACGTTGCAGTCGGGGCCGGACTAGGGGGTAAGTTGAAACTGTACAAACTCGAGGGGGCGCTGGGGTCTGTCGGTTTCGAATTGCTCGATGCGGAAGACAGTGGTAGATGGTAGTCATCCTTGAGCTTGTGCTTCTGGCGCGACAAAAAATGATGCTTCTTTTCCTTTTCCTTGCCCTCCTTCTCCATGGTGGGCGTCTCAGGCACTGCTCTGATGGTTGCGGAGGATGCGTTGGTAAGATTGTATATAGATTGACCGCTGGTATCGATGAGACTACTCGTGCTGAAATTCCCGCGCTGTAATGATGCGAGCGCGCTGCCGATCTTGCTCGGGCTAGGGAGGGGTTTGTCTTTAGGGTCGCCCTTGGTGCCGATCTTGACCGGACGGGAGAAGAGTTTGACCTTTGACTTTTCTGGCTTCACCGGCTTCGGGTCTGGAATGAGCTGCGGCGTAGGGTTGATAGGACTGTGCTGTTGCTTTTGCTGCGGATGCTGCGACTGGGGCAAGCCAGGCGATGTCTGCCCTGATCGCGGGAACGCTGCGTTGGCTGCTGCGTTGGCTGCGTTGGCTGCCGTGGTCGCGGCGGCGGAATGGCTTCCAAGTAGGCCGTTGTGGTATCCCTGAGTTCCAAAGCCGCTCTCTCGTGGACCGCTTGCCTCGGTCAGGCTTAGCATAGGCGGGCTGAGTGGGCCCTTTCCGCTGCTCCCCCTCCTTGCGCTCTCAGCGTCTCCGTTGGCCGGGTTCGGGACGGTCTGCGATCGCTGTCGGGCGTGCTGAAGCTGCTGGTGTTGTTGAGTGTTCTGATGTTGGAAGGCTGCCTGCGCCGCGATGTGGCTCGCAGAGAGAGCAGGGCTCGGGTGCTGTTGCTGGTGCTGAAGTGTTGAAGATGAGTTGGCAGATGGGTGTGACATGCCCACCTGAGACAGGTTCGAGAGGCTCGTCGAGGGCAGCGTTGAGTCGAACAGGCCGGGCGTCTGACTGTGCTTCCTCGAGTGTCCCTTGGTCAGAGGGCTCGCGGTGCGGGCAGCAGCGGCAGCGCTCACACTCGCGCTCAGATCGTTTCCTCCTCCTCCTCCTCCTCCTCCTCCCGAGACAGGGCCTACTGGACCTCCGGGCGTAGTTCCCGACCGGTGAGCAGTCGGGCGCGAGAAGTTTTGCAGGCTGGCGGTGCTCGAGTTGGCCTGGGCGGTAAACTGAGCATAGATCGGGGTGCTGGTGGAAGGGGCGGTGGGCGCGCTCGGAGCGTGTGATCGGGGCTTGACGAAGTGAATAGCGAGGTTCTCTTCGCTCGATGACGACTCGGCGCGGGCGGGCGGTCGTGGACGTTGCGGGTGCGGTGCGGTAGAAGCTGTCGAGCCCGGCAGAGGGCTGAAGCTGCCCGGCGCTCGGGGCGGCGGGGGTCGTGCTGGTTGCATTGTCGTGGATGTGTTAGGGTTCTGTTACATCTTGGATTTTTCGGACGATTCGAAGATCGGGTGGAGGATTCTTGAAGGTTTGTTCTGTTTGGATCGGTTTGTCAAAGTGAAATGATTGGCGAGGGCAAGGGCAGTACGAAAAGGTTGTTCGTCCGGTCGGGTAATCAAGAGCACCTCAAAAGGGTGAGGATGGTTGTGGTGGTGGTGGTGGTGGTGGTGGTGATGCTTGAGGATCGAGGAAACCTGGAAAGCTGAAAGAAAAGGGTGGTGATGTAAGAAAGGCCGGGGGAATACGAGGTGAGGGAGGAAATAGGCGTGGTTATGAGAAAGCGCGAGGAGTGGATTGCGCCTCACCCTCACAGAGCCGAAGTGTGAGGTAGACAAGGGACAAAGATCAGCATCAATGCCCTCTGTGCTCCGTATTACGGGCTTGCGATCCAGTAGGCAATCTACCTTGGCAATGTCCCTCAGGTACTCCGTACACGGGAATGGGTCCCATTGCATCTCACGGATACCTTGCGGCTTGCCCTGCACGTAATTATACCTGGCTGTCTATCCGTATCAGTCCATCCATCGCTTGCCATGACCCTGGACCAGGGCAATACCTATTATCGACTCTCGTTGCTGAGGAAGCGGGCAACGGGCGGCCGTCTTCGCTTGCGGTGAGCAAATCCCCCCAACTGCTGTGCATCCAACCAACGAGCCCCGCGGACCAAATCCGGGTCAGCTCCCGTCAGATTTCACCATGTAACAGATGACCATGCTACCTTACCCTGCCCGCCAGAACCAAGGAACGATGCCTACTCTGTAGTAGAACAAGGTATCTTATCCAACACATTGTGCAGCGAGCCAGCGTAATTAATTACTGCCCTGTGCCTGAGTCCTTTTCTTCTGCCCCCACCTAATAGTCCTGCCATGATCCATCCCCCCTGACGCGCCGCGGGTTGCGACCCTGGCACGACCTGGGCGGCGCATCCATGGGCTTGGGGGGGGGGCTGGCTTAGTGTAATCAACCCCGCAGTTGTTCCAGGTTCCATCTTCAGCGGAACATTGGATTTGGGACCAGCTGGAATGGATGGAGGGAGGGAGGGGCAGTTGTGCATTTCCAAGCCAACCCCCAACGAGCCGCACCGCTCAATTTTCGTCATACCTTTTTTTTTCTTTCGGTTCTGCCTCACCTAAATCACATCTAAATCAATACATCGCAACCACTTCCGCTACCTTACACTGAACGCGCCACAAACCCAACCCTTCCCGACCAAAGATCTCTCCCACAAAAGAACCATGACAGACACAAACAGCACCGCCGCCGCTCCTCCGGCCCTCCAATTCTCAGCAACCTACCAATCCCCCGCAAACGAACCCTTCACCTTCTCCGAATCCCTCCCTGCCCCGCCATCCTCCGGCCCCGGCGACAAGTCCGCCTACCTCAACGCCCTGCGCAAGTCCGTCAACGCCGCCCAGGAGCACATCAACAAGGAACTCACCGCCCGCATGGAAGAGGACAAGGCCAAGGAGGCCGCAATCGCCAACAACGGCGCCGCCGCACACAAATCTGCCGTCGACGAGGCACTCGAGGAGGAGAATTACGGCGAGGAGGCAACCCCCTCGGACGACTGAAGCGACATATCAAGGCGGGAGATTAAGAAAAAAAAGTTCTTGTTTCTTTCACGGCGCCAATCGTACATTCTTTGCCACCTATATACGGGGTATTGCTGTATCATGCTGCCGCTCTCAAAAACCCAGGCTATGCGAGTACCAATATGTACCAAGAACAAAAAAAAAACACAAGCAACGACACCAACACGCCCCCAGACTACCGCCTACGCGCACGCCAGTTTCTTAAACCCCCCTCGATCACGAAAACCTTCGAGCCCAGTTTCCTGCCCGAGAGCTTTGCGGTCGCTGCGACGTTGCCTTGTTGAAACAAGCATAATGGACCACATTGTTGTCCGGAAGAACCGACACCACGCTTCGCCCCAACCTCTTGTGGCAAGCGCCACATAACCGCTCTTCAGTGATTGTCACCCTTCTGTTGCGCCCTCCCTGTCCGCCAGGTATGCCGTCGCCAAGGAGCAGGAGCGCTTGCGTCGACACCAGCTCCGTGTCTCTCAGCCGAGCTACGATGCGCGACTCGTTCACGACGCTGTTAGCAGACCGAATTCTGCCTCGGAAGTAGGACTCGAGATCGCGAACAGGAAGGTCGTCGGGAATCAGAGAAAGAGTCGATGCTGCCGGTAGACGCGATCCGTGCCTCGACAGTAGCTCGAGAGCCGGGTCATGTGCTGGTTTATGTGGTGGCGGTGGGGTCAGGTATAGCGAAAGAAGGGTATGGTAGATGGATGGAACCGAGTCCTCGGGATCATCTGCCGATGATGGACGTCGTGACTGGTCTGGAGACGAAGGCCTAGAGTCTCGGGACTTGTGAACGATATTACAATACCTGAAAAATGAAATTAGCTACCATGACGTTCCACTATAGGTTCGAAACTCACTCTTCGGCTTTCGCGTAATTCTTCATCTTGAAGACGTAAATCTCCAGCGCCTGCTTGTGCGAGCCCATGTTGCTCAACACTATGGCTTGAGCTTCGTAGAAAGCAGGATCTTCGCCATGTCAGTTACTGTTGGTATAAGCCATCGAGGGGCATCAACTTACCGTCGCGTGGAATGAGGCTGAACGCCTTGCTAAGACTGTACTGGCTGCTGGTCTTGAGGAATTGCACGAAACGATCCATCTCTGCATCCCATTCATCGCTCCGTTTCTTCTCCTTCAAATGCTTGATGAAGAGCTCGACCAGACGGTTGTGGAAGTCCGGAGTCGACTCGTCAAGCTCGGAGATGATGTGCTCTAGGTACTGCACCTCCAGTCCTGGATCGATTCCACCTAGGAAGCGAGCGATTCGGCCACGAGGTAACGTCTCGGCGTTTTCAGAGTCGGCGATAAACACTTCCATGGCCAGCTTTGGATCCGCTCTCAGGGTCCACTCTGAATATTGCAGGATGAGATCAATCTCAGACGGCGGCAGTGTCTGAAGATAGATGACTGTCCTTTGAGGCCCATGCAGGCCGGGTGCAGCCTCGTCGGGTTTCTCGGCAGTTCCAAAGCGCTTGAGAAGCTCAAGCGCTTGTGAGTGAAGCTTCTTTCCGCTGAAGAAGTCCACCAACTCGTTATATCGGCTGTGTGAAAGCAGTGCTTCGTTGACGACGTCTGGATCGCAAAAGTTCGGGAGGCGGAAGAGGGGCCCAGCTAGAGCAGGCCTCGTCATCATGTAAGTCCGGAATAAAGCGGTATCGACAATTCGCGACGTCCTTCGGATCTCTCCCTCGAGTTGACTCCCCGACTCATCGTCGTGCGAGCCTGACATAAAGCTCTTCATCGTCTCTTCGTTGGAGCCATTCGTATCTGTCCGCTTCAGCTTGCCAGTACTCGGGTCGATGACCCTTTGCAAACGCGTCCTTGTCCCGACAAGATAACCAGCAAGTGATGTGACAGCAGCCAAGAGCTCCTCGCCATCAAGCGGCTGGTTTTCGGCAGGCTTGCTTTTGATGCTTCCAGTCTCTTCGACATCTATCGTGTCTTTCTTGGATATGATCGAGGCGGCATCTGGTTGCACCGGTTTTCGAGAGCCCATAAATAACTTGGCAAAGCCTACGCCTCCTTTCGCAGGGGACGCGGGGGTTCCCGCTGCATCTTCCTTGGGCTTATCCCCATTTGTTTTCTTCTGAGGTTCCTCCTCACCCTCCTTCTCATCGCTACCAGATTCGTCCGGTTGCACTCCATGCGCCCAACCGGACATTTCCCCGGCGATAGAAGGCGGGAAAAGCTTCAGAACTCGCTCTGGCGGTGCATGAACATCGTCCTCGTTGAAGAGGTCCATGGAGTCGTAAAACTTCTTTTGCTTGAACAGCGTTTCAGCCTTGAGCATTTTGACCTCTCGGAGAGTCTCTTTCTTATTCCGGAGGAGAGCGTCCTCTAGCATATCAAGGATGCTGACAGCCTCGTCGTATTTGCCCTTTTCCACCAGCTCGTCGATTTGCGAATCGTAGTCGGTAGCCCCCATTTTCCAAACACATCGGTCGCTGGAAATGTGGAATCCCTTACCCGCGTGTGCAAGACTAACATTAGGTGGCGGGAAGTGAAGTTGCGCTGCGCCTGGAAGGGGCATGGTTTGCAACAAGTGCAACGTCTCTGGGTTTCTGACTTCAAGCGAGCCTTTTGACGGAGCTTGCAATGCCAGGATGTATGGGTACGAGTAGCCAATCTGCTCAGGAGCCGCTTGCCACGGAATTTGTCGTTTTTCGACCGGCTTTCCTTCGTCCGTAATGAACATGGAGTTGATGTCTTTGGCCAACAGAAGCTCGCCCTCAGCCAGCTTCGCAGCGAGCGGCTTAGGCATGTATCCTCCGAGGCCCATATAGCCCATTCCAGCGCTGCTCACCGCTCCGAAACGACTAGCCTGCCCGCCTGATGCCGCGGAGCCTGGACTGTTGATATCCTCGACCTCGTGGGTAACTACGTCAACCAAAACGTATCCCGCGTTCATTCCGCATACAATCTTTGTCGCACTGGCCCATGTGACGGTTCGTATGGATTCCGGTAGTGTGACTTCCCCAACATCGGCGCTCAACTCGCTTTCGTGCCAGCTCCATAGCAATAATCGACGGCGGACAGCCACCGCCAAGCGGCTTATAATCTCTGGTATTCCGGTCGCTGCATCTTTCACGATGTTGGATGTGACAGCAAAGCAGGTGGCGTTCTTCGTCCGCGATAGAGTCTCCAGGGGTTCATAGGTTCCGAGGTCGTGGAGGGATACGTAGTAGTTTGACAACGACACGAGAGTGTTGGCTTCTTTAATGACAGCGAGCTGCTCAATCGCCCTGTTGGAGAACTTTTCTACCTCGCGCAGCAGGTCCGTAGGTTTCTTCAGCTGTTCAGTCGTCGGGGTGGTTTCGGTTGCGTCTTGTGGACTCGCCGTAACGGGTTGAGAGGAGCCATTGGCCTGGGTCGGCGACGGAGGCGGCAGCTCGTTGAGGCGGTAGATGCGAAGAGCTCCGCTGTTGAGGCCTACGAAAACACGATCGCCTACGTCAATTCATTAGATGAGGCTGCCTCATTGAGAGTATGCGACTTGGGAGGAGCGCACCATGCGCGAGGATTGTCTCAATCTTAGACTTATCCCGTTGCTTTAGCTCTATGATCGGCCGAGCTGTGAATGCCGAAAGCATGGCGACTGCCAGCTCACCGAGCGGATATGTTGTGTGTTTGCTATACCCTCATCAGAAGGGTGTTTCGTATAGTGGAGCGTCGAGTTTGTCACAGTAGAGCGTCAAGATGCGATCATGACGGCGCGCGCGTGTGTGAGCGAGATATTGTTGAGCTCCAGGTATCGGTTCGGGTATGGCTGGGCGAAAGTGCGCCGTCTGGCGGTACGTCAGGGCGAAGTCTCCACAAGGGAGCCGATGACCTCTTTCTCTGCCCAATCCGGACTAGCGCTGCTACCACCCTTCCACTTGGAGCAACCCGACTCCACCTCCTTCAACCTGTGCTGTTTACGGAGTGTGATTGGCTGGAGGGCTTGCCGGGGTTCACAGAGCATATTGGCGTCACATGCATAGAAGCTTACTTTCAACATCATTTCATCTTGTCTACTACGTCAGAACGTCACACCTTTCCACTGAGATGTCAATTTCAGTTGAAGTTGAGATATTCAACCGAGACCTGCAACGTTATCTGGACCCTTGCCTGTAGTAAACGCGTCGCAGTACCATTCTATCGCTTACTCCAGTCTACATACGATAAGAAAACAATAAAACTATCAACCAAAAACCCAGGGAAAAGCCAAGTGTAATATGTGAACCGGTGTCTATGTTCCTACCGAAGGCTTCCCTTTGGAGATCCTTTGGGTTTACGCCCTTTTTCAAACAAATCGAAGGAAACGCAGTCCAGCATTTTTGTCTTTTCTTTCAAGCATACGAAAGAAGTACCAATGACCAAATGCATGTACGTAGCGGCCACGTATAGACCTTAGTCTAGCCCAGCGACCCTCATCAGGCCATATCCCAATGACACGACGACAACCAGTGTGAGAATACTGCTGGGCACACCTCGGCTGATGAAATGTTTCACTTGGAGGTATCTCTGGCCCGTCGGGTCTTCCTTCATAATGGCAGCTGGATCGTTGGTCAGTAGTCTGCCGATACTGGGAATTCTGAAGAAACTTACTCATGTTGGGGAAACCACTCGTTGGCAAACCCATAGCGGCACTGCACATCAAAACACCACCCATGACCAACAGGTTCGGGTGGGGTTCGTCCATGTTGGAGCCAACATCAAACACCAACGGCAGGATAATCAAAGCTGCGACTGTGTGGCTGATGAAAGTGGCGATGACGAGGATAAGAGCTGAGAAGACAACAAGGACGACGTAGAGACTCATACCCTCGACCTCCTTGGTAACGACGCCAGCAACTGTGTGCAAAAGACCAGATGATTTGACAGCCTTGCCCAGGGACAAACCTCCGGCAGCCAGAATGATGATGGTCCACGGGAAGTTGTTGAAGTCTTCCTTGGTCAAGATACCAATGCCAAAGAAGAGGACAATGGGGATAATGGCAATGACACCCATGTCACCAAAGATGGACTCCATTTGGTGGCTACCGCACCACAAACCGATGGTGATGAGCGTGACGATGGATACAAACCATTGGATGCCTGTGAACTTCTCCTTTACAGGGCGGATCGGAGCAATTGTGGTTCCCTTGCTCGGTTGAAACGTGATCAACAGCAAGATCCAGATGAGAAGCAGCGAGACGATACCGACAGGGATGACAATGAAGAACCACTGGATCCAGGTAGGCGCAGGCTTCATGATACCAATGGCGACAACATTCTGAGGCGAAGCAATGGGAGAAAGCATGCCGCCGATGTTGGAGGCGAGCGCGATTCCCATGATGACAGCCTTGGACATGTTTGACTCTGAGGGCAGGGTTCGCAACATGGGCTGCAGCACAAGTCAGTGGTGATTCCCAACAGGAAGGAGGTAGGGGGTGGGAGACAACTGACCTCGATGATAGAAAAGCAAAGAACCGGCGCAGCGACGTTGCTGATCAACATGCTAGCAAATGCTGCAACGAGCATGTTGGCAATGAGTACGGTGCGCGGAGTGGTTCCAGCCTTGCTAAGGACAAACGTCGCGAGCCGCTTGTCAATCTTGCACTTGGACAGAGCCGCAGCCAGGGTGAAGCCACCAAGAAGAAGCATGATGACGGGTGTCCACATGGCCGAGAAGATGTAGGCTGTGGTGGCCTTGGCATCAAGCCTCCTGTAGGGCTTGTCTTCAGAGCGAACGACAGTCAAAACGACGCAGAGGAAGGGTATCATTAGCGACGTAACGAACAACGGAATGGCCTGCCTTAAGGTTAGCATCGATCACTTGCATTTAATCCAGAGAAAACTCACCTCTGTAGCCCAAAGGATGCTGACAAACACGAGCAACGCCAAGCAGTTCTGTTGCTCGGGCTTCTCCATGATGGGGAGGAAAAGAAGAAGGAGGAAAACGCCGACAGCGATCAGGAGGGTGAGCAGAGGCGTGTTGGCAACCCACGTCGGCACAACAAAACGGCCCACGGGAGTAACCACCTCCTTGGTGACTGGGGCAAGCTCATCATCACCCTGGAGTCGCCTGGATCCCGTCGCCCCATCCCTTCCCAGAAGCCCTCTGCCCAAGCTCGCAGCCTCAGCGCGACGCTCCATGCCAATCATGTCTCGCCAGACAGTGTTGCGCTCCCACACGACGTGTTCGCGGAGGTGAGATCTCAGGTCGCGCTTGGCAAGTCCCTCGTCGCCCTGAGTCACAATCTCTGCGTACGCCTTCTCCATCTTGGAGATATTCTCCTCGATACTCTTGATATTCTCCGGCTTGAAAGGGTATGCGGAATCGATGTTGGCGGTCATGTACTTGACCCGCAGCTCCTTGTCAAGAATCTTGTCGAATTTCTTCAAGACCTTTCTGAAACCCGTCCGGTTGAGTTGAACGTACGACTTGAGCTCGCAGAGCGAGACGTAGAGGCTAATTATGCGCTTCTTGAGCATGATGCCTGAGGAGTAAAGGAAGGTCTGATCCGGCATCTCGTCGTTCGCCGTGCTGTACCGCCGCAGTGATCTTCCCAGCGTCAACTCGGTTGAGGCGGTCATATCAGTAACCGAATGCCCAAGATTCGGGGCGGTCTTGCGTCTGCCACCCCCAAGACTAGAGCGACTCTTGGTCAAGCCGGTGGTCTCATCATCATCCTCGTCGTCGTCACTGTCCTCCATGTTGCCATCGATCGAAACGGAAGTTCTCCTGCCGTTGACGGATAGTCCCGGCCGGGAGGCGCTGCCGAATGATCGTCTGGGTTCGCCATCGTTTTCATCGTCCTCTGAAGAATGGTTGCCAACGTCTCCCAACAATTGGTTCACCTCGTCGAGAAGCTCGCCCTCTTTGGATACGTAGAAGGAGCAAATCTTCTCCAATTCTACGCCAAGCGCACGGCTAAAGACATCTTCGGGTTCTTCGTTGCGGATAAGAGGTCTTGATTCGGCGTCACCTGCAGAGGTTTGGTGGACTGTCTTCTCGAGTTGGTAGATCCTACAATGCAAGATTAGTTAGTGGCCTAGATCCTGACGACATGGCACGGCCAGAGGAGGCATTGGGCACTCACAGCTTCTTCAGGTTGCTGTAGGCAATGTAATGACTGCTCCAGTCCGGAACAGCATTGAACTGAATGCTGTGTGAGAACTTCATATCGTCCTGCTCGTCGAGCCACCTTCTCTTCCAAAGTTTCTTCTCTTCTCGTCGGGCTTCGAGGTCCTTTGCGGTCTTCTGCGCGGTGATGTTTTTGTAGTCGGTAAGCTCGTAGCTCTCGGCCTGAGCAACGGTGGAGTTGCTGCTGTTGGTGGAGCTCCCTCCCCGTTCCCGAAGGCCTGTAGAAGGTTTATCGAGGTCAATTAGGACTTGTGGGCTTGCAGTGCCTGCTTGGTGGGTAGAGGAGGGATTGCGGAGATCTGCTGGGGGCGGTATGGTGGCAGAGGGTCGCGTGCGACTTTCTTATCGGGCAAAGTGTATCGGTATCGCGAAGCTGTTTCAAAGGGTCGAAATGGTGTTTAAGCTACTTGGATAGCATCCCGCGATTTCCTGGTGGCTGCAACACGTGGGGAAAGCGTTGGTCGACCTATTTCCCAGCTTGATGTGCGAGCCGCGTGACGATATAATTGGTTTCATTTGGGATTAGCGTAATCCAGTTCCACGGTCTGCCATCTCCTAAACGAATAGTGTCGATGCCATTGGTTCCTCGCCGCTCGGATGGAGCAGACAGATGGCTCCAGGTTTGCGCCATGGCTTATGTAAGGCAGTGACGTGACTCGCATATGCTTCTATGCATATGATGGAGATAGGGCCATAACCGTGCTCCTATCCAACCTTCACCAAGTAACCTTCCAACTACCTGACCTGACTCTCAACATCCCTTCATCGTTGATCTTTGGTCCGTGAAAGTGGAATGCGATTTGTTCATTTCTGCGCATTTGCTTTCTTATCTACCTTCCTGTATTTCCAACATCCATAAAGTATGTTTCGAATCTCAAAGTCTAACCAAGTCTAAATGCACGTCTATCTTTTACAAGAATCTTCTATCAAACAAAACATCTGTCTATCCAGACTTCTAAACACGAAAAACTTGGGCAAGGGTATCATTTGTCAAATGGTACAGACTCAACAAGTATCAGTGATACACCGCTTCTCACAACGAATCCCGGAGTCTCGCACGGAAGCGCTCGCAGTTGTACTGGAGCCAAACCACAAGTGGGATGGTAGAGATAGATGCCGCCGTGATGAGCCACTTGGCGCTACTGTTGCTGGTGAGAGATTCAAAAGCATGCTCTAAAAGGGGAAACAACGCTCCAGAGGGGTATCGTAAAAGTGCAAGCGACGCGCTCGACGCAACAGCGTGCTGCGGTGACAGGTCGATGATGTACACAGCCGAAGTCATCTACAACGAGTCTCAAGTCAGTCGTCGTTTGGGTCTCCTCGCATGTGGCCTCGGTTTCCGTGCCCCCGATGCTCGGTCTCCGGTCCAATATCTGACTCTCTACGGAGAGTACTGGGAGTAAGATATGGGAACTCACAGTGATGGCAAACAATCCACTGCCAATAAGGTAGTTTCCAAGCAGGGGCACCAGGTAGGATACCCCGGGCCTCGCAGCCAAGTTGTAGATGATCAGACCGACCACAACAAGGATGGCTGCTAGGTTGAGAAGTGGGAGCCGGTGCTCGGGCAGCCTTTCTCCGTTATGCGCCAGCCTCTTCACGACGACGTCGGTGAGGAACCCAAAGATGAGAAGGCCGGTGAACATGCCAACGCCCATGCCCGCGAATGCTAGGCCTGCTTCTGCGGTGTTGAAGTAGTACACTGCCTTGTATGTCATCGGAACGTCGATGTACAGCCACACTTGGAGACCGTAGAAGAACGATGTTACCAAGATGGCCGGCAGGATGCTCGGCTGGAAGATGAGAGAGAATGGGCGGATCGCAGCCTTGCTGAGCAGCTTTCTGAGAGATTGTTTTGGAGCCACGGCTTTCTCATCGCTCAGTTCCATCTCGAGGTCATCAATACCAACCAACACAGCGTGCTTTCGCCGAAGTACCGGGAGATATGTCTCGCACATGAACTGATAGGTCAGAAGAGTGCTGATCAAGCCCTGTCTCACTTGTCAGCATGCCACTCGGGAGTCAAACAGGTCGTCGTGGTTGGAAACCCCAACCCTCAGTTCTTGTCAAGGTCTCTTCAGGCCATCATCTTGCTTCATGAAATGATGATCACAAAGACTGCAGAAGCAAAGAAGGAAGATAGCTTACCATCACAGCAAGGAAGCCAAAGCACCCTCTCCATCCCCAAGCCTGGGCAATCGCGCCCCCGAGGGCTGACCCAACCGCAGGACTACAAACACTCCCAAACGCCATAACCGACATGGCGCGCGCACGCTTCTCCTTGGTCATGACATCCGTCGCCGTCCCGGTACCCTGCGTAATCGGGCTCGCGCCGGCGCACCCAGCCAAAAAACGAAAGACAATGAGCCACTCGGCCGACGGCGCAGCCATGCAAGCCAAATTACACACGAGCAGGACCACATTGCAGACCTGATATACGGGCTTCTTGCCAAACGTCTCGCTCAGCGGCGCGAGGAGCAGCGGTCCGGCGGAGAAGCCGAGGACGTAGGCCGAGACTGTCAGGTCCGCTAGCGTGGGGTTGTCTTCAATCTTGAAGTCGCCAATCACCTGGTCCAACGCGGGGGTATAGACTGCAGAAGCTAGGGGTCTGTTGGTAGGTAAAAAAACGCGCGGTTGTCGTTAGCGTTGAAGTCTTTAGTTTTTTATCGCGGTAGCGGCGCAGAAGCTTTCTTCCCAGAGTTGCGCCGCTGCATGTTAACCATGTGGGAGGTAGGTTAGCCACTTACGTGACGCAGGTGATGAACGCTACCACCAAGACATGCGTCCACTTCTTCCTAGACGACCACAAGACCGGGTCGAAGGGTTCACGTTTCTCCAGTTGGGATGTTTCTGGCGCGAGGCGTCGATCGGCAGTTGCTTCCGCATCCGCATCCCCGTCCTCATCCTCGTCGCCTTCTCCTCCCGTTAAGAAGCAGGTAACTTCCTGTGGGGTTTTGTCGTCCGAAGACCGCCATTCTGAACTCTCGACGGGTTGTTTTTCGGCAGGTTGCGGGCCTTGTCCGGCGCCGAGCTGGTTTGACGGCATTTCTTTTTGGGGGTAGGAGGGCGTTCGGACGTGACGTAGAGCCGTACCGTCAGTGTCGCTAGAGCTTGCTAATCTTTCCTTTTTGACAATCGGCGATGGTTTGGTCTGGAAAGTATGCAAACTGGGTTCGGCCAAATCTTGTATGCGGCAGAACTCAGCGGTAACGACGTATCGTGTTTCTCTTCCTTTGTCTCCTCTATGCCGTATGTCAGAACATCGGAAAGGAGGATGGTAAGTAGGGAAAATCCCATCTCGCTGAGAGTCTGAAAGAAGTCCGGACTGCTCGGCTTCATGGAGGACCCTGGCCATCAGAAGCGTATCAGATTGGCCCCGTCAGTGTTGCGTACGAACTTTAAATACTAGCTTGTAAGGTGATCTCATTCTAGCAGTGTGACATTGCATAAGCCAGCCAACAGTTGCGTTTTGCACTTCACATGTCGGATAGTAATACAAACCTGGAGACCATGTCCTGGACATCGTGTAACCGCAGAATTAAGCGATGTTCCGCTGCCTCGACTGTAAAGGTTGTATAGCGCGCATTCATACTTTGGCTGACTACGCCGTACATACTTTCACTAGACTTGGATCTCTCACTCATGGACGGAACGTCAGACTGAACCCCTCAGAAACGGCGGGTTTCTTTCAGACGATGAGAGCAACCCTGATGCGGGGGATAGGAAAGGTGCAGCGGCAGTTGTACTTGAGATTCACAGAATGAGACAATAAAGATGGCACGATCCTCCGTCACAAGGAGAAACAGAATGGCTTGTGCGTACTCAACACCTAAACAGCTCGACACTCTCTTAGAACGACGTTGCGACAACCTCAGAATAGTTTCCGGGTGGATCTCGGCCTTCTTCCTAAAGCGGAAATCAAGTGATCCACTTCAGTTATAGTGCTGGCCCGGGCTCTCCCCTCGGACTCTTGCCAAAGATGGACGGCCTAGAGAAGGTGTCAGACTCGGCTGAGCCGCCTGTTGGGGATGTGGACGTGGAAAAGAATTGTGAAAAGAGCAACGAGGGACACAACGTCACGAGTACGCCACAGTTGGACGAGATGCGGCCTAGATTCTTTGACGGGACAGCAACTCTCACCGTAGGAGGCCAAGTGGTTCTCATTCCCACGCCGAGCGCGGACCCCAGAGGTATGGCGATGATCTGCTTCCTATCTTGCTTCATTACCAGTAGACTCACACAAAAATGTAGATCCTCTAAACCTACCAAAATGGCACAAACAACTCATCGTAGGCATCATTGTCCTGTGTAAGTCATCATGAATTTCAACCGGGAATCGTTAATGTGAGCGAAATCACTTGGCTTACACGAGAAACCCGCAGACGCAATATCCGGTCTATGCCTCATCACCGCATTATCTGCTCTCATCGTGTTCATCATGCCCGACTACCAACGTGATGGAATCACGCCGGATCAGATCTCAAATCTTTTCACGTTTCCGAACCTCTTCCTTGGTCTCGGAAACCTCGTGTCGATGCCAATCGCCGTAGCCGTTGGCCGTCGCCCCGTCATCTTGGCATCCAACGTGCTGCTCTTCCTCGCCGCTGTCCTCTGCGCAACGAACCGCAATTACTACTGGCATCTAGGTGGGCGCATGGTCGCAGCGTTTGCTGCAGCTCAGTGTCAAGCTTTGGCTCTGCTTATTATGCAGGTACGAGCTCCTTCTACGTTCAGTCCCTTGTGATACTTTCTGACTCCGGATCGCTTCAGGATATCTACTTCCTTCATCAGCGGGCACGCGTCTTCCAGATATACGCCTCTGCCGAGGTCCTTCTCAACTCCAGTCTGGTAATCGCATCCTCCTACATGGCCGATGCCCTAGGCTGGAGATCGTGGTACTGGCTCTTCGCAGGCCTCTCGGGCCTATCCATGATTCTCACCTTCTTCTTCGTCCCCGAGACCGCCTACGACCGTCCCATCGAGGCTTTCATGGGAAGCCACCCTACCGACAGGAGCAACCTCTTACCAGCAGTACAGACCACCGGCCCCAAAACCATCACCAGAAGCCGTTCTCCCGGACCAAAATACGCAACAGTAGACGAGAGGCCCGCCGCCGACTTGGAACACTACAAGGAACGGACTTTCACCTCGAACTTGCGCATCTTTGTGTACAAACCCACCTGGTCCCGCTGCTGGCTCTGCCTAAAGCAAATCGGCCAAGTCTTTCTCTTCCCACACGTCCTCTGGGTCGCCATCAACAACGGCCTCTTCCAAGGCATTGACGTCTCGATCCAAATGACGTACGCAGAAGTCCTCGTCAAACCCCCCTACAACTGGGCCAACACGTCGGTGTCCCTCATCCAGTTGGGCCAAGTCTTCATCGCGCTGCTCTGCGTGCCGCTCATTGGGTGGCTGAGCGACTACGTCATCCGCTCCTCCGCGCGTCGCAACCACGGCGTTCACGAGCCGGAGAAGAGACTCATCGCGTGGATCCTCCCCATGGTGACGGCTCTGGTCCTGACGGTCCTGTACGGGTACGTGCTGAAGAACCCGGAGCAGTATCACTGGATGGCCATCGTCTCCGTCGTCGACGGATACCTCATTGTGTTGATGGGCGTCAGCACGGTCGGGACGGCGTATCTTATCGACAGCCACCCGAGCTTCGCGGGCGCCATTCTCGTTGCGCTGCCGGTGACGCGTGGGCTAGTTGGCTTTGGGCTGAGCAAGCACACGACGACGTATATTGCCAACATTGGGCCTGTCAAAACGTTTGGTATATATGCGGCTGTGAGTGCGGCGTTCTGCTTGCTAGGAGTTATACTGTTCTTCAAAGGGAAGAAAGTGAGAAGACTGTGTGCTCAGATGACGCAGTGAACACACGTCCTCGATATGACTAGGCAGAGGAGGGTTGCAAAACACCGGCTTCTCTGGCATAGATACTTGATAGTTCGTGTACATATTTGGAGCGTGCTTCAGTGATCTGCATTTAGCAGTAGTGCTTCAAATTCTTGCTTGAAGCTTCGAGTAGTACCTGCTCAGGGGCACTGTAAATATGATATCTCTAGGTAGAATGGGAATCCTGATAGTAGAGCAACCCCCTTACTACTACTGCATTGACCAGCGACGATGAGAGTCACAGAATGAATATTGCACAAGTAGAATAACCGCGAAGAAACAAACAAGACTACTATGATTGGCGTCATGTTCCCCTGGGTTCGGCAATCGTATACATGTGGAAGACAAAATGCGTGTAAATTTTCCAATCCAATGCGCCGCCGTCTGGACCTCGCAAAGCCCGCTCCCAAGCCGAACTCTTGGCGAGATACAATACGCCATGGAAAAGAAACCACCCCTAACCCCCCTTTCCCCTGAAAACCTTGAAAGACCCTATATACGAAACGAATCGTCGGAAGCGAATGAGAAGATGATCCTGTGAATAAGGAGCAGTCCCTCATCCTCTCGTAAACATACAACAAGGCCGCAGACATGATCATAGTTGCCAAAAAAAGCGTGAAAACCTCCCCGCTCACTCCTTCAAATTATAGGTTTCCCTAAGCTTAGGAAACGTCTGGTTAAAAGCCTGCCCGAGCGTCCAATTCTCCAGCCTCCGCAGATGCCGCTCAAAGACGGGGTTAATCAGCACCTCATCCGAATCCGGCACCTGCAACAGCGTATCCGTCTCCTCATACGGCCAATTCAGACTCAACGTCGTCGTAAACGGCACAAAGAAATTATCAAAGAGGTACTCGCGCGGGTTATAGTCGCGACACAGCTTATCGCGCATGGCAGGGAAGGGCACGTGGTCGATCCACGCCGGATGCTCCGTAAACAGCTGCGAGGGCCGCGGGCGCGCCCAGTCCGGCAGGCGGTCGTAGTTCTCCTGGGTGGGGGAGATTTGCCAGCGCATGATGAGGAACATGATGTAGAGGACGGCGACGCGCTGCGGGAGAGCCGAGAGGTCGGGGAAGGTGGCGAGGATGTCGGTGAAGACTTTGGAGAGCGGGTGGGAGTATTTGCTGTTGGCGGGGTTGAGGAGGGAGAGGACGGAGGGGTAGCGCGGGCCGATGATTTCGTGGGTTGAGAGGCCGTCGGCGGCGCGTTGGCGGCGCTCGTGGAGGAAGTCGAGGAGGAGGCTGTCGAGGGGGCAGGTTGGGCCGCAGTTTTTCACTTCAGCTGCGTGGTGGCCTAGGGCTCGTGCTTCCGGGGGAGCGGATGATTGCTGCTGCTGTTGATGTTGTTGTTGTTGTTGCTGCCCTTGCTGCTGTTGAGGGTAGTCTACTTGTGACCGCGGGGTGTGGACGGTCGGTCCGCTGAGCGAGGGGCTCCGGCTGTGGGTGACGGGACCGACGCCGGTCCAATCGTGCTTCATGGGGACGTGATTGTAGTGCGGCGTGTCCTGGGCGCCGTTGACGCCGCTCTGGATCTTGCCGACGCGGGCGTTCTGGTCGAGGAGGAAGTCCAGGCCCAGCCTCTCCGGGCCGAGATCGAGGCCGTGACGGAGTCCTTGACGCTGCTGGTCGAGCATCTTGCTCGCGGCGTACATGTGGTTCGGGGGAGACAGGTCCGAGACGTCACCTCCACCACCGCCGTTCGGTGTCGTCTGCCAGCCGGCGGTCGGATCAATGGAGGCTGGGGATGCCGCGCTGTTGGGCGTCGAGGCATTGTGCGCGGAGATGGGTCCGTTGTGCTGGTGAACGTGAGAGTAGCTGCCGCTGGGGGATGGGAAGACGGCAGGGTGCGGGTCTGCCGGCGGCCGCGGTGCTGTTTTGGTGTTAGTCAAGATACGTCCCCGGGCCTGATGGATTCACTAGATGTGAACGCGAGGAGGACTTACGCTGGCTCGGTGCAGAAGCAGAGATGAGAGGCTGGATGGAGGCGATGAACGCGGCTAGGCGGCGCTTCAGGTCCGCGTTCTCAGCCTCGACAGCTTCTTTGGCCCTCTGGACGGCCTGCAGCTCCTGGTAGGGCTGCTGGGAGGTCAGCTCCTGGATACGGCGCTCCAGGGTCTCGATCTGATTCTTTGTGCGCTCGCGGATGGCTCGCTGCGCTTCCCTGTCTGATCGGGGGCGATGGGAGCTTCGGTTGGCGGGCGTGTCGTCATCGAGGGGGAGCCAGTCAATGTTGTGGAGAAAGATGGATGTGTACGAGGATGGTACTCCGTATGCAGTGAGTGAACAGGGGTGGGCAAGGGCAGCGAGTTCTTGATTTGAAAGGATGCTCAAATGGGATGTAAAGTGGAAAACGGAGTAAGGAAGTCATGGTGCAGTGAGGCATAATGAGGTGAGTGAGCAAGGGCAGTTATGCTCACCGTTGGCGCGCTTCTTGGCCAGCTGCTCCGGCGTCAGGTTGGCGACGCCCCTAGAGCCAGGACCGACGCGGCGTTTCTTGTTGGAATCACCGGGTGGTTGAGAAGCGGGCGACGTGCCGGCGCCGGCCGGAGTAAGAGCTTCGGCATTCCCGGGGCCAGCCGGACTTGGGTGGTCCGGAGCACTACGCTTATTACTGTTGTAATTCAGGCCGGGGGTCACCGATGAAGCCACGGAGCCGGCGGGACTTGGGTGGTTGACGGCATCGGAGGCCATGGAAAATCGGAAGGCCGGCGCGGGGAGCGAAGGTGGAAGCGGAGGCGGTACGGTCCGGCAAAGGGGGGGAAGGGAAGTTGGTGTTGGTGCCGCGTCACCTCCGGTATCACCGGGTTTGCCAACTCAGGTCAGACTCGGCTCGGTCAGAGAGCCGGCGCTGCCCGTAATTGAGCGGCAGCAGCGGCCGAGAGGCATAGGCCTATCCGTGCCGGCCAAGTGTGTGGATCAGCACAGAGGAGTGGGATACGGACGGGGTACGGGATTGGGAAGGTGATGGTCGGGCCCCTTGCTGGTTTCCTCTGCGGCCGGGCCCCTTGTTTGCTTTCGGGGGCCTCTTTTTTTTTCTCCTTTGGAAAGCCCGTTGGACTCTTGGAGCAGTTGCTGATTGCCGGTCCAGTCCAGTGTCGTCCTCGTTCGGTCAGTGAGTACAAGGGGTGAGCGGCAGAATGACAGGTGACAGGCTTCCTGGGGGACCAGCAATGCAGCGACAGCGGAGCTCTGGGCAGCAGGAGAATTTTTTGGTGGTACGAGGGGGGGGAAATGGTATGATTCTTTTTTCGGTCGGGGATCGGGTAGCCGTACGGATAGGTTGTGCCTTGGAAAAGGGACGGGAACAGGCGAATGGGAGGGAGATAATGAATCATTCAGATGTTGCTGGACGGCTTCGGAGGGCCAAGATCCCGAGTCATGAGTGGCTCGGTAGACTGTGGAGAATGGAGCTAAGCCTCGGGCATTTCTGCTGCAGACAAGGGTGTGGATTCGATGTGTGTATGTGTGTACATAGTTTCCGGCGGTATATGCAGCTTTGTTGAAGGATTCCTAGAGTTTTGGTTTTGTCTGTCTGGAAACCCGAATAGCGAGAGACTACAAGTTGTAGCAGTTGTGCTCGTGATACCGTGCTCCGTACACGTGTACATAGTAGCTGAGGGGAACATGAGACCAAGTGAAGGAGGAGAAGAAAGTCAAAATGATGGTTTAGTTGGAATAGAGTTCGTAGCCGCTGGCGGAGAGGCTGACCTCTTGCTACTATTGTCTTGAAGCGGCGAAATTACCTGTTACCATGCTCTGTATTTCGAAGTAGTGCACAAACTTGAGTAACATTGGTTGGAATTGCACAAATCATGCATGCATAGCATAGTACCGATGCTCAAGTTGTCCGGCTTGCATACTTACCACGGCAGAGAGGCAGAGAGGCTACGGAGTAGAACTAGGAGATATACCCGCCAGTTTATGCATCAAAGTCCAACACGCGAGGGACTCCTATGCACAGACCCGTCCGATATATGCAACTTGTGACGGCCCTCAAGTTTGCACTGCTTCGACGGTCTGGACTCCGGGCTCCCAGAGGCTGAATCTCTTCTGCCATGCATGCGCCACCACAAGACTGGCTATCTCCGAGCGCCTTCTCCTGATTTCACATGTTGGATGGTCACCGACAAAGGGACCCCTCAAGACCGAGAACGACGGGTGCATTCTAGACTCACAACACAAATCACATGTACTGCTGCTTCGAGACGACTCATACTGTATGTAATAGCTCGTAGACAGGCGTGATAATTGAGGCAAATGCGCCAAAGTGGGTATCCATTGAAAGAAAGAAGAAAAAAAAAATACGAAAGAAACTGTCATCGTGATCATAGACCTCGTTAGTAAACAGAGCCCGAAAGAGCCTCCCTCCTTTTCTTGTTCAAGCCTTCATCGCCTCCACGAACAACTCCCTCATCCCCTTCAGCAACACCGCCAATTCCCTCGTCTCATTTAGCTGATCCAGCACCCTCTCCACCCGCTCCCGCTCCAACTTGGGCCGGCAGTGCCGTACATCGTAGTCCCGGCTCGCCGTATTAAGCTCGAACCACGCCTCCCTCTCCCAGTCCTGGTCGTCGACGTACGTGTAGATAAACTTGAGCCGGTCGTCTTTCCCCGCGCCCTCGATCCGCAGGCCCAGATTCTGCTGCCAAAACTCGAGCTCGGGAACGTTGAAGCGCGACTGCGCCTCGAGCTGCTTCGCGTGCGCCCGCTGCGCCGCCAGCCGGGCGTCAATCTCTTTTTGCGTCTCTTCGATTTGCTTCTTGAGCGCGTCCCGCGTCGCCAGGTGCTTGTCGCGCTCTTCCGACAGCTGCGCGATCGAGGCTTGCATCTCGCGCGTCTCGGCCTTTTCTTTGGCCACGGTTTGTTGGTGGGTGCTCGTCTTGAGTTGGAGTATCTCAATGTCCTTCTTCTTCATGCGCTGGTCCTCTTTGTTGGGTGCATACGTTAGCATCTCTTGATTCGTAATTTCGTGCCTTCGAGCTCGATTTCCCCGACGTACCTTGTAGTTCTGCCACGTTCATGCGGAATTCGTTTCGCTCCTCCAAAACGCGCTTGCGACCCTGTTCGATAAAGGCATCAAACTTTGACGTGAACTTGGTCATGCGATCGCGAAGCTCTTCAAAGCCAAAATTGGCGTTTGGCAGCGTCTCGGCGACGGACGGGGTCGCCATTAGCGACTGGCGGTTGATGCTGGCCGACAGCGACGATTCTCGAAATGCGGACGACATGATGGGTGATGTTTTTTTTCTCGGAGTTGCGATCGCGATGGTCGGTTGTTGGGAAGTTGTAGCTATTATTGATCGAGGACTGTGTATCGCAATTCCAAGTGACGTGCGGCAGGATAGGCTACGAGGCGGGCGAAGGTGGGATAAATTGGTTGTGATCGTAATCTTTGGGTGTTTATGCACCACGTTGCTATGTCAACAATCTCTTCATACAAAAGAAGGCTGATGACTAAGGTAATCTGCTGACTCAGCCTCGTCTCTCACCTAAATCATCTTTAACACAATCTAACCATCTCCGCCATCCAGGATAGCTACACGCATTTCCCCATTGCATTGAACTTTATTTGTATCTGTTCGGCTGGTCTTTTCCTTCGAAATGCGGTCTTTTCTTTCGTTCCTCGGCGCGCAAGTCGGTCATGATGGCACAAAGCCGTAGATGGGAGGGAAATGTGTTTGATGGACGATCCATCGCCATGAGTAAAATGGCTATTCGATCTTCAGTCGCTCGTTCAGGCTATGTCTTTACGCATAGGCTTGAGACAATTGCATGTTGGTGCCGAATATGCGTTGACGCGACGAACCATATTGCTTGTTCCAATCAAGACTGCACCCAAGACTAGAGATTTGCTGGCCATATCAAGAGGTGCAGGAAGTGGAATACCTGTGAACTCAGAGCTCCCGTAACACTGGCAAGAGGTACAAGTGTATCAATAAGACTGGTCATTCCATACTCTTCTAAGCATCGGAAAAAGTCAACAGCAATTTCACCCCAGAATCCGGGTCGAGGGAGGCACGCAGACTCCCGGGATATCACACCCTCCGCGGGTCAATATGCATGAATTTGTGCTTCATACTGAGCAACACCCCTCTTTTATTCCATGTTAACCATTCCCGTTTCCGCTCAACCATATCTCGTTGTGCAAAAGACGCCTATCTTCCATATCTCATCTTTCATCTTCAAGAAGTCGCCGGAGTAGCAGGGACAGACTCGGCCGGCGAAGCAGGCGAGCCCGGAGCGACGGGGGTAGCGACCGCAGGAGACGAAGGAGTAGAAGAAGCTGCCACGGGAGGCGGCTCGGCAACAACAGCAGCAGGAGCGGCAACAACAACAGGCACGACATCCCTTCCCTCAGCATCAACGACAACAATCAACTTGAGGCCCGTAGGTCCACAAACCCACTCCAGCATTCCACCCAGCGCCGCCTCGGCGATTCCATCCAACCGCGTCTCTCTCACGACGTCCGAGACCACGGGTCTACCAGCACCGATTCCTCCTCCACCTCCAGTGTCGAAGGTGGGCACGTTGACGTTGACGAAGCCGAGCTGGAGAGGACTTCCCATGATCCAAGTCTGCTGTCCAACGGGGACGATGGCCGCGCACGGAGGCGGAAACATCATGGGCTGCTGCGCAGCGGGGTTACCGTATGAGTGGAGGTAGTTGACGCCGCCAGAGTATGTCATGGCCATCGGCATGGGCGGGTCCATCGTCATCGTCATCTGAGGCTGCGGCTGCGGCTGCGGCTGGATGAGCGCGGGATATCCGATGTTGAAGGTCATGAGCTGGGGAGGCTGCTGCTGCCACACGGGCATCGTGACCGTGGCCATGGCCGTGGAGGCTCCGTTGACACCGCTGCCGCCGGGAATGGACACGACTTGGCCGTTGCGAGAGGTCCAGTACAGCGTGATCTGGCCCTCGACGACGGGGTCAGCGCGGCCGAGGCGCGTCATGGAGTCCCGGACGAGAGAGAGGATCTGAGCCTTCGTGGCGGTCGAGGGGGTTAGACGGAGGTGGAAGCTTCGGGTCCAAGGGGGCGAGGGGATGGTGGTTGGGATCGAGTAGATGTGCGTCTCCAGGACGATTGTGGCTTCTTCTGCCATTGTTGTGGTTGCTTCTCTGTAGTTTCCACAGGATGGTCAGAGTCTTTTCCTCTTTTTTTTTTTCTCCTTGTTTTCCAGAAGGGAGACAAGGATAGGGGGGTTCGAGATATTGGGAGACTTACCTAGAAGCATGTGACGTCTACTCTTTGTTAGTCCTTGTCTTGTTTTCTTGTTGTGTGTAGAACGAAGAGATTCGAAAGGATGATTTTGGCCCAGAGAAAATGTTGACAATCCTAAACTTAGCCAGGGAAAGAATCAAGAAGACAATTTCTTTAGGGAAGGGGAAGAAAAGGCTTGCCCTATAGGGTGAACGTCTTCTAAACGGATCGTGAATAAAGAGGGTTTATTTGGTAAGGGTGTAAGTGATTCGGCACCAAACTTGGACTTTACGAGTATCAGGATCCGCTTCTCGAGGTGACCTCGTATGATTCACTAAACATCCATAAAACTGTAGAGACCCGTGGAAGGAAATAAGTTTTACCGGGTGTGAAGTTGTGTGTTATACCTGGGAAATATGCTGAACATGTGTTGCTTGTTGACGGTACGGAGGGTAGCTGGAGGTGTTTTATAGCATTTACTGAATCTCATGCTGTTTCTACAGGTCGGATAAAACTTCTGCCTGCACGTTACCAATGTGCAAGATTTAGTAGCTACCCCTGAATCCATGCACTTACTTTGAGTGTTGTGCCACAAGTTGTTTCGTAAGTGGTATCTGTATTTCTGCCTCTGGGTGAAACAACAAGACAGAGGCCCAACGATACAACGGCACACGGAAACATCAAAAATCAAGATATCTAGGGGAAAAAGTAGTAGTCATAAGCGAAAAAGAACCCCCTGTGCCCTTCAGCAGGACTGGACGATGGATTACGACGTCTTTCGGAGCAAATGAAGAAAAGAAATGAGATCGTCATCAAGCAACATCCACCAACTAGAGACCACCCCCCGAAGTCAACTTGGATCCATATCAGAAGCCTTGTGGCCGATCATGAACCGCAGCCACGCATGACAGGAGCCACGCCCGGAAAGCCTCGGGAACGAACGTGTTTACACCCACAATGCAAAACCCACAAAGAAATTGGAGCCTGATATCGTAAGCCTATATACTGAAGGCAACTTGCATGTTCTTTCCAGGCATATTCTCCGTGGAACGGGACACCCAGTGCCTCGTTGTGTGGACTTGGAGGCAGACGGGCAGCATTTCTAGGAAGCTCTTCATGGCTACTGCTGTAAGCCTTTGCGTCAACGACGAAGGCTGGAATCCCGTCTAAGAAGGGGACATACTTACTCTAGCCAATTTTGGAGATGTAGATGGGAGTCTATATGAAAAGCTCAACTACAATCTTACAACGTCTTGAAAGCAGCATGTCTGGATCACGGGTCCGGCCATCGACGCTGTCAAGGAAAATCTGTACCTCAAGTGGCAAAACTCCGTGAGCCTCCAAAGGAAAAGATAGAATAAGTAAAAAGATAGAATCGAATGGGTCGGAAATTGGCCAATGCAAACCATTGGTCAAAGGGGGTGAGTGTATATAGAGGTTTAAGAAAAGTATCCAGCAGCGTTCTTCAGCTAGTATTGATATCGCCTGACCATTGGATAGTGACACAGAAAGAATGGCTTCAGAGCCGGTGAGCAAGCTTCCCAACCCAAGGACATCGTATGTTACATGTCAAGGAACTGAGCTTCATGACGAGGACCAAAGCTCCAAAGTTTTGCTCTGTCGCTAGGTTGTTAACCCTTGACTTGACCTGTATCATTGACAACAACGCCTCAAGAGGCCATCAACATGGTATGTTCAACATCTGTACCGATGGCTACATAGTGAACCACTGTGAAGGCCGTTTTCATGTGAGACGGTGACCTTGGAGCTCATTCCAATATCCAACTCCACCACCCCCCCTTCTCGCCTCAACACTCATCATCAACCCCCAAAGCCCCAACCGAAAACATCTTCAAATTTGGCCCCACGCCTGCAAACAAACTCGCGTGCCTTCGCCCAGGCATCCTCTGAAATTGGCAACTCTTCACTGGCGTCCTCGCCTTGACGACATCCAAAGCAGGACACCGCAACCTCCGCCCAGACTGCATCGAATACAGCCCCAATCGCCCATCATCATGCGCCGCGGCAACGACACCCGAGTCAACATCAACGTCCCACCCGAAATGCATATGCGCTTGGTTCCGGAACCCGGCAAACTCCACCACCGGCTTCGTCCCATTGGGGGCTCTTTTGCGGTACCGGAGGTCAAACAGCGCCATCTTGGATCTCGGCCCCGCGGCGAGGAACTGGTGCGGGTTCACGGCCCGCAGGTGCGCTGAGGGCCCGACGGGGATGTTATCCCACTCGGACCACTTTACGCGCATGTCAATCAGCCTGACGTCGCGGTTGCGGCCGCCGGCGAGGAGGACGTTTGGGTTGGAGGGGAGGAACGTCTGGTCGAAGAAGTCACCTTCCGCTGGCCCGGGTCGGGGGCGTGGTGGGCCGAGCCAGTGGATGCGTTCGTCCGAGGTGAGCTTTAAGAGGCCGTAGGAGGTGCCGATGATGCAGGTTAGGGAGGAAGAGGAGGACGGCGCGGGCGTTGTTTGGTTGACGACGCCTTCGCGGCGGCCTGTGTTGAAGGAGATGTGGCGGAGGTTGTTTGCTACACGCGGTCTGCGTTAGAAAGAATGGAGGGTAATGTGACTCTGGGGAACAGGGGGGGAATTCACCTCTGTCGAGTAACCAAAGAGGTCGGTCATCATTGGGCGCGGATTTGGGAGGAGAAAAGAGGTAGATGTCGCATGTGTTACTTGGCTCGCGGGATGTGACAATTATGCGATGCGAGTGTGGGTGATAGTTGATGGATGAGATCTGAGGACAGCCTATCATCTCGTGACGGTGTGACAGGCGGCGTTCAGGACGGCTCGAGGCATCAGTGCTGAAGGATATCCTGCTGTCGTTAGTCTTTGCTCCGGGCCGTGGCATTTTGTCCTCTGCTCACTTGTCATTGTCGTCCGTGGGGACATACGACCCTATCAAAGTCTCCTCGTCCAAAGCTATCACAGTCAGAACACAAACTCCCAGTCACAATCCAGTGGGGAGGGGGGGGGCGGATCCCAAACTAACTCGCATACGCAACTCCAAGCCCCGTCTTCTCATCATCGCCACCAACGTAGAAACACGGGATATTCGGAAAACTCTGCCTCGCAAAGCTAGGCACGAATGGCACCTCGCCCTTGTCAACGAGCCCCCGGGCCCACGCCGCAGCAGGGACGTCCTCGACGCCGAACGCACCATCGACACGCAGCCTCGCCCTCTCCTCACGACGCACGCCGAGCTCGACGTCCAAGATACCGCCGATGAGCGGGGCCCGCAGCGCGGCGGAGCGGACAATGTGCCGCTTCAGCCGCTCCCGGCGAGCGGCCACGGCCTCGGCCTCGCGGTGCTGGAGCTTCCGGCGCTTGACATTGTCGGCGGACCAGGCGGCGGTCTGGGGTGCCGAGCCGCCTTTTTCAATTTTGAAATATTTGCCCTTTTCCTCATCTAAAACGTGGTTTCTTCCGAGTTAGCCGGATGGTCTGTGGAAGGGTACGGTCAAGTGAACAATAGACTGAGTTGTCAAAGGAGGTTGAAAGGACTAAGACAGAATGGTGTAAGACTTTGGGGGGCGTGTGAGTAGTACCGTAGTAATACCCGGGGATTTGCATCCGCGGCTGAGGTGCCATGATGGTTTCTGTCCGGGGTTCGGTCCGCCGCGATGGCTACACGGTCTCGGCTCCGAGGCGATGGTGAAAGCCCTGGGTTGGGGGTCCAATAGATGAGGAATTGAGCCTCGAGGTGGTTGGAAGGCCAAGAAATCTCAGATAGTCGGAAGATGGGTTGTCCCAAACCGGAAAAGGACAAAGAAGAATTATCGGCACTAGCTCCGTCTCGGACTCAAGATCTAGACAAGGCTCAAGGCACAGTCGAATTGACTATCCAGGAACACTGTGAACGGTTTCCTGCTTGCAGGATGGTGTACCTTGCCGTGGCGGGAGGGGGTGTAAGTGCTGGATCTGCACGTGTGTTGGGGGGCAGATGTGGGTGGTCCGGGGGGGGGGGGTTGTTCAGAGATGCGGGATGGATCCATGCATGAGAAACACCCGGTACGATATCGTATCGTCGTGGCGATGAAAAAGAGGATTGGATATTGCGAGCTGGTAATGGACTTGTGTGGGTTGGGTCAAGGGTTGATGATGGCGTCGGTGGCGCCGAGTGTCAGTGAAGCACTTCCTTTCCCCGATAGAAGCAGGCGGGATGGAGGGCGGAAGAGAAAAAAGAAAGGATGGAAAGAGTGGGGGTGTGGAGGTGTACGTTTGTCGTCCAGGGTAAGGTGGCCGGCGCCGGAGCCGGCACTAGGAACCCACTTTCGCGGTGAATAGGCCGTCCCCCCCAAGCTTGCGACGGGACTCTGAGGTGAGGTGAGGTGTGCGAGGACAGTGTCGTTTGGTGTGTCACACCGCATGATGAAGGCCACTAACTTCGCTGATTTCGCGGCGTAATAATCACTGAAGCATTAGTGAACCTACGGCAAGCTAAGGCGCCAGACTCCAACGACCCACCCTCCCAAATGCCGTATGCGGGGAGGACCGATACCTGCCCTGGGGTGAACCACCCACCTCACCCACCGCCACACTCACATATCGCAGGAAAAAGGGCAGAAATTTACAGCGAGATTCGACGCTAGAGCGAGATAGCTTCACACTGGACATGTCCGCGGCTGATCTGGCCCATCAATCGCTGGAATTGTCGGCCGGCGTCATGCACACACGCAAGTCTGTTGTGTTGTATTTGCGTCGCCCGGTTAGATATCAGCTTTTAGCACCCGGCAAAAATAACGGCTGAACCGATGACTTGGCAATTCTCAACACCATCCTCTAGTATAGTCCAAGATGCCTGTTCTACCTACCACCTAGCAGAAAAGCTTGGTCATGCTATCCGCGCCGGGGTGCTCAACTAAACTATCTACCTTACATTACACGGCTGCTCCGATGTGGAGAGGAAGAGGCTTGTTCCCTGTGCTTACAATGTACTTGCCTTGGCTAGCTCGCCGCCATGTTAGCTACCGAGTACGGTACTGGCAAGTCTGCCAGCAACTTTGGCTGATGCCATATAGACTGTTTTGCCACGCTTTGCAAGTGCCTCTCTTCGTTCAACTCCATCGGAAGAGGGGAGCAGTTTTCAAGCATACCACTGTTGGCTCGAGCCGGGAATAGCTCAAGCTCGATGGAAAACCCTCTTATGGGCTCAATTGAGTAGAACTCTCCTCATTTTCTGCAACAGGGATCTCCAATTGAAATCCGCTTGTAATCAGTTCAGATCTGAACTTGAACTTGAACAATCGTGACGTGACCAAACCCCATCAACAACTCAGATTGCACTAGGCAAGGGCTATACCTCCACAACGAGCAATTGATACGGGCATGACTTTGAGGACTCAAGACAAGACCAAACACCCATCACCAACATTATCCACACATTCAACACACATGCTGTGTTCAACCTGGTCTCTGCTCACCTGTGATAAGTACGGATCTCCATGTGGTACCAACAGCACCGCTCTCCACTCAAAAAGCCCGCCCCATCAGCTTCAGCCCCAGCTGCCCCTCCAACCCCTCACCTCCCAAATCCAGATAGCTATCCCTCGAAAGCTCTCCCCCCCTCCTCTCCTACACCCAGCCTCAACATCCTTCCAGAACCATCACTCATCATCATTCCACTCGAACCCCCTCGAAGCCATTGCTCGCCATATCTCTCTAACATCCGACATCCTGCCCAGAAGCCCAACATGGTCTACACACTCACTGTCCACCTCCACGCAAACGACCAACCCGACTCGGTCGAACGCATAAAGGCAAAGCTCATCGAGGCCTCGCGCGTCTACTCCAAAGATCGCGAGACCGTCAGCTGGTTCGTTATGCAGGACGTCCACGACCCCAGGTCCTTTACCATTGTCGAGCGCTTCGAGACGGAATATGTAAGAAGCCCACAAGCCCACGCGCACCCACACACCCAGTTCATTGCGCACAAAATTCGCACGACAACCTTTATACAGAAGCTTCGTGCTCCAGCACTCCATTCCCTCCCAAACGTCCCAACCTCGGCGCTTGACAGATTGCTGATCCGTTGTTTCTCCATGTGCAGAGCCAAAAGTACCACCTCGAGAACCCCTACTGGAAGACCTTTGATCCCTATGTTAAGCCTTTGCTCGACCGCGAGATGGACCTGAGAAGACACGAGGAGCTGGATACTTCCAAGGAGGTCATCGTGCCTCAGTAGACCACGTGACTAGACAATTGAAACAATTACTTCTACAATTCGCTACCTCACGAAAGTGACATTTGAACCACATATACTTATTTACGTAAACTGGTGTGCATCATTAGAGGATTCAGGCGGCAAACAACGTGCTAGAGTCCGGGATTAGGCCAAGTTGGTGAATAATCCCATCACATACAAGAACGGTACATTGAAACATGTTTACTTGATTTAACGATTTGTATTAGGTCTATCAACGCACTAGGGTATTTCCCTTCTCTGTCGCTCCAACTCAATCGCAGTAATTACCGATGAAGTTCATCGTACAATTTTAAACATATGAAAGATGAATTTCGTGGGCACAAGTCCACGTCTCCTCCGGTCTCAATAGGGGCCAGATTCAACAGGCCCAGGGAGATCATCCCGCGGAGTCGACGGAGCATTGTAACGGCGCAAGTAGCGTCGTAGTCAAGCCCGACTCTGCCAAGAGATTCCTCTTTACTGCGACTTCTCGTGCTGGGTGGAGACACGCTGCAGGGAGACGACTGATGAAACGGTTAGCTGCTGTTCTGTAACAAGACACATATTATGGGGTAGTTTGGGAGAAATAAAACTTACCAAAGTCCTCGAGCGAGCGCTGCTTCTGGTTGCCCTTGGGGGACTTGCCGTGCATCAGGTTGTCGAAACCGGTGCTGTCCTGGAGCATGTAGTATACACCAGCGCAGACGCAGAAGACACCGAAAGAGAAAATCCAGATACGGACGACGGCAACAATGGACGTCTGCTGACCACCCTCGAAGAAACCCCAGATACAGAAGCAGGTGGCGAGGATATCGACGACCAAGATGGCGCCGGACAGCTGCCACGAAGGGATGGAGGACCAGAAAGGACCGTTGGCACGGGTGATGAAGATGAGCCAGTTCTCAGTGAGGGAGACCTCAAGGAAGACGACCTCGTCGAGGTTACCGAAGTTCTGGATGATACCACCGCCGGGGTGAGCGTACATGGTGGTGACAGTGATCCAGGTACCGACGGCAAGGACGATACCGAGAAGAACGGACATACCCCAGAGCTTGGGCAGGTTCCACTTAACGGGGGACTTGGAGAAGGGGGCGTTGTCGTAGGCAATGGCCAGGGTGGCAATATCGGCGAAAATGGCAATGAAGACGACCAACTCAATGTTCAGGGAACGGTTGAGGATGGCAATCCACAGACCAAGGTAGATCTCCAAGTGGATGGACAGGGCGATACGGTAGACGACGTAGGCGTACATGCGGTGGAAAATCTGGCGGGAAGTCTTGAGGGCGTCAATGATGGCACCAAGACCAGGGGCAAGGAAGACAATGTCGGCAGCGGAGCGAGCGGCGTCGGAGGCACCCTCAACAGCGATACCAGTGTCAGCCTTCTTCAGCGAGGGAGCATCGTTGACACCGTCACCAGTCATGGCAACGAGGTAGCCACGCTGCTGAAGAATCTCGACGACGTTGTACTTGTGCTGGGGGAAGACCTCGGCGAAACCATCGGCAGCCTCAACGAAGTCGTAGACCTCGGAACCGGGCATGTCACCACCGCCACCGAGACCGAGGCGCTCAGCATTGTAGATGTTGGTGCCGAGACCGAGCTGGCGGGAAGTCTCACGAGCGATACCGACGGCGTCACCAGTCAACATCTTGATGGACAGACCGAGAGACTTGGCTTCGTTGACAGTGCGGGCAGTGTCGTGACGAGGGGGGTCAGAGCAGGGCATGATTCCGAGGATCTCCCAGGCACCGTGGTCACCACGCTTGCGGGCAACACCGAGAGAGCGGAAGCCACGGGTGGCGAACTCAGCAACCTTGTTCTTGTAGGCCTGGTCGATCTCCTCGGGAATCTCGTGGTCCTGCTCGACGGTCTTGAGGACGAAAAGGGGAGCACCCTTGACGCAGGTAATGCGCTCACCGGCAGGGGACTCGACGAGGGCAGTGACCTTCTTGGAGACGGGGTCGAAGGGGAAGAAGTCAATGACCTTGTACTTGGACAGGACAGACTTGGCGCGGGGGTAGTAGCGGAGCGACTTCAAGAAAGCCTTGTCGATGGCGTCCATACCCTTCTTCTTGCGGGAAGCAGCCAAGCAAGCGGTAAGCATGAGGTCCTCGGGGTCGACACCGGCGACGGTGTAAGGCTCGGCCAGGGAAAGCTTGTTCTTGGTGAGGGTACCGGTCTTGTCAGAGCAGAGAATCTCGACACCAGCCAGGGACTCAATGGCGGACAGCTTCTGGACGATGGCCTTCTTCTTGGCGAGGTAAGCAGCACCGACAGCCATGGTGGTGGTGACGACGGCGGGAAGACCGACGGGGACACCGATAATGGTGATGGCGAGGGTGAAGCGAAGGATGTCGACGATGCCGTTGGAGCGGTAGAAGGAAGAAACCCAGACGATAAGCAGAGTGAAGATGACAAGGACCAACAGAATGGTACCAATGCCGTTCAACACCTCAGTGAAGTGACCAGATCCAGCGGAGGCAGCGTTGACAAGGGCGGCAGCGCGACCGACGAAGGTGTTGTCACCAGTGGCGGTGACGATGACGAAGGCCTCACCACGCTTGACAGCGGAAGAAGCGTAGCAGTTGTCGTTGCGGTGCTTGTCGACGGCGAGGGACTCACCGGTGATGGCGGACTGATCGACCTGGAGGAAGGCATCCTCGGTGACAATGCGACCATCAGCGGGGATAATGGTACCCTCCTCAACCTGGAGGATATCACCGGGGACGACTTCGGGGGCCTCAACCTCCTTGAGGGTGCCGTCACGGAGAACGACAGCCTTGAGAGCGAGAGTCTTCTTGAGTTCGGCGACAATCTGAAGTGGGGGGAATCAGCAATGTGGTCTCGGGGGAACCCTTGGCAACGCGTGCCAATGGTGTGGGGCGATGTTGACTTACAGATCCGGCCTGGAATTCCTGGACGAAACCGACAGCGGCGTTAAGCAGCAAAAGACCGCAAATGACACCGAAATCGACCCAGTCCTCAAGACCAGCAGCAAGGACGGCGGCAGCCTCCATGACGAATTGAATGGGACCAACGAAGAACATGAAGAACTTCAGGATAAGGTTCTCCTTCTGCTCAGCCATCTCGTTGCGGCCCCACTTGCGGCGGCGGTTGATGACCTCCTGCTCAGTCAGACCGAGACGAGTGTCAGTCTGGAGCTGTTCCTCAGGGACGACACGACCCATGCCAGGGGATCCTTCATCTGTCAGGATGTTAGCAAGCTGCAATTGAAAGTGTGGGGGGTTGAGAGAGCGTCTGCTCAACAGAAGCGATGGCAAGCGCCATCAACTGCCTGTAAGACAGGTGCTCCACTCGATCTCAAGAGACGTACCCTCTTCTTCCTCGTCGACGTGACCGTCCTGGGACTCAAGGTCCTCAATCAGGGCGTCAATGTCCTCATCGTCCTCCTCGTCCTCGACCTTGGGGTTGGCGGCCGGGGGCGCATCAACGGGGCGTTCCTTCTCATCGAACTTGTGGCTCTCAATGGGCGTGCTGAGAGCAGGGGCCGCGGCGGCGTGTGAGTCGGCCATTGCGGTTGTAGTGAGACAGACGAGCTCTGCTCAAGCTTATTATGCGCGAATAGGTGGTTTGTTGTCGCGGATAGGAATTGATAGGTAAGATAAGTCCGAGGAAAACGGCAAGGTACTGCTTGTGCTTCTTCGTAGGACGGGCCTAGGAATACTGAATTGGTGAGGTCGCAGGGTAGCGCGTAGGAAAAGGTGATGAGGGGGAGAGTGGAGAGATGGAGGAGAGAGGTTTGAGCACCACACGAATGTGAAGGGCAATCTATATAGGCAGCCTTCGTGGGTGATGGAGGAAAGAGAAGGGGAAGAGGCGTTCCGGTGAAGGCGGGTGGAAGCTTCGCTACTTAAGAGAAACGAGCCGTGGGTAGGAGAGAGGCAGACACGAGCGGCAGGAGCAGCAGAAGCAGAAGCAACAGCAACATCCAAACCAAAGCAAGAACCAGACCAAACCAGAAAGAGGCGACCACTGACTGGGACGTGGGTGTGGATGCAGGCGCAAGCGTGGGCGTGGATGAACGTGAACGTGGGCGTGGGCGTGGATCATGGATGGGCGTGGGACGGGTGTGGGCGTGGAGCGAGCGAGCGAGCTATCCGGCCGACTGCACTTTCCTACCTTGCGACCCAGAAGTTGAGAAGGAAAAGCCAATCCATCCCAATCGGGATCCCCACTACGTACCCGCAAGCGACGGTATTAGTCCGCCCACAGCGACAGCGTGTGTGTGAAAGAGAGAGAAGCGAGGAAAGAGCGGCGCGACATGGACGGCGACAGCGGTAGCGACGCGGCAAGTAAGGTAGATACGTAGTGTACCTACCTACCTTGGAGGCAAGAGCTTCTCTGCCTCACTTTCCCGTCATTAAAGTCAGTCGTCACAGGCTCCAATGGTTACTCATCACCCACTTGAATACCTTGGTTGCTGGGCCCAGGTTACTAAAGGTACCTTACCTCATCCCTCACCTCACCTTACTCACTCCTAGAGAATATTGCGGTTTGCCCCAGCACATAGGTATCCGTACTGGCACCTATTGGTATGGTAACCTCTAGGTGAAGTGCGGTAAGGGAAAACAGGACTCAGAAAGGCGCAAGGAAGGTGAGGTATGGTCAAGGTTCAAGGCTGGCAAGGTACCTCTTCACGCTTGGCGAGGTCGCGGAGAAAGCAACAATAGCTGGAGAAGCTACCAGCATCGGGATCCATTGATCGGTTCATGGTACCTTGTGGCCCCAGTACTCTCTCCCACATCCACATCCGTGCCTGCCCCCAGCACTGAGCAGCAGCAACAACAACAACAGAGAAACAAGAACAATAGTAAGGTACTGGGTTCGTGAGGAAGGCACTCCAGTCAACCTTACAATTGCATGGGCCGCCCCTACGGATACAACACGGTAGGAACGAGGATATGCGCTGAAGTGGACAGGGCCAGAACCGGACGATGTCAGGATCCATTATTCAACCTGGCCAGAGAGGAGGGACCCATTGAAAAATCATCCATCCTTCCCCCGTCTGGACGATGGGCGGTACCTCGCGCTGGAGCTATCAGAATAAAGTATTGGAGTACATTGTGCAGGGGGGGCAAGGTACAAGGTGTGCCTACAGTACGAATTGAATTTGGCCTAGACGGTACCATTGGATTGGAGAAAATGTGCACAGCATATTTGGGATACGGCGGCAATTGGGGCGAGCAATGAGGGAAAATGGCCGCAAGCAGACGAGAGAAATTCCCATGTGTGACGCGCAGGGCGATGCCGCGATTGATGAGTGAGATTTGTGAGCGCAAAAAAGCAAGCTTGGCACCAACACGGACCATGAGCCAAGCCAGCGTAATCTTGTGCAACACCACTTACGGAGTGCACCACTTGACTTTGTCGTGAGCCTGAGCCTGAGCCTGAGCCTGAGTCTGGCGGGTTCTGAGGCTTCTTGGGTTAGATGACATTGAATTTTCTTTCCTATGCGCGCAGCACTGCACCGCATTCTCTTCCTTATCTAGGTACTAAGCCATTGAGGTGCGATACCGTTACGCGGATGGGATGGCACATGAGCAGAGCTCTCAGAGACAGAAGCTGGGACGTGCAAACACACCACAGACAGTCCTGATCCCTGCGTACATACTCGCATCCTCCTCTTGGTGATTGAGTGTTGCTCTCCAGACTCCCACACACATACGGAGTACACACACACACACACACACACACACACACAAGCAGGCCAGTGCAGATGACAGTGCGAAAACAAGATGCACAAGGTAATCTCGCAAGTAAACAAAGTACAGAGCCCCACATGGACTCGCCGGGCTACGGTTCCCAGGACCAGGTATCGTGCAGGTTTCTCAGGTGCAGACATGGGAGGAAGGCAGGTACCTGGGTAGAAGAAGTGGACTGCAGGTGCAGTGTGTGGCCCAGATGTGGGAGCGAAGTGGATACCTCTTAAAGTGGAGAGATGACCCAATTTTCGTTGTTGTTTTTTTTTTCTTCCTTCCTCTGCTCGTCTGCTTCGACTACTACGTAAGGCGTACTGGGCGAATTGGCTTTCTGCGCTACCACTTTTTTTTTCCTCCGTTCCATCTCACTCATTGATCTGGCTGGCTCTCCCACGCCCCCGCCAATCCGAGGTTCGTCACTGGCTCGCTGACCATCGGTGATACCTCGCTCATCAATCGTGGATAGCAGAGCTCCAAAGAAAAGGTGTGCATGCCTTAGAAGTTTAGTACCACCTTTCCGCGGTCTTGTGGGGTCGCCGACATGTCGGGCAGGGTCAGAACCGCACATCCACACATCAGGCCAGGTACGTACAACCTTACGCATCGCTACCTTGTCCTAGTGGTACCTTGTTCTGGTCTGACTATCAAGATGCCGCGAAAGCTAAGCGCATTTGTAGGTAATCCTCAGGTAAGTTCGTCTTCATGACCCCGTACCCGTTGACATCTGCTCATCCGTACCATTGCCTGCTTGCTGCTTCACTATTGGATTGCCCGATTGCTGAGTGCTTTTTTTTTTCTCCTTTCCAAATGGTGCTTCCGCTTCGTTTCCTTCCTAGGGCCTCCGAAGCCGCCCAGGCATCGGGCAAATAGGAACAGAGGCTTGCGCGATTTTTCGAGCCGTTCCATGGCATCAAATGACGACACTGCTTCCCAGGGCCCAAACACGACAACGACAGGCGAGCCGCGACAGACGGACAGACAGACAGACAGACAGGCTGAGCATGGACCATGGACGCCCATAGATTAGTCGTCGTCGTCTTCGTCGTCGTCGGCTCTTGGTCTGTCTCGGGTTCGCCTGATGGAGCGTGCGCCGCTCTTCCCCTACCCTTTCCCACTCTTCATTGCCGCCGTACGACGTGCGTGAACCGCACAAGCTTGGACGCCGCCGTGGAATATTCTTGGGGGATGGATGAGGCGGATCAAAAGACGACAACGCTGGCGTTCAGCACATACAACAACGAGTACGGATACAACCGGCGCATGTCTCTCTTCCAAACGGCCATTAAGTGCCTCATCCGGGTCAATTGGAACAAGACGACGCCAATTGGCGCACTGGACCAAGTTCCGCGAGAATCGTTCCGCCCGGCGGTCGCGGATTGCAGTTTTTTTTTTTCTCTCCGTGTAATTACAGTGGCACTCTCACCACACGCATCAGTCATCAAGCCACGGCGGATAACATGCCGCAGTTCCAACGTGGCTTGCTAGGAGTCTAGGACTTGCCAGGAAGTAGGTAGGTAGGCATCGTGGAAGGCGAGTACGTACTTCGTACAAATTGTGCAAGATCAGACAATTAGAGTACGTATCTTCCCTGACTATTGTCGACATGGGATATTGCACACCCCCACACAGTTCCCAACGCTGAGCAACAGCACGGCCCTTTTTCTCTATCATCCAGGACTCCAAGGGAAGTGGATCACAACAAGCTTTTGGCCCTCCAAATTTCGCTGCCAGTCATGAGCTTCGACGTTGGGGGACCTACCCTGCTCTCCGTGATTGAGCTTTGACGGGCTGTCTGTTCTGGGGAGGGGGCTGGGAACCGTCACCAACCCTGCGAGGTTGTTGTCAATCGACCAATCAAAGCGTTATCAGGAAACGGCCCTTTCAAACTTTTTCCCCCATGCTCGGCGTTGCCAGTTTCTCGTAAGCACCGTGTGTGCACTGTCTCAGCGTCATACTCTTTTCTTTCATCGTTTGCTTCCAAATGGAAGTTGCGACAGAGCCGAGAAGTCACACCTGAGCCGGACCAGACTGGCAAATGGTGACTGCCTCGCTCTTTCCAAGACAGGGCCGGGGAGTCAGGCACGGCAAGGTGACCATTACTGGAAGTACCTTACCGTGCTTACCGACCTACCGTACCTTAAAGTAAGTTGCTCCGTAAGGCAGGCCCGGGTAAAGCGGCCTTGCCTGTACCGCCGGATGCGATACGTACCTGCCCTACCGGCCGAACCTCACCCATCTCAATCTCTCATCGTCTCAATTCCTTTTCTCGCCCGATGGAATGCATCAGGCATCAGGCATCTTGTTCTGCAACGAGACGAAAGCGCGTACCTGTGCAAGCAGCAGCAGCAGCAGCAGCAGCAGCAGCAGCAGTAGTCGGCATTCGCATTCTTCGCCATCCAACCAGAGAGGTTGCCTCTTCTGAATTCGGCACTTCGGCCAGTGCCCTTCAACGCTAGACATGACGGACACCCCGTTCCTCCTCGGGACATTTTCGCTGCCAGCAGCACCATGGAAGACACCAAGAAACAGTCTGGGTCTATTCGTACAGACGTTGTTTGAGACACTCCAGTCTCCGGCATCCGGACATGCGTGCAGACAACTTACGCAATCGACGGATACCATTTCCATCTCGCGAATTTACCGGACATGCAGCTTTTGGAAGCTACCCGCCGCTATCATCCCGCCCTACTGCAACACTCTTGCAATTTGCATTAGGCTTCTGGAGCGGCTAATCCGCAACGACTTGGTCTTGTCTACATCCGTGCTAGGGCAATCGTCGGCAGCACCACTCGTCCCGCTAACATCTCCCGTCCTTCACACAGGTCAATCCGTCAAATCGGGTCCTCCACATTATCACGTCCACTCTTGAGCCTGAATCACTCTTCTGCCGTTGAAACTGGGCGACGCACACGTAGTATTCCGCTTAGAATACGCGTGCCAGCGCCCGTCGGCTGTCCAAAGCTGTTTTGGCGGGTACCCAAAGCATCGAACTTCGACTTACAAGTCCCGCATGGCCCAGCCATGCCCTGTCGCTTTCCCCAAAGTTCCAATAGGAATACCCTACGGATACCTTGGTGGTCCAGTATGGGGAAGCCAGCTACGGGTACCGTGTGGTGCGTATCCGTACCCGTACAGTACCCCTTCGAGCCGCCTATCTTACCGTCTCTCTCTCTCTCTCTCTCTCTCCACAACGAATGCCCCCCGTGGCTCCATGGCAGCGCAACCCTGCTGTGGGAAGAGTCTCAGTGACCGCCTCCATCCTCAAGGCTTCGTAAAGAACTCGGGGGACTTCAAGGGCGCTCTCCAGGGCCAAGACTGCGACTCTGTCTGGTTGGTAAGCTCTGGTCTGGCTCTGCCCCTCAACGGAGAAACACGGTATTTGGAAGCTCGACACAGTCTGGGTCCTACAGCAAGACGTCGATATGTTTTACTGTCCGAAAGCACGATACTGGAGCGATTTGGCTTCGATCCCTTGTCGCCTTCTATGCCGACGGAGAATAGTCTCGAAGAGCTAGTACGATTTATCCACATTGTGTTCATGACAGTCAGGTACACGCTCCCGGTAGGATATCCACTGTTCACCGCACGTCGCCTGCATACAGGGACCCCGATGTTGGCGGGAGAGAAAAAACTCTCGCTGGATGTTTCTTTGCACCTTGTTAATCGGTCCTCAAGCACACGGACCCCACGGATACTCAACTGACAAAATTGCCCTGTGCTGAGCTGAAGTCTGGCGGATGGATCACGAACCAGAATCGGCACCGGTGGCCGGGTCGGGATTCCACTGATCTTACTACTCCCAACTCCTCCTCCGAGGCTGACCGCTGGCGCACGCCTGGTCAATCACGAAGGTTCTGGCGCCTCTACGTCATAGCGACTGGGGCGGCTCTCGTCAGATGGTCTTCCTCTTACTCAGTGACCCTCGCCGTTCCGGCCGATCCGTTACCGCTCATCGCTTTCGCACCGACCTCCGATCGTGACAGGCCGTAGAGTGGCTAATCGACGCCTCTTCCTCGACCTCGCCAGTGCTCGCCTTCGCCTCTCGCAAGTTGCAACCGCGGGAGCTGACGTGCTGACCTAAGCTTGCTGGGTGTTCCCCCCAAGCTGATCGACGCTACAAGGGTTTGTCCGTACGAGGCGCGCCTCGCCAAAAACCAGTTCTCGTTGGCATTGGAGCTTGGGATCGGAGCCGTGTCGGTCAGTGTTCGGTCTCGCCGTCGTGGAGGCCGGGGGACCCATAATACACAAAGCGGTCGGTGGCCTTGGCCATTTCGCCTTCCAAACTCTAGACGTCCGAACCGCCTGACCGTTTCCTCACCCGGCTGCCATCCACGGTGCCACGCAAAGGGTGGTGGCCCAGCTCGCCGATACTGAAACCACTCACCGAGATTCGAGCACGGTCTGCCCGGCTTCTTCCACCATCCCAGCCTGCCAGGCCTTGCCACGGATGACGCCCGGGCCTGCCTGAAGCCCGGGTGTTTGGTCCTGTCCTTGACAGAACCTGTCGAGCAACCTGGACGGTTGGATCTTGGAGAAAACTCGCGCTCGGCTGGCCAAAGCTCGCTATTGTCCTCGTGAGCTCCCCGTGGAGACTGGAGACTCTCGGCGCTCACTCACCGTCTTTGTGTTCTTGGTCGTGACTCTTAGCAAAGAAGCATCCTGAGCCGCCCACGATGAGCCATTTCAAACCTCGCTATCGGATTGGACAGTCAGCGCCTCGTCCATCGTTGATCTGGGCCATCTTGGGGGCATGCCGCATCTCTGCACCACTACCCACCATTGCAGTCCTCGGAAATGGCCCCGGTTGCCCCCTCCCGGAATCGTCCATCGAATCGCCGGTACAGATACACCTGCACTGTGCCTCCACTCCCGCGTTCTATCGAGTGCGGGGATTTGACGGCCCTGATTCTCCCGCGCTTGCTACCATTCTAACATGCGTGAAAGAAGCCTCATTCTGCTGCCGTTCGAGTCTACAGTCCCCCCTTCCGAGTCAGTCGGATCTAGCAAAGTTGGAGAGGGATGGGGGGTCTGCAACGAATCGACGCCTCCAGAGTCTTGGCCGTCGATGACATGCGCTTTCTGGCACATAATGCTATGCGCCTTTTACCCCAATGTCGCCTCGTTTGGCAGCTCTAAGACAAGGCCATAGTTGATCCTTCTTGGCTCACGAGTACAGCCCGCAATCTTCCGCTGGGCCGTTTGAGGTCAAGACTCGAAAGATTGAGCGAGAGAAGGGCCAACGGAATCGGAGGGTCCATTCTCGTGGCATCGTCGCACCGATTCCATCTTGGAGGGGAAAGTTGAACCCAAAGTCTTGGCCAGCGACCTGGGCTCTGGGGACCTTGGCTTTCTACCAACCTCCCAAAGACAGTGCGGATGCTTGCGCGGAGCGCGAGTCGACCATTTGACAGCTCTTCGGAATGGGTACTTGAGCTCTAGTTCGATCCTTCTTCACAGTACGGATACCAGCCTACATGCGGATGCTAGTCACGCCAGTCTACGAACTATGATTTTACGAATTCGTTTGCACGTAACAAGATGCAGGGATCGGCCACAGCAAAGGGTCGGTCGAGCTAGGTCACGAATCCCGACTCAACTGCCAAACTATCGGCCATGGGTACTCGCGACGCCGTTTCCCCCAGCGCTCGGCACACTGAAAGCCGCTCCACGTCGCGCATCCTCTAGGCTCGAGGAGTTTAGTGTAGGGTCGGAGTAAGACTTCTGGCCCCAGGCCCGGCCGTGTAGCTTGCTGCTTGGGTGATTGGTTCCTATCAGTCTACGGCCTGTGAGTGACAAGACCAAATAACCGTCTCCGGAGCCGATGGGCTTGTCGGCGGGAATTACTGAGTACTGACAGACAACGGTGGAGCGACCCCCGGATCGATAACGCACAATATTGGACGAGGATGGGACTTTCACCCGAGTCACCATGTTACAGCTTGCCAGGCCTTTTTCGTCTCGTTGCGACATCACACACTGGTTTCTGCTGTCAACTGGGAACAAGTGGCGAGAAAGGCAAGCACTGGATGCGAGAAAGGTCTAATTGATGGCGCGTAGAACCCTGTCAGAAGAGTGCACGGTTGGCATGCTCACTCATTTGCATCATGGCACCGTCTGCGTCGATAAACCCTGGTATTTTCGGACATTAAGCTGTGGGTGAGATGGGTACCATCACGTTTGTTTACAACCCCATCACCAGAGGGGCTACCAGCACAGGCCAGATAGGGTTTGGTCTGGAGCTCGTGTCAAATTTCGATTTGGCTTAATGAGCTGAAGTCGATTATGAGTCTGCCGATTTCCCGCATTATTTCATCCGATTGAAATTGCTCAATGCGTTCTGCCTCCACGACAGACGTCATCCCAAGTCACAGGGCTGTTCCAACTTCCATCGGGATGAATGTGGGTTTGAAGGAAATTTCAAGATATGGGGAATTGCGACCATGTACAACATAGCGAATAGCTGCATTTCGCCAAAACCTCGTACCTGAGGGATCCGTCTAGCTGCAGCTGCGGCCAAGACGCTTCGAAAAGTTCCGGAAGCATTAACAAGAATGGAATGCTGTCAGACCTAAGACCGTCAACCAGCGCAGATATGCGGCCTGGGTCTGCGGCCAGCGTTGATCCGTCCATCGTCGAAAACCGGCACGACGCTACGGCGCTGCGGCGCGACATCGCCAGCCATCTCATTTTCTTCCCTTGTCGGCAATGGAACGTCAAGGATAGCCTACAGCATCACATCGACGCGGCTGATTGCTGTCTACAAGGTCGCATGCGTACTACATGGCAGAGGTCGAGAGTGAGACTATGTCTTGGGGTAGCAGCTGGGCGAGGGCCTGAAACAGACCAATGAAGGTGAAACCTGAACCAAGACGAAGAAGAAAAGCCTGCAGCTGGACAGCGTAATTCTTTGTCGTTGACAATCTGCATCTGCCCTTGGTTCGCAGTTCGCTAACTAGTCAGAGATGAACGTACAACGTCGAATCTCGAAAAAGCCAGCAACCTTGGGAGCGTACAGGGCAGGCCAACCCGGGCGGGTCTGGCTGGGTCTCTGGGATAAGCCGGGCATGCTCTTACGAGAGACCAAAGCACCGGGAAATATCTGGTGACATTCCACACGGCACTTCGTCATCAAGCGGTGAGGGTTCATCAATGATAGTGGCCCCGGCCCCCTGTGACGGCGCTGCGTGGAGTTGCCGTTGGCTAACGATTACGGGCCGTTTCTTGCTTCGGTCCATTGTCATGGGCCATGGGCGTCGCCTCTTTACTCGATAGGATCAAGGGATGCCGGCGACCGCCCCCGTGACTACGAGTAACTAAGAGAAAACGGCAAAGGAGACGAGTCAGTGGCTGACTGGCTCCTCTGATTATGGTCTTATGGCCCAGAGTTCCCGCTCCAGCATCTTGCCCAGGAACAGACCTGGTTTCTTTCGTGGTGCATGCCGCGGTTTCCTGGGCCTTGCTCTTAAGGCGTCCCGTGTTAAGGAGCCCCATCGTGAAGCGTTAGACCGGAAGCGTTAGACCGGGCAGTCTCCGTTGATCAGTCGGAAGGGTTCAGTTGGGTTCTATGGGCTCATGGAGGAGAACCGGCGATTGGCACGCCAATCCACTCCCGCAACTGACCATGCATTCTAGGGCAATACGGAGCCGAACCCTCTTTACGCGCTGCTTGGCTGGACGGGTCTTTGCGGTTTGATTTGGGTCTCCATCTTTCGACTTTGAGCCGCGGCAATCCTGCAGATGCTCCAGTGTCCTGCAGAGATATCCGGTACAGGAACAGGACACTAACGGAGCTTCGCTCGACTAAATCGCAGTCACACACGATATTTTTCCCCACATGCCGCCAGCGATGCAGCCAGCACGCCAACGGCCAACAGGCAGAGGGCCACAAGAGACAGAGAATTGGAGCATTAGAGCAGCAGCAGGGCTAGCAACACCAACATAACCCGCCCGTCCATCCGCCCTCCGTTGGTGCGTGTCCGCTTTCCGCCCTTCTAGAAGCCATGTTGAAAGCGGGTTGCGGCGGCATGGAGAGGGATGACCGTGGCGGCTACCAATTGCGATCACCTAACTCTGCCAACTTACTTCCCGCCTTGCCCGTCTAGACAACCCACAACACCACAGGTGGTTATCCCCGGGGGAGGATACTGCTGGCAGCCGGGCGGGCACCGTGGCCTTGCAAGTTGGACCGGCGGCGGGCTGTGGGGACCGGGTTAGGTATGATTTACTGATTATTAGGTGTCATGCAAGTGACCAACCGCTAGAGATCGGGTCGAATTTTCGGACAGAACGCTGTGAAACCGCCATGGCTTTTTCTTTCCCGGGGGGTGTGTAACCTGGAGCCTGGAGGTCTCTGGTCTGGAGGTGGTGGTCGCTGGGTGTCATTGTGTTATTGTTTATTTGTCGTGAACTGGGGGCACTATTGAATGTTTTCTTGGCTCTCCACGGCAACAAGGGAAAACCCAACCTCTTCAGGAAAGCCGCCGAGGGCACACCTATTCTACGCTCGTCTGGGCCTAGCGGTCAGACACCGGCTCGGTTGTGGCTACTTTGAAGGCGTTGGGGGGGGGGGGTCAATTTGCGACGACACTCGATCGACTTTCGACCTTGCAACTCTCCCTCGAGTCCATATCGCCCAATTTGCGATTGCCACAGAGTCTGGACGACTGCCAGACTGCGTACAGTGCAATTGTTGAACTTTTGAATTACTGGCTGGCTGATCTGCACCTCTTTTTTGCGTGCGCGGGGTCATGAACATGAAATACGGAGAAGGCCAAGCCCACCGGTCGCAGATTGGCAACCATTGGCGACCATTAGCAGGCGCTGATCCAAGTTGCGATATGACGGGGAAATAAGACAGATAAGCTTCGCACAGGTAAAGGAAAATCTCTTCAAACTCTCCCGCGCCACAGAAGAGAAGGGAGGACAAGGTAAGTCCCTTTCTCTCTGCGAGTGAGAGAGAGTTGCTGTATCCGTAATTACAATTATCATGGCGACTATCTTACAACATTTGCTTAGGTACGCTGGTTGCGTCCAATTGTTGGATGAAACGGCGGAGAGCTCACTCTCGAGCAAAAGCACAGCCGACCCGTTCATCCGGTCTTTTTTGTTTCCTCTCTCTTTCTCTCTCACAAATCATTCCTCTCCCTCGTGGCATCTCTATCTAGACCGTTTCCATTTTATGCGTTTCGTTTTGTTTCTTTCATGCCCGACGCGTTTCGAGTTTCATTGATATTGCGGGGTGGGTTGGCAGAAGAAGGGAGGGATGAGCATGTCATGTCAGGCAACACCTGTTCTGTACACAGTGTCTCTAGGAATACTTACCACGTTCGGTGTACCTATGGTAAAAACTGCGCTGCTCTTTTCTCCATCCCAAGCTTGTGATTGAAAGGCAAACCCAAGATAAGTAGGGACGAAAATTTTTGTATTTTGGGCAGAAATGAATGTCTGTGCTTCGACCCCGTGGTATTTTCGAGACATTTCTTGACAAGAGGCATTCAAGACTTTTAGACAGGTAGGAGTGGGACTTTTTTCGGGTGTGCTTTTTCCCTGTCTTCTCCAGTGGACTGTCACATGTGTAGGTAGTTTCGAATCCCACTGGCCGGACTTACTTGGTCGATTGATTCACACGTGCAGCTGTGTCCTTGAACTCTCGACTTGGATGAGTCCTCGAGTTGGCTCACGAGTGCATTGACGCGGGAATCCCCATGTGGTGTTGCTACCTTGTAATCAGCCCTGCGCTTCTTCGGCGTCGTCTTTTCTCTTGTGATGATACATCTCGTTCGGAAAGGTGGTGGTCAGATTGGTAGATATCAAGGGGCGCTCCGAGCGGAAGGGATCGCAGTTGTGAATGTGTGATCTGTCGTCCGATATCTGGATGGCAGACTATTTCGTAGTTAGTTGTAGGTAGCCGGGTTTCCCTCCCCTCCCCCCTTCGTATCAGTCAGCCCAACGCATGTCAAGCGTGTGAAAATCGGATAGTTGAGGCTGTGGCCGTACGCAGCCATTTTGCTAGGGAGCTCAATCAAGGTTTCGAAAGTAACCTACGGTTGTTGTTCTTTTCGGACTCGCGAATGCGAAATTTCCGGGAGCGAGAGGTTTGGGACTTTTTCTTTCTTAATTGTGGTTTTTTTTTTTACTTTGTGGCTCTGGCGAGGCTGAATATGGTGTTGCGGCTGTGTTAGAGTGCGTGTAAGTCGAATTTTTGGGGCTGCCGGGGGGAAGAGATTGAACGAGATGAGACGAGAAATCATCAGGATTCAAATCAACAGTGTTTGAGCATTGAGATGCGATGGTGATAGATTATGTTGACGGACTTGAAGAGATGGAAATAATGCCTTTTGACAACTGGTATCGTGGGTCGTGTGAGAGAGGACTCGGGAGACTTTCGTTGGCGTGAGAATCATTTTTACCCGGCTATCTAGCCCATCTTCTCTTCAATGGCGATGCAATGTTATGAAGACATGACTTGGTCCTCGACGTTATTTGGCGAGGGTTCACCTTTTGACGAGGTTAGTTTCCCATTCTTGCTTTGCTTGAGAGTACGAAAGCTTAACTGGCGACACGCAAAGCGGGATATAGGGCCTCGCATAACTTATAATATGTTGGTCAAATCACTATCACATCTTTTACGGCTACCTTCTCGGACACTTCGTGGCCTTGATATCTTTATCAAATTCCGTGCCTGAATCGGCAGTCGATAGGGGTTTTGTAACCCGCCACTACATATCTGCATTTCAGCATCGATGCCTCTCTTGGTCCGCACGTATTTCGAGTCCCATGTGATCTAGAGAGCCGCGGGGAACTTGGATCATACAGCAAGGCCTTTGCAGGCAACTAGGGGTTAGTAGGGGGTCGAAATCTTTGTACAGTCGCAAGAAGGACTTCGCGAGACCTTGCTTGGGCTGATTCGGACGTACGTTCAACGTTCAAAGGAGAGACCACTTGATTTCGCCTAGCCTCAAGACGAAACGTATATGTTACACCATAGCAGCTATCAGAAGTGTCTAGGCTTCCCAAGGGGAAACGGCCTCTGATACCAACATGTCTTGATCCTCTAAAGGACTCGTCCGTGGTGAATCAGGCAAGTTGTGAGGATAGACTCCTCTAACCCTACCATCTCCCCTTCTTCTGCCTTGCCAACCTGACCACTACTTTCAGTAGGCCCTTTAGAGATAAACCTTTGCCATAAATTGCTCACCTCAAGACTCCCTTCCAAACTGTGATTTTTCCGTTGTAGCGACGATTGGTCTAAACTTTGTTGTTTCGGAAGGGGCTACATGGGGCCTACGCCAATGACTTTTGGGCTGTTATCAGCACATAGGAGACTGCACATAATCCGTATCAAGGCGTACAGATGTGACGAGGCTCTCTTGGTGAGAAACCTCGTCGAGCAGTCCGCTAAAGATAGAAGAGTTACAAGTCGAAAAGAAGCCATGCAGTGAACAATTATTAAGCCCCCCTCAGGGGACTGCAACATCAGCCTCCCACCCCCTACCCATGTGGTATCTGCTTGATAGCATCACCACCTCTTCGCCGAGTTCTCTCTTCGTATGCTGTAAGCCTTTCCAAAGGCCTCCCCTCTCCCACAGCCTCACTCCCCTTAAGCCTCCCCAAACGTCGGACGCTCCTTCTTATAAGGAAAAGGCAACTCCGGAAGATCCGCATACTCGTACTTCCCCTCGCCGCACCTCGACCGGCCCCAAATGTTGCCGGTGCTCTCGTACCAGGCCGAGTCGACAGCGGCGGCGGGACAGGAGGTGAACACGTCGAAGCTCCAGTAGAGCTTCTTCTCCTGGATCGACTTGTCTCCGTGGTCCTCGCAGATGGTCCTGCTGGGCAGCGCGCACGCGATGTCGGTGCGCTTGAGGTTGTGCCAGAGGCGGTGGCAGATGTTGCTGACCTCCTCGTCGACGATGGCCGTCAGCTTGTAAGGGGTGACAAAGAGGTTGCCGTGGCCCAATTTGCAGGCGACTTGCTGCCACATGTGCGTTCGCTCGCGCGGCATGTTCATGGGGCCTTTGCCGCCTGGTTTGATGGCGGAGACGAGGGCCGCTGTCGAGGCGAGGAGAAGGATAAAGGAGGTGATTGGAGACTTCATGGCTTTTTGATGAATGATTTGGGGCGGATCTTTGGTTAAGTTTGTGAAGCTTTGGTCTCTTTTGATGTTGAGAATAGAGAAGGATGTGTAGAAGGTTCGGCTGTAAATGTAGAGATGGAACAAGTGGGCGAGTTGTTAGCTGATAAAGGGGAGTTTATTTGCCATTCAGCTCTGAGGCAAATGCCAGGAGAACGGTGAGGATGGTTTGGTGGCTGTAGGCGGTAATATGTCTCGTTGGACGAACAAGAAGGAGGAGGAACTTGTAGATGGCAAGCCAGTTGCCTGATTGATATATGCCAGCCGGACCTCATAAAAATTAACGTGACGTTCAGGGAGAGCCGGGAAATGCTCATGTTTCTCGCAGATACCTTGTTATCTTCATGCATAAGAGAAACTAAGTGGTAAATAGTAGAGTAATAGAATTCAGGCCTGCCTATGAATATCCTGTGATGACTTCCTAAAGGGGTCTACATCATGTGAGGGCTGATCAAGGTTTTCCAAGGAGGCTCTCCGAGGTCTTGTCCACGACGACTTCAGGTCCTCCGTTTACCGGTATTTTGGCCTACCTTCCAATGTTCACTGCCTGAAATGGAAGAAACTTCGTAGGAGCAGAAGAAGGAAAAGTATCGAGGTCAAAACATCAACACTTTAGGGAGAGTAGTAGTATAAGCATATGGGGTGACTGGTATGCAAGATGGCATTCAGAGTGTTGATACGAGATACGGTACGTCCGACTTCGGGACTGTTGTGTTTTACCAACCCACACCCCTCCATACTACCATTCATCTAACATCAATATCTTCGCGACGCCTGGTCGGGGCAGGTAAGTAAATGGCCACCTTTCCTTACAACAGCCACCTAGAAGTAGCCACATCCCCAGAGTGTATACATGTATATGCAGTCTCGAGGCCAGTTTCCACTACAATGGATGAATGGTTAGCACACCTTTCGAGTCTCGTGTACAAGGTGGAGCATAAAGTTGGAGAGGAGCAGGTAGCGGGGGCCTTCCAAAGCCTCGAGACGATTGTTCATCTACTCTTGTATGGCATCAAACGTACCATGCTCTTCAGACCAAACTTTGGTGTTCGCCAAAGAAGAGATGAGTGAGTGAGTAAGGTCGGTCGACGTCCCCCCTGTGGACCATTAAGGCCGTAAGGTGACTTTCAGGGAGGCGTGTGGGGGAGGGGAGGAGGCTGAACTTTTGCTCACGGAACCAAAGAAGAAACATGTAAGTCCCGAGCTTGGACAGCTTACGGTTCCGAATGTCGGGGCAAGCGGTTTACCCTGATGGGTGATAATGTCGTTTTTGGAACATCCGTACGACGGCATGTACGGGGGTACAAGCCAACCCATCATCCAAGGTGAGAGGCCAGTAGGGATATCGTTGGAAGCTAATAGTGTCCCCTGACTATCCACCCGCAGTTTACGTGACCTTTGGCATCCAGGGAAGCTTTACCTTTCTTTCTTCCCTGATACTCCATTGCCCGATTCTCTTTATCTTTTGTTGTCTATGGTGACCTTGAATAGCCACTTCTCGGCTTGCGTACGGTCACTAGAGGATGCTCCATGCTGGCCGATTTATCTACCGAGTTGCGATCCCGTAGGTCGGTCCTGAATGTATCTATGGCTGGTTACTGTTGCAGAAACCGAGCCAGTATACAGGTTAGCCGCGTAGCCAGAAGAACAGCTTCATATTGATAACCGCGCCATGTCACCACTCGCTTTCAGGATTGATTCAACTCTAGGTACCGTGCCTTCCTCTTCTTGGGTCCCGCGGCAGTTTGAAGGCAGAAAAAAGGAAGTAGAAGACGGTTTGGCGCCCTGCAAACGGCCTTACCCCCCCTGTGTCCATTCACGAGGAACAGACGTGGCTACACCTCTCCTTCCACATCCCGATTCAAGCAGTCCAATATACAATATTGAAAGCTTGGTGCTAGACGAGAGGTCATCGCCTTGCTGACGCGTACACCAGGACCAAGAGAACACAAGTGGAAGGTAGGAAGGGCACAGTGTGTTAACGACATCCCACGCGTAGATTATACAGCAAGTTCACACGAGTACGCGCATGTTCATTTTCATCGACAGGAAGCACCTCGCTCGCTCCTGAGAATAAAGCCAACAGGGGCTGGCTAGACCTTGCCTGGTAAAGACTCTACTACACATTTCCTGGCTTCAATCAAGTAGAAAGGGCAGATCAAGCATCTCTCTCACCTTATTTTTCCAGAGTCCGACGTCTTCCCTTTAATCCCCCACCCCCTGGAAGTGGCACCGTCATTAAGACTCCAAAGCTGTTCCATCTTCTTCGACATCACTTCTATTGCTAGCTAGGTACACTGATAGAAGTAAGGTACGTCAATGCAACGAAGGGGGGAGAGAGGGAAGGAGAGGACATGTTTCCACAAATACCACACAAGCGCCATCAGATCCCCAGCGGGAAGGGAAGAACCACATTACCAGCGTCGACGATGCGTTTCAGCGGATGTGGATTCCCATCGAACCGCAGCCCGCGCGGCTATCGAACAAGCTCGATTTGATGTCCCCTCCCCCGGGCCACATCCGAACTCCCTTGCGCTCGGCCGGTCCGGGAGCCACCTTAGTCAACCTCATCCCGGACTTCGAGCGGACTTTATTCCGTACTGTGGATGGTATTGTATGCGTCTTTACCCCTGATCCACTTGCAACAAATCATCACGAATGGCCAAGACAAAAGAGGGTCCACGAATCTTTTGTATATAGTTCCAAGGGCGCAAAGAGCAGCCCATAACGAGTAATCTCTAAGATAAGCATAAAGCCAGATGAAGAACAGATACAGACGCTGAGCCCCGGGGATGTCACTCGCACGGGGCCACGGCGGGGTTCATCCGTGCTATCGGTAAGGTAAGCTACAGCAGCTCCCCCACACGGAGTCCGCCTTTGACCAATTTAGCCAGCCAGCCCCATCCTCAGTCCAACGACCTTTCCAGGTATTGGTCTAGTTTCCCCCATGTAACGCTATCTTAATGCTTAGCCGTGACCTTGTCGCCGGTGAGCTTCTCGACGTAAGTCTTGGCCCTGTAGTTCCAAATGATTAGTTCTGCCCGTGTTATGTAGTGAAAGGGGTGGGGGCAACTCACATATCACCCAAAGCAACCATGCAAATCGTCTGCCAAACGCCGAGACCAATACGAGGAGCAACACCACGGTAGAGACCAGAGACACCGTTGGTGGAGTAAATGTAACGGAAAGTGTTTCCGACCGTCATCTTCTTGGGTCGGTTGGGGTCCTCCTTCTTGCTTTGCATCTCGACACGAATGACCTCGATGGGCTGGTTCCAGGCGGACAGACCACCACCGAGACCGGAAGCAAGAATCTTCTCCCAGGCGAGGAGCTTCTCGCCCTCCTTCTTGCCTCTAACGTCGCGGATACCCTGCTCGGCCAGACGAGAGAGACCGAAACGGGAACCCCAGTTGGTCATCTGACGAATGGCGACGGCGTTTACACCTTTGTTGATGCCCTTGATACCCTCCTTGCGGTAAATACCCATGAAGGTCTGGAAGGTGCTGGGAGGCGGGACGCCAGTGGAGGCAACCTTGTGCTTGGTGATCTCGACCGTCTTCATGCAAGTGCAGAAACCCATGGTGGCATAGGCCTGGGCAACACCACCGGTGATACCACCGATGATGCCACCACCGAACTCGGAGGCGCCAGCGTTGCGTGCGTAGTACTCGGCTTCGGAGGCGACGAAGAGAAGGACAGCGCCCTTGGTGGAGGCTTCAATCCAGGCCCAGGGGATGAGACCCTGGTAGACTGTGAGGGAGAAGAAATGTCAGCGATACTTGTTTGTGAGGTAATTTGTCTCCAGAGCTCCATCATGAAGCAATCGATCATCACCAAACGGGCGGCGATAAGCAGCTCGATTGACGGATTGATCTCCACTCGTGATGTTCGGGATTCGAGAATCATCAGAATTGAGGAAGGGAGGTTAACTTACAACCAAGGACACCTCCACGGCCCCAGATGCGGCCCAGGGCAGTGCCAAAGCCGTCGCCACGGTTGGCAGCCATGGTGGTCTTGACGACCTCGAGCGGCTGGCCAAGAGTGGTGACCTCGAACATGTTCAGACCGGCGCCCAACAGCAAGTTGGAGAACTTGACGGGCTTCTTCTCCAGCCTCTGGGGCTCCCCGATGGGGGCGGGCATAGTGGCGACGGCAACCATGGCTCTGCTACTTGTGATGACGGAAAGGGGCCCTGACCAAGGGAGGAGGGTGCTTCTTCGCGGGGGATGCGAGGTGCGGCGGGAGGTTTAATGGATGGTACGGGGTAGATGCTTGGGAATGGAGCCAAGCGAGGAATGGGGAAAATGCGGCAGGTTGCGGGATAAAAAAGGGCTGGGAATGACCTCGGATATTCGAGCTGTGCTGGTTGGTGTTTCTCGGAAGAAGGCCGAGGTGCCAGGTGCTTTTGGAGAGATGTGTTCGTTCGATAAATAGGCGCCCGGGGGACTGGACTGGTTTTGGTTTTAGTTCGGGGGGGAAGCCGTTGTTTAGTGACAAGAAACAGAAGAAACAGAAGCAGGAGCTCTCCGTGACTGAGCGGACGTGGGAAGCAGGCGCCTTTTGCACGTGGGAATTGGAGTGGATTGGGAAGGGAACAGTGAGCAAGGCAAGGCAGGGGTGTGCTACCTGAATGCTGGAAGCTCCTCAATTTTTTTGGTCCCAGCCCACCTCAGTCACTCCAGTCTCTTTGCTGAGCTTGGAACCGGGCCAACTTTGGACTCCATTGGACTGTTAGCCTTGGACTTGATCGGAGGACCGATCTGATAGCCCGAGTATCACCTCGGACGACCTATCAGATGGTTGCTGAACGGGCACATGCGATACATTCGCCAGTCTACAGACAGAGTTGGACGCTTCAAAGTTCCCAACCCTTGAAGCATAACGGGCGGCCGAGAGCCCCTTGTCTGCAGGCTCCCCCAATGGTTGTAGCAGCGTATGTAAGCTTGGCTGGGCACATCGTGTCTCCCGTCGGCACTTTACAACTGTAAGTACTCTGTATCCCTACTGGCAAGCGAAAGATAGCACAGCTTTCTCGGCCGCTCAGAGAGTGTGTGTGACACGGAGATGGGAATGCGATAAAAATTGAGACGTGTACGCCTAGAACTTGAGACGATGCCGGCTGTCCAAGCATTGTTAGTAGACCCGACTCCCTCTCTTCATCCCTTTCTCCCTTCGCATTGTACTGCTAAAAGACCTCATTTATATGTGAGCCTACCTTACATTGGTTGACTACCAAGTAAATATAGCTGTAGGTAGGTATGTAGGTAGCTTCGGAAGCAGGTATGAGCTGTTGGCATGTACACATCCACTGCAAGCAATCGCATCCAATGTCAGCCATCCATCGGGTACTTTTACGAGGATGGACTGCAGCAAGCCATTATTTCCTCAGCGGCTTACCTCACCTCACCTCATCTCAGATGATTAAGTACACATCTATTACAGCCACAGCTTGGAAAGGGAGCTGTGCAGCCTGCGACATTGGATATCAACCAGAAAAAGAAAGCTCCTAAAACGGGAACCTGTGGAAGCTCAAGCAGGAGACAAGAAAAACAGGGTCCGTAGGCCGCGCATCAACAGTCCGCCGTGCCACGGACTGGCCCGTGGGTTCTCCGCCAACTACACCAAAACGGGCACTAAAGCACTAAGAGCACTACCTAAGAAAAGGCAAGCCCCGCCGGGTCTTTTTTTTTTTGGAGCTCTCAACCTCCCCAACAGCTTCCAGCCTTGTCCCCATCTGGAGAGCTCAACGCAAAATTCCGTGGGGATCTCCCGACTGCGAAAGCCTCAACCGGCCCCCGTCCCAGACTCCGTACCTCGCAGCCTCCCTCTGGCCAAAGGCGTCAGCATCCAATTTCTCACTCATCAGCCATACAATTGACGATCCCTTTGGCATCCACAGCCACCAACATCCATCAGTGTCACAGCGTCAGCCTCACGGTGGAAGGTTCACACTCATCCAATTAAAGCAACCATCTCCATCACATTGCACAAACCCGGAACTACATCCCAGAGCCGGACGGTGGATCATCTCGCTGCACCAGGCTCCTCTTGTTCCTCAAGAACTTCTCTTTCCACGCCGGACATCGATTGGGGTATAACCAACCCGAGGTGTGGGTTCCGATTGCCACTTCGTACAGTAAGACTACATATTATGCAGTGCAAGGTGGTAATTCAAGATTATGTAAGACGGTACAAAATTGAAAGTAACACGAACTCCTGGTGTGCGCGCGTGCCTGCAGAAGCTCGACTCCAAGCTTGCATAGCTCAAGTCCGGCCGCGTGTCCAAGCCATCGCGGCGCACGCTGCGCGCATGGCTCTTTCCTTGTGTACCTGTCACGTCCAGAGGCGCGCGCGCACATCGGCAAATTCACCCCCTGTTCCCACTCCGTCTCAACATCGTCGCATCATCATGCGCCCCAAGCTTCGAAGAATGGACCATGGTCAGTGTCACAAGTAGATAGTGAAGCAAGGACCAGGAAAAAGAACGTCTTGTTAACTTCAAATTCGTAAATGTGTATTCGGACGCAAGCCAGCCTCGGCCCCAAGGTAACTAAAACAACCCAGTAATTCCCGGTAAAAAAGCAGCCCTTCTCGGTATTGTACAAGCGCAGTGGATGGTATCGCCCAAAGCTTTTCTATCCACCCTGACTGAAACAACACGCTGCCTTTCATGTCTATTGTTGATCGCTCATGCGACCCTGATGCCTTTTCCACGCACGCAAAATTACTTGCGTCCGCAGCCGCGTCTCCTATTTTCTCTTTCCCATCATCACCTCCTTCTTCTAAGCGTACACGTTTAGACCTTCTTGACAAGCTCGGCCCACTTGGCAGTGGAGAAGGACTTGGGGCGCTCGATGGGGGCACCGAGGGCGCGATCGATGATGAGCTGGGGAAGGACACCGATGGCGCGGGAAACACCGAAGAGGACGGTGTAGTAGTTGGCCTCGGTGAGACCGTAGTACTGGAGGAGGACACCGGAGTGGGCGTCGACGTTGGGGTAGGGGTTCTTGGTCTTGCCGTGCTGGGTGAGGACCTCGGGGGCGATCTTGTAGACCTGGGAGACGAGCTGGAACATGGGGTCCTCGGGCATCTTCTCTGTAGGGTTGTCAGTACTTCATTCTGTCGAGTCTGGATTGTCATTCATGGTGGATACGTACCCTGGGCGAACTTGCGCTGAGCAGAGTAACGGGGGTCAGTCTTGCGGAGAACGGCGTGGCCGTAACCGGGGACGACGCGGCCAGCGTTCAGGGTGGACCAGAGGTAGTCGGTGATGGCCTTGTCGCTGAGGTCGTCACCAACAACCTTCTTCATCTCAGTGAGCCAGTTAAGGACCTCCTGGTTGGCAAGACCGTGGAGAGGACCGGCCAGACCGTTGAGTCCAGCAGCAACGGAAAGGAAGGGGGAGGACAGGGCACTGCCGACCAAGTGGGTGGTGTGGGCAGAGACGTTGCCACCCTCGTGGTCAGTGTGGATGGTGAGGTAGAGACGGAGCAGCTCGACGAAGTCGGTGTTGCTGCCGAAGCCGAGCTGGTTGGCGAAGTTGAAGGAGTAGTCCTTGTCCTTCTCAACAGCGGCGACCTTGCCGCCCTTGAAGACGTTCTGGTAGATACGAGCGGCAATGGTGGGCAGCTTGGCAATCAGGTCCATAGAGTCCTCAAAGGTGTATCCCCAGTAGTCCTTCTTGTTGACACCCTTGGCGTAGGCCTTGGCGAACGAAGAGGTGTGCTCGAGGGCGGTGACGGCCAGGGAGAACTGGGCCATGGGGTGAAGGTCGGTAGGGCAGTGGTCGATCAACTCCTCGACGAACTTGGGGATGTCGGAGCGGGCGGCCCACTCGGCGGACAGGTCGCGAACCTGCTGCTCGGTAGGGACCTCGCCGGTCAGGAGAAGCCAGAAGAGACCTTTGAAATTCTGTTAGCAAGGTGATTGATTGCGATAATTGCTGCGACACGGAAACTTACCCTCAGGAAGGGGCTCCTTGCCGCCAGGAGCCTTGGGGAGGAGCTCCTGGCACTCGGGAATGGTCTTGCCGCGGAAACGGATACCCTCCTCGGCGTCGAGGACGGAACCCTCCCAGACGAGGCACTTGATGCCACGGGCACCACCGTAGACCTGGTCAAGGGTGACCTTGTCGATGACCTTGGAGCCATGCTCTCTGCGACGGCGAGGTTAGCAGGTGTCAACGTTGCGATAAGGGGACTCAATGGCTATGCACTCACTTTCTCAGAGCCTTGACCTCCTCAATCTTCTCGGGGAGAAGCTCAGCGAAGCGCTCCTTCAAGGTCTAGATGCGAACGTGTCAGCTTCACGATACCCGAGGTAGGTGGCCCGGACGGCCGGAGGAAAAACAACAGCAACGGCAGCTTACCTGGTTCTTGGAAGAGTAGCAACGAGCAGCGTTGAAAGCCGAGACCTTGAAAGGGGAGGCTCTGAGGGAAGTCCTCAGAGCAGAGGTGGAAAGACGCGCTACAGACATTGTGAGAGTATCGTGAGGCTTCAGGAACTGGTGAAGGATGAAGATCGGAAAGGAGGGAAAGAAAAAAGCCGCAGGTAATGGGATAGAAAAAAATATGAAGCAGAGGCGCTGCTTGGACCGGGGGGCCGCCCTCGGGGGGTCACGTCACAGGCGTGGCCGGAAATACCAATGTACCTCAGCGGGCATACGGGTTGTCTCTCAGGCAGAGTGAGGTATCTACGCTAGGTGTTTTGGCGCTGCAGGTACATCTGCCATCCATCTTACACACCCGGCCGATTCCATGTTGCCCTGCAGTGCTCCCCCAACGTCGGTCCAACCATGGAATTTTTCCTTGAGCTCTCAAGCTGCCCAAGGCCCCAGATGCAGGTCGAGACCGTCCTCCGAGGTATTCAACGCGCCAAAGCGCTCAATCTGCGATGGCGTACAGGAATTGAGTGAGAGGCTCAGCCGCCGTCCGGCACTCCGTTGACCTCCCTTCCTTTCAGACCAACTACATACCTACCTACCTACTCCGTACCTAAGGTGGGTGGGATACTTACCTTGCTTCTTGACAACGGTGTGCCTTACTCGAGCAGGTTTCAATTGCGGTGGCGGACGACCTCTACGCCGTTGATACCTGAGGTAAAGACTCTCTCTCTCTCCCGGTCTTCAAGCAACGAGGGAGAAACAAACGCCGGCGAGGCG